CAACAATAAGAGGGAATCACTTCTGATTGACGTCAGTAGGTCCCGCCCTCTCACCACGCCCACTGGCCGGGGGCTCGGCTCCTGATTGGCGGGCGTGGCGGGAGGGGGCGGGATCGGCGGTGCCCCCGCCCCCTCCGGGCGCCGGGATGACGATGCCTATTGGCCGCGGGGAGCTGTCAATCAGCCCCGGGAGGAGGGGAGGGGGGGGCACGGGCACAGGCCGCGCGCTGCCGCTGCCTCTCTCTCCCTCTCCCTCTCGAGCAGCTGCCGGTCGGTCGGTACCGAATTCCTCCCCTCTCTCCACTCCCCCCCCCCTCCCTCCCCCCGGGGCCCGCGCGGCGGAGCCTTTCTCCCGCGCGTCTCTGAGGTAAACGGAGGCCGCCGCCGCCGCTTCTGGAACCTTCCGTGAGGTAAACGGCGCCCGTCCCTCTCTCTCTCTCTCCCCCTCTCTCCCCCCTCTCTCTACTCACTCAGCCGCGACTCCAGGCTCTCCTCCGCCGCCTCCTCCTCCTGTTGCCGCTCCTCCCCGTCCTCCCGCCGCCGCCGCTGCTGCTGCGCCGCCGCCGCCATGGCCGCCCCCGTCACCTCTCGCGAGAGCCGCCTCTCTCGCGCATGCGCACACCCACTCCGCCCTCTGCCCAGCGCGCAGGCGCGGGACTCGCTCTTAAAGGGGCAGCGTCCCCTCTCCCTGACAGTGGTCACCACGTCTCTCCACTGATGATGGTCTGCTATGTTGGCGATAGTATTAATATAGTAATAATAATAATAGTAATAAATGATCATACATCTTCACATTGGCAATGATATTAATATATAATAATAATCTCTTACATTGGCAATGATATTAATATACAATAATAACCTCTTACATTAGTAATGATATTAATATACAATAATAACCTATTACATTAGTAATGATATTAATGTATTATAATCTCTTATATTTGCAATAATATTCATACGTAATAATGTCAATCATAATAAATGATCGTAAAATCTTAAATTGGCAATGATATTAATATCCAATAATCCTTTTACATTAACAATTATTAATACATAATCATCATCTCAATAATAATAATAATAATAAATGAACAGAAATTCTTACGTTGGCAATAATAATAATCATCTCTTACATTGGTGATAAATAAATCTCAATCCACGACTGTTGGAGGGACTCTGTTGTGCGCAATCGGCTGCTGCAATTTGCCCACAAATTATACAATTCAGTATCTCCTGCGAAGCGCTTTGAGACCTATCGAAGATGCGAAAAGATACTATATCACTAATGTAATAATCCTTACATTTGACCCGGCGCCTTTTCACTTTGTTGCGACGTCTGAAAGCGCTTCACGTAGTTGTACTGTAAAGTGTAGTGACTGCATTTTGTGGGCGAACTCGGCAGCCAAATTTCATGCACAGCAACAACCCCACAAACACAGCGGTGAAGTGAATGATCTCTTACATCGACACCAATCTCTTAAAGCAGAGATGGGCATTACTTGCATTTGATACACAGAGCCCTTATCACCTCTCAATGATAGATGCGCACAGAATTTAATGGAATGTGTAGTGACCACTTTTGCCCTCCTCCCACCCCCTTGTTTTTGTAGGTGAACACGTCAGCCGACTTGGCACACGGCAATGTTCCCACAAACCGCCGTGAAGTGGAGTGACGGTGTATTCTGTAGACTGGCGTTTACAGCAAAGGAATTTGCCCCCAGCAAGGCGGTGGACTTTGGCATAGCAGTGTCTCAGACCCAGCGACCAGATGGTCCTTAGCCCTGAGGGAGGCAGTGAACCCCAGAGAACAAAGGTTTGTTTTACTGCATAGTGAGGTAATGCACTGGAGGATGCCGAGGTCAGATGGGTGAGTGGTTGGTTAAAAAGGCAATTAGACAAAAGCTTGGAGAGGAAGGGTATCAGAGGGGACAGGGTAAGAGGGAATTGGGATTAGGACGGAACATAGAAATGAGCTGAATGGCCTCCTTCTGTGTTGTACATTTCTACGTTTCTAATAAAAATGTTGACTATTTTCCTCCTGTGTGTTTTTTTTTCCTCTTTGTTCTCTCTTTCTCTCTTGCGTTCCCTGTTGACGTTTTCCCAACTTTACTTGGCGGACACATTCTCACACACATATACACACACACAACACACACAACTCCCTGGACTCTCCTCCTCCTCCTCCTCACTGTGGAACACCGTGTCCCCTTGATGTTCAGTCACAGGCCACGGTGAGACTCAATGAACAAGACATAAAATGCTCACTGTGACAACCTTCGCTCTGGTTAGCAACAGATCAAGTAACTGCAGTTAATCTTTTACCACCTTACAGCTACCAGAACAAAGACAGGTCAGTGGAATATTTTGGAGGTGATTTTTCTCCCTGTTCCTGGTAAGTGCAGACCCTTTGTTCTCCCTGGCACTGAACCAAGGGGGCTTAAACCCCACGACTAAATGTCTTGACGGAGGAGGGGAGAATTCCATCAACTGCCCTCCTCCGTAGAGACCCACCATTATTAAACAAACAGCAATTTCACTTTCTCCCACAAAACACTGTCAAATCACTTTGCAGTATAGTCTGTGAAGCACTTTGGGACGTCTCGAAGACGTGATAAGGCGGTGTAAAGTCCCTCGTGGGTATGACCCCATAAACCTTTCTAATAGACTTGGCAAACAGCCTGGGTTTGGGGAGGGAGCGGAGCAGAGTGGTGGGGATTTCACTCGATGGGGTGACGTGGTCACACAATGTTTGCTAAGGGTTCAGTCTGCACTTCACCCTCGAACAAATGATTAACCTCTGTGCCGTTTGAACGTCTGTCATTTTCCTACATAAACCTCTGCTGTCTGTCTGCCCGCAGTCACCCAACAGGGATCTCGTTCAGCCTCCGCTCAGTGTCTCTCTGCCCCACCAACTCCTCCGCAACGCAAGGATGTCACCGGTAAGTCGCAGACAGAACATGGATGATTGTAGTTAGGAATTATTAGTTGGGACTGAACGACAGAATCTTTTCAGTATAATTAAAGCAACAGTTTGTAGGAAGGGGGGAATTCTCTGATTGGCCATAAACCTTAGTTTCCCCAATCTTCAGCACCTTGGGACATCCTTCCGACATGAAAGGCGCTGTGTAAATGTAATTTGGTTGTTTGTTGTTGTTCATGGCCTCTGTCAAGTGCTTTCTCCCTCTTCTCTACCTTACACCTGATGGCAGTGTTAACAGTCCTGTACTTAGATACAATGCCTCATCATATTGAGATGTCCCAAAGCGCTTCTCAGGAGATTACTGTGAAGTGTAGGGACTGTGTACCTTTGGGTAAACGTGGCAACCAATTTGGCTCATAGTAACATCGCTGCTTACAGTCAACAAAGTGAACGACCAACTTTAGCTCGGTGGTTGGAGGTGGGAGAGGGGTGGAAGGGAGGGGGAGTTGTTGACCGGGGGAGGCAGAAACTCCCTTTCTCTTTTCTGAACGGGACACGTCGGGGGTGGAGATGGGTTTAAGGCAGCGGTAGCCAAATTGTTTGGTCGGCCAACAAAATAAATGTTCTTGATTGAATAATGTTTCTTGATTTATGCCGTGGGACTTGGGTTGGCCAGCCAGCCAGCGCTGGTTTAATGTCTCAACCGAAGGATGGCGTCTCTACCATTGCAACACTCTCCCCACCTCTTTCTCTCTCTTCCCCCCCCGCCCCTCCCCCCCCCCCCCACCTACCCACAACACTGCGCTGGAGAGTTAGCCTGAATACACTGTGTGAGCTCAAAGTCTCTGACGTGTTTTAAGCAGCTGTGAAGTGCCTGGAGGGATTGGGACGTGGCTAAAGGCACTGAAACAAACACTGCTGTCCTGTCTGTCGCTATCCAAGGTTCTGGAGACAAATGTAAAGAGGTCTCCACAGGGCATGTCTGTGAGGTGCAAGGCTGGGGGGTGGCAACGGAGGGAGAACCCTCTGCTCTACGAAAACGAAGGTGATATTTAGCTGAGACGTGGTACCCACCCTCACACTCGGCTCTCGGTTAGCTCGAGCCTTCTGTCCGACCACCAGCCCTTCCACTCCACCACCAGCGGCCGTGCCTTCAGCCACCGCTGCCTCTCTCCGCCACTCCTCCCACCCCGAACCCACACACGCACCCATCCGCAGATCGCACCTAAACACTACTCTTTGACCGCGCCCGACAATCACCTCCCACCCCCCCACCCCCACCCCCCACTCCCTGGCTCACTGTCAGGTTCCACCCAAAGAACACATGATTTAGATCAGATTAATCTGCAAATGTTTTACAGCCACACGGGTGCCGTGTTTCGCCCTTCACTGAAAAAAGATACACCGTCAATCCACTTTACAGTGTATCCTGTGAAGCGCTTTGACGTGATAAGGCGCTCTATCAAATGCAAGGATTATTATTGTTATTATTATTACATTGCTTTCTTGCTTATTGATCCCCTGAGGAAGAGGGGAATGGAGGGGTGTGGGAGAGGGGAATGGAGGGGTGTGGGAGAGGGGAATGGAGGGGTGTGGGAGAGGGGAATGGAGGGTGTGGGAGAGGGGAATGGAAGGGTGTGGGAGAGGGGAATGGAGGGGTGTGGGAGAGGGGAATGGAGGGGTGTGGGAGAGGGGAATGGAGGGGTGTGGGAGAGGGAATGGAGGGGTGTGGGAGAGGGGAATGGAGGGGTGTGGGAGAGGGGAATGGAGGGGTGTGGGAGAGGGGAATGGAGGGGTGTGGGAGAGGGAATGGAGGGGTGTGGGAGAGGGGAATGGAGGGGTGTGGGAGAGGGGAATGGAGGGGTGTGGGAGAGGGAATGGAGGGGTGTGGGAGAGGGAATGGAGGGGTGTGGGAGAGGGGAATGGAGGGGTGTGGGAGAGGGGAATGGAGGGGTGTGGGAGAGGGGAATGGAGGGGTGTGGGAGAGGGGAATGGAGGGGTGTGGGAGAGGGGAATGGAGGGGTGTGGGAGAGGGGAATGGAGGGGTGTGGGAGAGGGGAATGGAGGGGTGTGGGAGAGGGGAATGGTGCCGCTCTGTGTAAATCTCTTCCTCAAACATTTCAGATTGAAATGTTCAACTTGGATATCCAGCCCGGAACCACTCTCAAGGTCAAAGGCAAGATTTCCGAGGAAGCTGAGAGGTCAGAGTAACCCCCCCCACCCCACACTCCCCCCACCCCTGCACTCCACTACACTCGACAGTGAAAAGTATCCCATGACGCGCTTTGAGGCGTCCGCCCAACACGAAAGGCGCTGCGTCAAATGCAAGGATTTATTACCATTTATCACCAACTTCTTTCTTTCGCTGCTCTCTCCCCATCGCTCACTCTGTCCATTCTCACTCTCTTTCTGTCTCTCTCTCTCTCTCTCTCGTCGGTCTCTGTTTTCTGTCTCTCTCGCTGTCACCCTCACTTTCTCTGTCTCTGTCGCACGCTCTCCTGACGTGGAAGGCGCTATATAAGTGTAATTTGTTGTTGTTGTTGTCTAACTCTCTTGTCACTCTCTCTCTCTCTCTCTCTCTGACTTTCTCTGTCTATTTCTCTCTCTCTCTCACTCACGGTTGCAGATTTGCCCTGAACCTGGGGAACAGCACAGATAATCTCGCTCTGCACTTCAACCCACGCTTTAATGACCCGGCCGACGGGGATGTGATTGTGTGCAACTCCAAGTGTGACGGTAATTGGGACAGTGAGCACCGTGACACCAACTTCCCCTTCTCCAAGGGCTCCGACTTCAAGGTCAGTGCGGTGTGGGGGTACTTTCTGTACCCCCAACCCCTCTTTGGTCACTCAATCCACATGCGTGTGTCTGGACGCCGCCGGGCGCAATTGGCTGCCCCACAAAATATACAGCCACTACACTTTACAGTGTATCCTCCGAAGCGCTTTGAGACGCGTCAACCACATGAAGGCACCATGTTATGTCGTCGTTGCTATGATTGTAAAACGATTGGGGGGCAAAGCGATTGGGATTTACTCAGGACGGAGTTTTGTTTTTTTTTGCCCCCTTTTTGCAGTTCTACATCACCTTCAAGGGGGACAAGTTTGAGATCAAACTCCAGAACGACCACGTGATCGAGTTCCCCAACAAGACTCCGCTGGACAAGATCACCTACCTGACCATATACGGCGACGCCAAGCTCGTCTCCGTAAAGTTCGACTGAACCTTTCGCTCCCCGCCTCGCCGATCATTGCTGCTCAACAAGGAAATGGGTTGTTAATGGCTTTACGGGTGGGTGGGTGTCACGTTCCCACCCCCCCCCCCCCAGTGGGAAACTGAGCCACTCAAAGGAAACAAAGAATAAAAGTATTTAATTGCTGATAAGGAGTTTATAAGTGCACAATGATTACAAGGTGTAAAATATACGTGCTCGCACGTCTGACCTCTTTGAGGGTTAGCGTGGATTATATACAGGAAATTCTTGCGTCGGCAAAATGGGGAGGGGGTGGGGAGGGAAAAAAAATACACGGGGATATTATACGGTAACAGCTTCAAATTTGGTGTGAAGAGGCACGTTTTAGTCAGTGAGAGAAATAATGATAATAATTTGGTCACTCGGTCCACGACCGTTCGTTTCGATCTATTGCCTTCCTGAATCCTACAGGAAAACGGCCTGAAAATAATTCAGGCGTTTTATTTATTTATTGAAGAATAATTCTTTTCTGTACCCCCCCCCCCTCTACCCGCCCCCCCTTCCCACCCCCACACACTCTGCCACCAGGTGGCAGCAAATAGCCAGTGGTCCAGATCTCCTCCTCCATCCTCACACCCCTCTTTGCCACACACTCTGGCTTTCCCCCCCCCCCACCCCCAGCTTTGGCTCTTGCCAAACCCGCGCCTAACACTATCCGGAATTAAATAAGCAGGGAGCGTCCCTCGGGGCAGAGAGAGAGAGGGAGCGCATTCCATTCCAGACATGGAATTTCTATGTGTTGATGACAAACACTTGTGGAATTCTCAGTCTGATTTGGAGACTCTTCACGCGCAGTGACCCGGTTCCCGTGTGTGTCAGACACCCGTCCGGTCACGGTGACGGGTTTCCGTGTGTGTCAGACACCCGTCCGGTCACGGTGACGGGTTTCCGTGTGTGTCAGACACCCGTCCGGTCACGGTGATGGGTTTCCGTGTGTGTCGGACACCCGTCCGGTCACGGTGACGGGTTCCCGTGTGTGTCAGACACCCGTCCGGTCACGGTGACGGGTTTCCGTGTGTGTCAAACACCCGTCTGGTCACGGTGATGGGTTTCCGTGTGTGTCGGACACCCGTCTGGTCACGGTGATGGGTTTCCGTGTGTGTCAGACACGTGGCCGGTCACGGTGACGGGTTTCCGTGTGTGTCAGACACCCGCCCGGTCACGGTGACGGGTTTCCGTGCGTGTCAGACACGCGGCCGGTCACGGTGACGGGTTTATACGCGTACTAAACAATTCAGAGTGTGTGGTCGCCAGTCGAACATTGCGAGACAGATGAGTGAGGAAGTCCGTGCCGGTGTTCACCATCCACACCGGCTCCGGGCACGTTCGTGGCAGCGAGGAGTCCCCCCGGTCACTAGACCCCGATCACTTCGTCCTCGTCGGCAAAGACCAACTCCTCAATCTTCAGTGGATGGAAACCGTGGGGGGGCAATGCCCCCGGAGGTGTGTGTCCGTGTTCCGGCCTCTCGCCCCCCCCGGCCAGAGCCCTGCTGTCTGCTCCGTCTGCCGGGGCCCGCACCCCGGGGGGTGGGGTGGGCACGAGGGACCCCTGACCCCCGGGCCCCGCGGAAGATGGTGGGGCGGCCTCCTCAGGGCAGGCCTTCGCGGGGGGCCGGGAGGGGACGAAATGGCGGCTGAGGATGCGGTGGACGGGGGAGGAGTTGGTGCCGGCCGAGACCGGCCCCTTTAGATCCGTCCGGAGAGAATTCCCGCCCGGAGTGACCTCGGAATTCCGCTGCCGCCCACCGGGGCCGTTCTGGAACGTTCCGCCCGCCTCGGCCTCCGCCTCCGCCGTCTCCCGGAGGGGACCTTCCAGACTGAACTGGGCCCGGCCTTTGGGGGCCTCCCCCCAGGTCATGGCCTCCAGCACCTCGCTCAGCATGGAGGGCCCCAGGTCCAGGTCGAAGGTCAGCAGGGAGTCGGGGCGGGGCAGCGGGGGCTGTTCCTGGGGCTTTTCCGCCCGGGAATACCGCGGGAGCGTACAGAACCCCGACTGCAACCCTGGGGGAGGACACATGGTGGGCAGTCAGTCAGTGCTCACGGCTCTCTCTCTCCCTCACACTCTCTCTCGTGTGCTCTTTCTCGCTCTTACACTCACGTTCTATCTCTCACACTCTCTCTCGTTCTGTCTCTCTCTCTCTCGCGCTCACACTCTCGTCACACGTTCTCTCCCTCTCATACGCTCTCTCTCTCTCTCTCCCCCTCACACGTTCTTCTGACTTGGAGGCGAGAGCTCAAGCGACTGAGCCGCGACCGACACCGTTAGTGATAATAATAATAATCCTCACATTGCCATTGCCCCATATCACGTCGTTCGGAGCTTCTTAAAGCCCAGAGACGGGTTTACCCCCAAAACAATGAATAACAACAGTGGTTTAACCCCATTAAAACCATTTCAATTCTCTCCCTCATCCCCTCCGTCTCGCCCCCCACCTTCCCTCGCCCCCCACCTACCCTCGCCCCCCACCTACCCTCGCCCCCCACCTACCCTCGCCCCCCACCTTCCCTCGCCCCCCACCTTCCCTCGCCCCCCACCTTCCCTCGCCCCCACCTACCCTCGCCCCCCACCTACCCTCGCCCCCCACCTTCCCTCGCCCCCACCTACCCTCGCCCCCACCTTCCCTCGCCCCCCACCTTCCCTCGCCCCCCACCTTCCCTCGCTCCCCACCTTCCCTCGCCCCCACCTTCCCTCGCCCCCCACCTTCCCTCGCCCCCCACCTTCAAATCCAACCATAAAGACCTTCTCTTTTTGGTGGTGCTTCGGGTTATCTCCCTCCCTCCCTCCCTCCCTCCCACGCACTCCCCCACCCTCCCTCTCCCCCCCCCCCCCCGCCCCGGCTGGCCAAACACAAATAATAACCGCGGTTGTAACCCACGGCGAGTCTCACCGTACGGCTCCCCCAAGCCCGTCGGCGCACTCCGGAAGTTCAGCCTCTCCTGAGTGCAGGTGTGAGTGTTGGCCAAGTGGGGCAGGGAGACAGCGTTCTTGATGATGGGGGAGACGGGGGGCGGGGGAGCGGGCGGGCGGGGGGGGCTGTGTTCCCGGGGCCGGGCAGGAGACTTGGCCACGCTCCTCATGGCCCTCGCTAACAGGCTGGCTTTGCCCCCCACTCGCTGCCCCCCGCCCTCTCCACCGCGCCCTCCCCCTCCGTGCTGGCTCAGGAAGGAGGTGTCCCCGAACACGTCCCCCCCCCTTCCCACGTGCATGGTGTGTCTGAAGTCCCCCAGTGGGGGGCTGATCATGTCCACCGTCAGCTCCGGCCTCGCTCGCCGTTTCCCATGAGACCCCGACACCAGGTTCTTCAACACCGGGAACTTTCCCAAACTCATCCTGACCACAGGCTGCTCCCCCTCCCCCTCTCCCCTCGCTCTGCGTCCCCTCCACCACCCCCCCCACACACACACACTCGCTCTCTGTCCCTCTCTCTCCCCGTCTCTCACACACACACACCCTCGTTGTCTGTCCACCCCAAACACACAACACCCTTTCTCTTGCTCACTCTGTCCCTTTCCCCCTCACACACTCGCTCTCTGTCTCTCTCTCTCTCTCTGCTTCTCTCCCAGCTCCGTCCTTCCCTTCTCTCCTCCTCACCTTCCTATCTCTCTCGTCCCTCCTACGATTAATCCATGGGGCGATTATTTGATTTGAGAAACTTCTCCTTCCCTCTCCTTCCCTCTCTTCTCTCTGTCACTTTCTCCCCTCTCTCTTTCTCTCATGCACTGCCTCTCTCACCCTCTCTCCCGTTCTCTCCCTCTCACTCACTTTCTCTCCCTCTCCCCAGTGTGGTCTCTCCACAGCCGGAGATCAGTGCTGATCAGTGAGTGTCGGTTGGGAAGAGTTTGGTGTCATACGTCCTTTCTCCCCCACTCCTTACACCTCTCTGCTCCCCCTCCACCTCCCCCCCACCCACTACCCCCTCCCCGCATCAAACCCACCTCCCACAACCGGAGAGAGGATGGGGACGAGAGACAAAGGGTTGGGGTTCAGGTGTGTGTGTGGGGGGGGGGGGAAAGAGTGCAGAGACACACTCACAGTGAACGAGGTCTGTGTGTGTGTGATCTGCGCCGTTAGCCAAGAGGTTTACCTGTAAAACAAAAAGGAAACACAACAGCGATGTACTATGAGCTACAACACACACACACACACACACACGTGTGCCTCAACTGTGTGTCTGCTTACACGCGTGTATGTGCGCGGGTGTGCGCGTACGGGAGTCTACGTGCATGTGTGTGCCTGCATGGGTGTGGTGTGAGTGCCTGTACGCGTGTGTGCGCAAGCGAGCGTGAGTCTGTGCTTGCGTATCTGTGTACGTGCACGCCCGCGCGGGATGTGTGCGTGCAATCACAAGGATTCGACACAGAGGAGAACACTTCCCTCCTTTGCCGGCACTTTCCTTAGGGAGAGACCGAGGAGATCACAAAAACACAGCTGGTGAACTACAACGACAACAACAGCAACAGCTTAGACGGACACTATATAAATCCGGACTAACTCCACTTGTGGTCAACTTTACCGGACAACATCTCACCCCAAATAATACACCATAAACCACAACACAACACGATCCTTGAGGTGTGACACAGCGCCGAGCGTTTATGACAACAACAATCCTCTCCGAGACGTCTCAAAGCGCTTCACGGGATACGCTGGAAAGCGCAGTGACTGGTGTTTTGTAGCCGGACACGGCGGCCAAGTTGAGTGCAGCCGCGCACGGAGTACACGCGACGAGATCCCACCTGCGACACTCGGGACCTTTGTTCTGTCTGTGAAGGTCTGACAGCCCCCAACGCTGTGCCCTTTACTGTGTGGAACTGACCTGCTTTGGCACTCACTCACATTCCCCCCCTCCCTCTCACTGTCAAGAGACACACACACACACATAGGGACACACACACACAGACACACACATAGGGACACACACACAGAACACACACACACATAGGGACACACACACAGAACACACACACACACATAGGGGCACAAACACAGAACACACACACACATTGGGACACACACACAAAACACACACACTGACATATGCACAAACACACACACACACATAGGGATGCACACGTACTTGCACAGACAGATAAACAGATACACAAATAAACATCAAAAAAGATTGCCTTTTCTATATAGTTTATATATATATATAGACATTGTCCTGTCTTCAAAGCATAAATGCTTATGAACCTCACTTTAGCAGCGACTGTCTGTCTGTCTGACTTTTCTTGTGTCTGTCCGACTGACTGTCTCTTTCTGTCTGTCTGACTGACTGTCTGTCATTCTGTCTGTCTATGTGTTTGACTGACTGACTGTCTCTTTCTGTCTGTCTGACTGACTGTCTGACTGACTGACTGTCTGACTGACTGTCTGACTGACTGTCTGTCTGTCTGACTGACTGACTCTCTGACTGTCTGACTGACTGACTCTCTGACTGACTGTCTGACTGACTGTCTGTCTGTGTGTGTGACTGACTGTCTGTGTGTCTGACTGACTGTCTGTCTGTGTGTGTCTGACTGACTGTCTGTGTGTCTGACTGACTGTCTGTGTGTCTGACTGACTGTCTGTATGTCTGACTGTCTGTCTGTGTGTCTGACTGACTGTCTGTCTGTCTGACTGTCTGTCTGTGTGTCTGACTGACTGTCTGTCTGTCTGACTGACTGTCTGTATGTCTGACTGACTTTCGAGGCGAGCACTCTAACCACTACATCTCAGGACACCACAAGCTTAAGCCAGCCTGTGTGTTGGTCGATGTGTGTGTGGGGTGTGTGCGCGCGTCTGTGTGTGGTGTGTGTGTGTCCGCGTGCGTGTGGTGTGTGCGGTATGTGTGCGCGCACGCGTGTGGTGTGTGCGTGTGCGTGCGTGGATGTGTGCGTGTGTGGACGTGTGGTGTGTGCGCATGTGTGTGGTGTGTGTGGTGTGCGCGTGTGGTGTGTGCGTGGTGTGTGTGTGTGATGGTGTGTGTGCGTGGTGTGTGGTGTGTGTGTGATGGTGTGTGTGAGTGGTGTGCGCGGTGGGTGTGTGTGTGCGCTGGCTGTAGCTCAGTGGTCACCAAATTACTTACAGGACGTCCTCGATGAGCTCTTTCTGAGCCAAGGCTTCTCTCTGAGCTTCCTGTAGCCTCCCCTCCATCACCAGGCGGGCACTGAGCTGGGCACTGTGTATCTGCAGCACCGCCAGGTTCAGGTTACTCTTGACGATTGTACTAAGGGGTGGGAAAGGGCACAGTGTTCAGGCGAGCGAGAGAGAGAGAGACACACACACACAATCGTGGTGGACTTCAGTCCCAGTGCGTAGAACATCCCCCCCCCTCTCTCTCTCTCTCCCCTTCCCTCCCTCCGTCCCCGGCTCCCCTCCCCCATAACAAACAGAATAATGTTAATGATAATACTTCTGCTCTTTGCCACGGCGCCTGATCACGTCGTCGAGACGTCTCGAAGCGCTTCACAGAATAATACCGCAAAGTGTAGCGACTGCGTATTTTGTGGGCGAAAGGCGGCAGCCAATGGCGCCAGCAGCGTCCCCGCAGACAGCCGTGGATTGAGTCACCCCATTATTATTATTATTTTTAAAAGGGTTTTATTACCCCTGGAAAGCGATCTGACAATCGACTAACGACCGGGTTATTGCTGGGAAACAGAAACATGTGTGTGTGTGTGTGTGTCTGGTGCGTGGAGTAAGGAAACTTGCCTAAGGTTTTGCTCTGACCCTCCCGGGAATCGAACCCAGTTCCTCTCACATGCGAGGCGTGGGGTCTCACCACTGAGCTACAGGACTCCATGCTCTCCTCTCTCTCTGCCTGGCCTCTGACACAGACCCCAAAGTCCCGGTCAGTGGTCAATGAGTCCCTCTCTCTCTCCCCCTCACCTGCTGCTGGTTGTCGGTCTGTCCAGAGACACAATGCGATAACCGTGCCGGCCATCAGGAAGCCGGAATGCCAACTGGAGCTGGAATGGGAGCGAGGGCATCTGGTGGATTTCTGGGGGAGAGAGAGAGAGAGAGAGAGAGAGAGGGGAGAAAAGGCAATATAAACGAACTGTCTTTTCATCGACTCGCTCGCTGACTGCAAAACCCTGTGAACAGCTTTCAGACGTCTCGACGACGTGATAAGGCGCTACATCAAGCGCAAGATGTCTTGTAACTCAGTGGTTAGAGCCCTCGCCTCGCAAGCTAGAGGACCTGGGTTCGATTCCCGGGCGGGACAGGACAGGGCAAAATGTTGGGCAAGTTTCCTAACTCCACACACACACACACACACCTCTGTTTACCAGCAGTAAGTAGGAACCCGGGTGTTTTCCGTGGGTAATAATCCCTTCAAAAAAATAATAAATAATAATAACTTGGTCACTCAGTCTACGACTGTTTGTGGGGACACTGCTGTGCGCAATTGGCTGCCGCCTTTCGCCCACAAAACATTACAGTCAATTAATTTGACAGTATGTTCCGCGATGTGCTTGTGGCGTCTCGAAGTCGTGGTGAGGCGCTGTATCAAATACAGGGATTATTAATACACCTGGAAACTCACACACTGATGCTCACTCACTCTGTTCGCTGCCTTCCTTGATCCCGAATTCGAAGGTGATTTCTGTGTCCTTGGTAACGTTGCCCACATACCTGACCAGCCTGCTCACAGGCTCACCCTCGTGCTTAAAGTATCTTGGAGAAAAGGGGGAGAGAGAAGACGGGAAGGGGAGTCAGTGGGTGGGAGAGGAGGTGGTCTGAGAATCAAAGGGGTTTAGTCTGGGTGAGGGACATGGAGAGAAACGCTGAGAGATACTGACTGAGTCTGGGAGAGAGAGACACTGAGAGTCACGGAGAGAGAGCGATACTGAGAGAGAGACACAGAGAGAGATACACAGAGAGACACTGACTGTGTCTGAGAGAGAGAGAGCGATACTGAGAGAGAGACACAGTGAGAGATACACAGAGAGACACTAACTGTGTCTGAGAGAGCGAGAGAGAGAGATACTGAGAGAGAGAGACTGAGCTAGTCTGGGAGATGGACGCAGGAGATTCCCAGTTCTGGAATACCGTACTGAGTGGTGACGAGAATGGCGGGAGAGGAGGGAGTGAGAGGTGGGGGGCTTGGGGTGGGGGGGGGGGGAAGAGAGGGGGTAAAGTAAAGTGGAGTAAAGTGATGACTGACTCACAAGCTCTCGTTGACCACGAAGATGGCCGTCGTGTTGGTGGCGATGATGTCGTCCTCTAAGATTAACTGAAATTCGTTGTACAAACTTATCGGGTTCACGATGTTTACCTGGGCCGGGGTGGGGGGGGGGGGGTGGGGGGGTTTGTGGGGGGAGAGGGAAAATAGGGATAAATTAAATTGTTACAGGGTTCCCCATTGACCGAGAGCCTGGTCTGTGTGACGGAGTCAGGGGGTCACTCACCTTCCCGCCTGTCTTGTCTGCCATCTGCCCCAGTTCCTGTAACCGACAATCTGTCCCCTCGATAGTCAGCACCGACACGATCACCCTTCGAAAAGGAGAGACCTATACATGCCCTGCAATACACCCCGCGCTGTGTACACACTGCCCCCCCGCCCCGCACACACACACACCCTGAGCCACGTACACACCCCTGCATACACACACACACAGCCCCCTGCATACACAACACACTGCACACACACAGCCCCCTGCATACACACACATACAGATACACTGGGCCATGTACACACTGCACACCCCACCTCACCGTGTACGCCCTCCCCCCCAGTACTTACCCTCGCTGCCCTGCGTACTCCGCCAGCTGCTGGTAGAAGAGCTTTGAGGATTGGTAAATCTCGTCCTCCTTGATGTCCTCCAAGTTACCGAGCGCTGTGTTGGCTTTGCCGTCGGTGCAGATGATCACCTAAGGGGAGAGAAGAAAACGGGGGGGGTAAATGGGGTCTCCCCTTGTCCGGGCAGCATCTTGCCAAGACCCCAAGGGGGCTGTCAGCCACAGGGAGCGAGATCCAGCTCAGGCCAAGTCTGGGACCAATGGGGTTCCTGATCGAGGGCATTGGGGTTACACAGAGTGAGGAGCCAGGAATGAGAGGCCATTGGAAACACAGACAGACAGACAGAGAGAGAGAGAGAGAGAGACAGACAGACAGACAGACAGCGAGACAGACAGACAGACAGCGAGACAAGACAGACAGCGCGACAGACAGACACGGCGCACACACACACACAGCCCTGACCTTGGAGCCTGGTTTCTGCGACGCCATCGCTATGGAGATCAACGAGGCCGGTCCCAGCGCTGTGGATCCAAACTCCTGTAACCTGACCACACAAACCCGGGAGGGAGAGAGTCTGTGACATCCACCTGAACAGGAAGCTCAGCTTAACAGCACACAGCGCCAGGCTATGTGTGGGGGGGTGGGGGGGCGCTGGGCGGGGAGGGGGGGGCGCGGGGAGTGGGGGGGGGTGGGTTGAGGGAGGGGTGATACTGTGCACACACTCCAGGCTGCCCTGGCGCTCGGTGGTGGTGGGGAGGGGGCTGGGGTTGGGGGATTGGGAAGGGGGGCTGGGGGTTGGGGGTGTGGTTGGTGCAGTGCTGTTGGGGGGTGGGGGTTAGGTACTGACGTGATGACCCGCTGCTCCAGGCTGGCCTTGCTCTCTGCGATGCTGAGGGGAAGGGGCTCCTGCAGCCCTCGAGCCTTCAGGTAATCCTGATCCATCAGCTCAAACTCCTTGAGCATCCGGGGGTCACTCATCCCGTCCCCGTACACAGTCACCTGCAGGGTGGGGGGTGGATGGGAGGGGTGGGGGTTGAAGGGCACACACTGTCACACAACGTAACTCACTGCCTCACACACACACACACCACCATCATTCACCCTCACACGCACTGTCACGCACACCGTAACAGCCCGTCACGCACCCCCTCCCCCTTCACCCCCACGCTCACGCAGGTTCTCGCCCCCCCGTTGCCCCACCATCACCGTCCCCTCCAGGTCCTGCCGACGAGCCCGGCCCGGACTAACCGGGAGCCTGAGCTCACAGAGACACCGACTCGCTTTCCCATCTTCCCGCCCACCAACCGTGACCTCCCTCCACCGCCTCCCCCCAACACCCCTCCCAAACTCCGCGGAGTTCCCGAAGGATTGCTCGGCTGCCTGTTCCCACCTCGTCGTTGAAGGTGACCAGAGCCACTCGCTTCTCAGGCGCCGTCTGTAACAAGTACTGGAAGGACTGGATCACGGCTTCCTGTACCGCCTACAACACAACACAACACGGGGCACAGAACCCACAGCCGTTAACACAGAACAGTCGCTCAGACTCCGGGGGTTACCCCAACACACGCTCTGGGCCTCCCCCTCCCCACCCACCACCTCCCAAAGTCTTGGCGCTCGGCCAAGCCGTGCCCGATACTCTCCAGGATTAGGTGGCGTGTGGCCCTCCATTGAGAGAGAGGGAGGGAGAGAGGGGGAACGTCCAAAACGCACAGGAATTTCCACCCGTAGGAGGGTAGCAACAGAACTCGGTTCAGTTCTAAGACTCTCGAACACATGGTGGTGGGTTTCAGAGTGCGTCAGACACACGGCCACCTGCCCGGCTGACCGCACAAAGTATATATATATATATACATATACACACAGAGACACACACACAGAGACAGCACGGAAACGGGACGTTTGAACCCAACCAGTCTGCGCCGGTGCTTACACTCCACGAGTCTGCGCCCCGCTCCTTACTCTCACCCCCCCCTCCCCAGCCACTTCCCCCCACCCCCGCCCTTCTATTCCCCCCCTCCGCCCCTCCCCTGTGTGAGTCCAGTTACCGGCCCCGTTGGTCGCTCGGTGAAAGGACAAACCGTTTTTATTGGTGTCAAACCGTTTTGTCGGCTGACGCGGTGGGGCTCGGGGTGACAGCGCGCCCTCCTGTGCAGGCGTAAAGGACTGCGACCGAACTCAACCCGGCGCCGGTGACGGTTTGCTGACTTACCTGTAACCGCGACATGTAGCTGGTTTGCTGATCGGCCCTGGGGTTCACCTGACGACAGAGGAGAGACGCTGGAAGTTAAGAGCAGCGTCTTTTGTTGTTACACAATTCCCAACCGCAGAGCCTTGGGAACCTCCTCGCCACGTGCAATTCGCCGTACGAATGTCAACTTGCGTTGGGGTGGGCCGCTTTGCACGTTAATAATAATAATAATAATAATAACTTGACAGTTATCAGGGACTTCGAGCCGCCTCAAAGCGCTTCACGGGACACGCTGCAAAGGGTAGCGACTGGGCGAAGCTCGGCAGCCAATTAATTGCGCACAGCAGAGTCCCGCAAACAGTCGTGGGTTGAAGTGACCAAATTTCTTTCTTTCTTTCTTTATTTTAAAAGGGATTATTACCCCCCAGAAAATCGATCCCCCAAACGACTAACAGCTGTACTGCTGGTAAACAGAGCCGTGTGCGTGTGTGAGAGTGTGTGTGAGAGTGCGTGTGCATGTCCGTGTGTGTGTGGAGTAAGGAAACTCGCCTAACGGTTTCTCCCTGACCCGTCCGGGAAATTTGCACTCGTGCTGTGTATTTGTGCTGCTCGGTGGTACCTGCAGTGTGACGCTCATGCTCCCGGATATGTCCACACAGAAGACGACCAGGGAATCGTTCTGCTGCTGGGCGCTAGCCGGGTCAGGGAGGTGGAGAAAGGTCTGATCGTCTCTGGCTCCCCCCGCCTCCACCCGGTAATCCAGAGGGTTACTGACCCCGCAATACTCACACCTCCATGTCTACAAGCCAAGGAGACAACAGGCCAGTCAGTGTGTACACAGGGAGGGAGGGAGAGAGAGCGGGGCGGGGGACAGTGGGGGAGGGAGAGGAGAGTGGGGGAGAGTGGGGGGGGGGCAGGAGGGAGAGGGAGAAAGAGAGGAAGGGAGTAGGGAGAGAGAAAGAGAGAGGGCGGGAGGATTCAGTCTGGGGCTTCAAAGACCCCAACATGTGGTGGGTTTGGGGGTGTGGGGATAGAGGAGAGGGGAAAGGGTGGTGGGGGGGGGGGTGTGGGGAGTTGAACCCACAATCTCCTGCCTCTGAGGTGAGAGCACAAGTGACTCGAGCCACAGGATGGACACTGTGACCGGAGGACGAATCCGTACGGATTGTGGAAGAGGAGAAATGGGAGGGAACGTACTCTAGTGACCTTTTCACAGCGTTTGTGCAGCAGTCGCCCCTGTACCCCCCCCCACCCCGCGCGCCCCGTCCTTCCCCGCACCTTGCCCCCAGCACCCCGCTCCCCCACCCACACCTCCACCCCTCAGCGTGCTCACGGTGGTGGGCTGGTCCTGGATCTCACTGAGAGAGGAGACGGCAGCCGTACAGCCCGTACAGTAGATCGGCATCCCGGCCTGCGGCTTGACTGCAAACAAGAGAACGAGAGAGCGAGTGAGCGAGCGAGGGCCCGAGGGCGCGAGAGCAGGGGAGGGAATGAGCCACACACGAGAGCCAGCGACGGAGACGGTGAGAGAGAGCGAGAGAGCGAGAGAATGACAGAGAGAGGGAGAGAGACAGAGGAGCAATGAGAGAAAGAGAGAGTGGGGGGGAAGGGGGATTGAGAGAGAGGGTGGGAATGACAGAGAGAGAAGGGGGCAATGAGAGAGAGAGAGAGTGTGGGGGGTGGGAGGTGGGGGGATTGAGAGCGAGGATGGGGGAAAAAGAGAGAAGGCAAAGAGGGGAGGTCCCAATCTTGATCCCAGCGATACACCAGGGTAATGGCGCCATTGTCTGGCAAAGATCAGAGGACGCCCCCAGTGTGGGCTTGACCGAGGGAGAGACTGAGACAGACCCCGGGTGATACCTTACCGTTTCGGACGTGGACCAGTTTGCCCACATTGGCCAACACCACGTTGGGATTCCCCTTCAGCGGCTTGTCCTGGGGAAAACCTGGGAGGAGGTGGGGAGGGGGGGGGTGGTGGGGGAGATAGAGCGGAAAACAGCCCATGTCATTGCCTGCTGTACTCTCTACTGGAAACCAGGGGGGAGTTTCTCTACACCCTTTCCCCCTTATTCTCCCCCCTTATTTCTCCCCCCCCATCTCCCACCCTCACACCGGTTTCCTGGCCGACAATCCCCCATCCTCTTCCATCCCCACCCCCTCAGATAAAATCGCTTGTTCTCTTCACTGCTGTTTGTGGTGACCACCGCGCACGCAAACTCTGGCTGACTCGTTCGCCCTCAAAGACACACAGTCACTACACTTGACGGCAGATGCTGGAAAGACCTTCGAGACATCGTCCGGATGTTAAAAGTCATCGTACGAGAGGCGAGGATTGTTAATGATTATTATTATTATTATTATTGTTGTTCGGAAACAATGGATAAGTTGGACTCACTTCTCTCTGGGAGTGGGGGGGCCTGGGGCTGGTGGGGGGGCTCAATCACTTCCACATAGTCAGGCAGTCGCTGCAGTGACTCGGGCCTTGGGGGGAGAGGGGGAGGCTGCCCTGAGGGGGAAACAGAGCACACAGGTTAACACAACGACAACACACTGGCCACAAAATACACAGTCACTACACTCAACGGTCTAGACTGTGAAGCGCTTTGAGACGTCACGACGGCGTGAACAGGCGCTGTGTCAAATACCAGGATTATTATTATCTACAACACGTCACCCGTGTCCCCCCCCAACCCCCCTCACTCCAACCACACTCGCCCCCTCCGGTTAAAGTCTCTCCCTCAATCCCTCCACCACGTCGCCATCTCTGCCCATCTTCCGATCGCACCCGAAGACCTTCCTCTTCGACCGTGCTTACGGTCACCTCCCCCCCTCCCACTGGCTCGGGGTCAGGCTCCGCCATTGTCAAGCGCTCTTGAGACTCTGCCCTGGCTTGCGTGAAGAAACAAACCAACCCACAAACCCACCCACCCGCAAACCCACCCACCCGCAAACCCACCCACCCGCAAACCCACCCACCCACAAATCCACCCATCAAGTCACAAACCAACTCGCAGAGCGCTGTTTGCTGTTGGAGCTGTGAGGCTGTGCTGACCAGGTGCGGGTTCTTACCTGAGCCCAGATTGCTGACCCCGCTGCGAGGAGGGCGAGGGGTGGGGGCTCTGGGTTTCGAAGCCCCCAAGGCCGGTGACGCCGGTTCCTTCCTGTTGCCGTAGTAGGGCCCGGAACCTCCCGTGTCCTTGCAGAGCAGCCCAGCGGGGGCCGACGGCCTGATGGAGGAGGACGGAGAGGGGGTGGAAGCCACGTAGCTGTAGATGTCGTGTTCTGAGTGGCAAAGGCTGTTGGTTTTGGGGGGCCGGGGCGGGGGGAGGGGCTGGGCTGGGGCAGCAGAACCTTCTGCGATATCGTAAATGGCCGAGCCGGGGGCCGGGGGCTTCCTGTTGTCGTATTTTGGTGAGGGTCCGTCGCCGGGTGCATCAGTAGCTGGGGGTTTGCAATAGATGTGGGCGCTGCCCCCCTCAGGGGGGTCCCTCACGCTCTGGTTGTCGTATGTGCGGATGGATCCATCGTGGGGCGTGTCGGCGGGGGCTGAGCTGGGGTCGAGGGGAGTGGAGGTGCACCCCCACCCAGAGGGGTCTCTCACACTCAGGTTGTCATACGTCCGGACCCCGGCATTGCTGGTCACGGGGTCGTACAGCGGGTCACTGGCGGGGGGGGCGCTGGCCCACACGGCCTCCCCAACACCTTCACCTGGGACAAGACAATAACACATCAATAACAACCACCACCACCGATGACCTTGACGCAGAAGGCGCGGTCGAGGAGGAGGGTCTTGAGATGGGCCTTGATGGAGGCCAGAGGGGAGGGGATGGAGGGCGAGGCGATGGGGGAGGGCGAGACGATGAGGGAGGGCGATGGGGGAGGGAGGGGAGGGCGAGGCAATGGTGGAGGGTGAGGCGATGGGGGAGAAGGGTGCAGGGCAAGGGACTGTGGGATGGAGTTCCGGAGGGGAAGACAGCGAATGAGACGCGTCGCACGGTTCACACGCAAACACGCGTGTGGAGCGTAAACCGCGGCGGATCACGAACTCACCCAGAGACACGTTGCTCAGGGCTTCACGAACGCTGTCTCCGCGGCGGCACGACTTCTCCGAAGGTTTCCCGACGTAAATATGACTGCTGGCAAACTCCATCTCGGGAGAGGTGTCCTGGCCCCCGCACAGAGGAGACAGTTCAAGATCCTGACCCTCACCTTCAAAGCCCTCCATGGTCTTGCTCCCCCACTCCCCGGCCCCCCACACACCCTCCCCGACCTCCTGACCGCCTCCCCCCACCCCCCCCCCCCCGCCGCTACCCCCCTGTCCGCCTCCCTCGCCACCTTCAAGTCCCACCTCAAGACCCTCCTCTTCGACCGTGCTTCTCCCCCCTTCCACTCCCCCCTCCACGCTCCCCCACATGTAATTTTGTTGTTGTTATTGTACCCTCCGGGGGGCGAGGGGAGGGGAGGGAGAGAGGAAACGGTGGTGGGTTTCCGCGTGTGTCAGCCCCCACCCCACCCCTCCATTTTGTTACAGATTATTATGCTTTCCTTTATTATTATTATTATTGTTGTTATTTCGCCCGCACACCCTTCAGTCAATTCACTTCACGGCGGATCCTGCGAAGCGCTTTGAGACGTCTGGATCAGGCGCCGTATCAAAGGCAACGATTATTATTATTATTATTATTATTATTATTATTATTATTATTATAACAACATTCTGCGGTGCCCAAATTTTTTTTATTCCAGATGTGATGCTAATCAATCCCTCGCTAAGGTCCGTCACCGTTTCCATCTCCCTGTGAGGCGCGAGAACGCTACCCAGATTCCTCAATAACCTGCTCGTCCAGCAGCGTAGGGCGGCTGCCATAGGCACGAACACAACAGACCCAAAATAGCTCCTCAACCTCCCAGCCAGCGAGAGAAACATCAGCTGATTCCCGAGGCCACGTCGCACGGAGAGACAACACGGGCACTTAATGATAATAATAGTCCTCGCATTTGATATAAGCGCTTTTCACGTCGGGAGGACGTCCCAAAGCGCTTCACCAGAACACACTGTAAAGTGAATTGACTGTATATTTGTGGGCGAACTTGTGGGGGGTGGGGGGGGCACGACGGACAGGCTCTGTCACTGACCGGCTTGCTATGATTATAATAAATAATAACAGTCCTTGCGTTTCATACAGTGCCTCATCGCATCGTTGGGACGTCTCGAAGCCCTTCGCTGTTACCTTTTGGGGGAGAAACCCAGCAGCCATTTGCTTCCCCACAAACACTCGCGGATGGAGGTGACCCATTTTTGAAGGGATTTATTGCCTCCGGGAATGGATCCACCAATCCACCAACAACCGGGTTCCTACTTACTGGGAGGTAAACAGGGGCGTGTGTGCGCGCCCGCGCGCCTGTGCAGTAAGGAGACTTGCCGAAGGTTTTGGCCGGCCAGGGAATCGAACCCAGGTCCTCTCGCTTGCGAGGCGAGTGCTCTCACCCCTCGGCTGCAGTCTTGTCCGACTGAAACAGAAAACTTGGCCGCTCAACCCCCGGCTGCTTGTGGGACGCTGCTGCGCGCAATGGGCTGCCGCGTTCTGCCCAAGAAAATACACACTGATAAAAATCAATCAGATTTCATAAGGACCTTATTTAAATCAAATTACCCTCATCAAACTATCCCCTTCCTCTCCTCTCTCTCTCACACACACTCCCCCCCCCACACAACCATAAAAAACCCCAACAGGACACCTCCTGACTTTTAACACAGAGAACAGAAATTAAAATGCAAATCCCCACTCCCCCACAAAAACTTTTGGCTGCAAAATAAAAGGAAAGTTTTTAACTCACGTGTTTCTGTCCTGTTCTGCTTCGCTGAAGGACGTTACGGTGTGAACACACTCCTCCCCCCGTTTGTAGACATATATATATATATCTAAATAAACTTATCTTTTGGGGTTTCTGTAGGATGATGGAAAGTGTTGTGGAGCACTCTCTCTCTCTCTCTCTGTCTGTCTGTCTGTCTCTCTCAGTCTGTTACTCTCCCTCTCTGTCTGTCCTTCTGTGTCTCTGTCTGTCTGTCTGTCTGTCTGTGTCTCTCTGTTTGTCTGTCTCTCTCTGTCTGTGTCTCTCTGTCTGTCTCTCTCTCTCTCTCTCTGTCTCTCCTTTTTCCCTATTCCAATGCCTTCCAGTTTCGGTTTCCTGGGTTCTCAGGTGAGCAAACAAGTTACCTGTTGGTGTGGGGGGGGGGGGGGGGGGGGAGACAGGTGAGCAAATAAAAACGCAGCTACCTGCTGGGCAGGTGTGTGTGTGTGTCTCCTCCCACCCACACAGTCAGCCCCTGGGGCTGTGTTGTCAATAACTTCACTCTATTCTCTCAGGTACACAATAAAAGGCAAATATGCCCCCAGGCCCCCCCTGTATACCCTGATCCTCGCTCCTCCCTGACCTGTTGCTAATCTCCTCTCCTCGTCGTTCAAAGCTCTGTCGCCACTTTTAATCCAGAGATTTGTTTGGTGTTTTTTTGTGCCCAAACCAGTGTGCATTCTCTGTCTGTCTCTGTGTCTCTCTGTGTGTCTCTCGCGCTCTCTTCTGTGTGTGTGTCTCTGTCTCTTATCTCTCTCTGGAGAGGAATCTGCACATAGGGCTAAGTCATGCAAATCCCACACACGGAGCCGGGAAGTGCAGATCAGACGCAACGCCCTGATCTTTTCCAACGGTGGGGTTACAGGAGGAACATTCTCTCCTTGGCGCCCCATTCCCCCCCACCCCGGCCCCCACTCCTTGTCCCCACACACTGATAACAACTTGCATTTATATAGCGCCCTTCACACTGGGAGCGTCTTAAACATATAACTATGTTTATACAGTGACCCACCTGTAAAAAGGAACAGGGTGTGGGGGCGGTGGATAAAACTAGCAAAAAAAAGAGACACCTGAATAGGAGTTGAGCTCCAGGAAGAAAATATAGTGGGAGGGGGTGAAACAAAAATGGGAGGAATACTGAAAGCTGTCCTTCAAGATAAACAAGATTAGCGTCATACATGCGTAAAGAAAATGTCTGTTTCCTTTCCTCATCTTTGGCAGCCATCCACAGACAGCAAGGATTATTATTATCATTATAACACACTACAATTGTACCATTGAGATGGTAGGGGGTATGTGTGTGTGTGCGCGTGTGTGTGAGCCCAGTTGACAGTGGAGATTGGATCAGGAAACAGGGTACACTTTCTTCCCTGGTTGCCGGGGAACATGCAAAAACATTCCTCGCCACCGGCACCACAAAGGCTCAGTGTTTCAGCCGTCCCTTCGTCCTCCGGGCACACTCTCCGTGGCTCGGCCTCAGGCTCTGCCACGGTTAAACACTCCGCGACGCCAGCCCCCGCCCGAGAAGGACGTTGGGTGAATGCAAGTAGCAGTTGTTCTTGTTCGGCCCGTTCCCATCATCCCGTCTTTTCTGAACACGCTCATGTTCCTCAGGTCTCTTTCCCCCTCCACCCTCCGCACACACGAGCGCACACACACACACACATACAGACGAATGTTCAGAAGAGGCTGCATATTTACGAGGAATAAAACTAATCTCAGGCTAATTTGGGGAAGTCATCTCAAGCTAATTTCTCTCCTCTTCCCCCCACCCCTCCCCACCCCACGACCCACCTCCCACTTTGATGACAGTCGACGATTTAAATAACCCCTTGTGAAGGGCACTACTCAAACACAAGTTATTACAAGTACATTTTGTTGTTGTTTTTAAAGCGTCAATCTCTTTGAAAGCATCGTGCACACAAGAGGATTTTTTTTATTGGGGGGGGGGGTGGGAGAATGGTGTTGGTTTGGTGGGTGGGTGAGGGGGTTGGGAATCAGGCTGAATTATTTTCTTTAAATATGTGGAATTTTACAAGGGCCTATTTTTTCTTGTCGAAGAAAGCGAACAATCCAGTGTTCTGCTGAGCTGCTTTCTTGTCTGGCGGGTTCTCACCTGGCAAGGTCTGGCCTGGTCCACTTTGTCCTGGCGCCCTTTGGCTTGGCACACTCTGGCTTGGTACACTAGGCCTGAGCACACTCGGGCTCACTGCGCCCTGGCTCCGCATGGCCTGGCTCGGGATGCTGGTGCTGGGGCTGAAGGGCATGGAGCTGGGGCCGAAGTCAGGGCCGATCTGTAGCAGTGACCAGCTCTTGGTGCCGCTGTTCTCGCTGGTCCCCATCCAGCTGTTGAGAGCATTGAAGTGACTGAACAGAAGGTCTTCGGTTGTGTTGGCATTGTGGAGGCGCTCAGTTTGGGGTCCACCGCCCACACCGGCCTCCCGGGGCTTAGCCTCGTGTCTGGGAGCTGCCACGGGAGCTGGGCTGGGGACTGAGGCTCGGGCTGGGGTGGGGGCTGGGGTGGCAACTGGGGCTCGGGCTGGGGTGGGGGCTGGGGTGGGGGCTGCGGTGGGGGCTGGGGTGGCAACTGGGGCTCGGGCTGGGGTGGCGGCTGCGGTGGGGGCTGGGGTGGCAACTGGGGCTCGGGCTGGGGTGGCAACTGGGGCTCGGGCTGGGATGGGGGCTGCGGTGGCAACTGGGGCTCGGGCTGAAATGGGGGCTGGGGTGGGGCCTGGGGCTCGGGCTCGGGTAGGGACACCAACAGCTTTGCCGTGTTCCCGGGGTTTAGGAGGTTCCTGAGCTTTGGGGGGCGGTGGGAATTTGGGGGGTTGCCAGGTTTTGACAGGCTCCCTGGCCTTACTGTGTTCCCGGAATTTTCCTACTTTGCTCCGCTTGCCGGCCTCCGAGGGCTTGGTGCCTTTGTCCTTGTCGCTCTCGCTCGAGCTGCTGGACTGCTGTGGTTCCTTGCTTGCCTTCGAGATGCTTGTGTCCACCTGCTGTTGCTTGGCTTGTCGGGCCTCAGTTAAGCCGATGATGGGAACCTTCTCCTGGAATAATGAGGAATCGACAGACCCGGCTTCGCTGCTTATGCTGCTGGACCGCGACTGTTCTTCGAAGTCCGGCTTCTTGAACTCCACCATGACCCCGACGTACGACTCTATCTTCTTGATGTTCATCTTGTCCCTCTCGATCTCCTCGTCCTCATCATAGTGTTCGTCACTATCGTGGGGGCTGGAGTGGAGGGAGATGGACGGAGACGGGGTGATCGAGGCAGGAAGTGGAAATCGGAATTTCTTTTCCTAAGAAAAACGACAACAAAGGAGAAAACGCATTTAGAGTAGGAATGATGATGATTCCTTGCATTTTGATGTCTATATACTGCAAAGATATATTTTGCGGGAATTTTTATGATTAAACTTTTATGATTATGATTAAAGACTGTGTATTTTGTGGGCGAAATGCGGCAGCACAATTACGCCCAGCGACGTCCCCACAAACAGCCGTGGGTTGAGCGACCAAATTATTATTATTGTTATTATTTTTTTGGACAAATTATTATCCCTGGAAAGCGATCCGACAATCGACTAAACAAGCGGCTTCTTACTCAGTGCTGGGTAAACAGAGGCGTGTGTGTGGAGTAAGGAAACTTGCCTAAGGTTTGCCTAATCGAACCCGAGCCCTCTTGCTTGCGAGGCGAGCTCTCTATAACCACTGAGCTACCGGATATCTATCCCACAACCTTTTAATCGTCGATACTTTTAAGCTAATGAACACTTACACTCGTCAGCTCAGAGGATTTGTATTTGAACTCTTCAGGGAAGACCTTGGAGAGGGCCATTCTCCTGGAGTAGGTGTAGAACTGAGCGAACGAGAGACAGAAAGAGGTATTTAAGTAATGTAAAAGCCAACAACTCATCTTCAGGCAGCCGACTTTTATCGGGGTGGAGAGGGAGCTAGAAACTCAGGGCTCTCGTGCCATTGGGTTGTTAGTGTCCACTCGCAGAGGTGAACAGACCCCGAGTTTAGAGTTTGGCACGTCGCAGCTGAAGGACGGTGACTCTGTTTCGAGCGCTCTTCCTCCAGCACTGCGCTGGACCCTCATTGTGCCGGAACTTAGCTGCATTGGAGCTGAGCTGAGAGCTCAAAGTCTCCACGCACGGCTGGAACTCGGAGGTTGAGAGCGCGAGCGACTGAGCCACGAACAGTCACCGTACCCCTCCACGCAATCGATCGATCGGGCCATTAACCCATCAATCAATCAGTCAATCAACCAGTCACCTAATCAGCAGCTGGTCTCAGGCTCCCCTTTCCCAGGAAGCCAGACAGTGCAGCCCCTCACCCTGGCCAGGTACCCCCACCCCCCCACCCTCTCTCTTTCTCTTTCTCACCCGCCCCCCCCATCTCTCTCTCTCCGCCCCACACCCGCCCCACCCCGTGCGCAGCCCCTCACCCTGGCCAGGTAGCGCCAGTCCAACAGGTCAGAGAGCCTCTCGGTTCGGTTCCGCTGAATGATGCGTTGCCGCCGGGACTGGTTGCAGAAGCTGTACAGGAACGACGTCAGCTGGTTGCAGGACTCGTCCAGACTCTTGAAGCGACGGTCCAAGATATAAATCCCTGCCACATGGAATCCAGGGGTCAGTTCATTTATTTGTTTATTTATCTATTTCATTTCGCAAAAATACAGTCGCCCTCGGCCACGCCTCGCAAGGTCGAGATGGTCTGTCTATCCCCACCCGCCCCAAACCCGCCCCCACCCCCCCGCCCCCGCACTGCGCCCCTCAACTCCTCGCTCACCGTAGGCCGAAGGATCCGAAATGTGCTCCTCCATGAAGCAGCCGAACCCGGAGAGGTTGGTGGACACGCTGGGAATTCCCATCACCGTACACTCCGCTGGTGAGATGAGGACCGTCCCAAGGGAGCAAAGCAAAAACCGTCAGATCCCAACCCCTCTTGGTCACAAAACAACAACAACAACTTGTGTTTACCCAACGCCCTTTTGCGCAAGGGACGGTGTCTCCGAGCTCTTGACAAAATACAATACGTGCAAACACGCCCGCTCGGTACGGTACAAAACGACACGATTTATTCTTGACAATCCTGACTGGGCACCTGAGCTTAGGGGGTAGAGGTGGGGGATTAAGAGCCACAGGGGGTGGGGGGGTGGGGGGTGGTGTGGGGGCGGCGGTTGGGTGGTGAGGAGGGGGTAAGTTTATTATTATTATTATTACTACACTTTACAGTATTTGCTGGCAGGCGTTTTGAGACGTGATAAGGCGCTGTATCAAATGTAAGGATCATTATTGTTGAGATGACCGAAATTTAGACTTCAGCAGTTACCCCAACGCACACTCTGGCCGTGTGTGTCAGACACCCGCACGGCCACTTCAAACAACCTCGCCGGTTGTCTCACTGACCCGTCAGGCTCCCCCGTTCAGGCTCAGTCCCGGCCTCACCTGGTGTGTAGCCCCACGGCTCGTAGTAAGAGGGGAAGATTCCCAAGTGGCAGCCACGGACAAAGTCATCGTACTCCAAGGGGAGCAGTGGGCTGGTGGAACTCAGGAACTCCGGGTGGAAAATCACCTTAACAACAACAACAAAATGACATTTACACGGCACCTTTCAAGTCAGGAGGACGTCCCAAGGCCGCTGGACAATCAGTGTTTTGAACCTGAGCTGGGGGCCGGGATCGGGGAGGGTGGAGGGCAGTGGGCGAAGGAGGGTGAACGAAGGCATGGTCGAAGAGGAGGGTCTTGAGACGGGTCTTGAAGGAGGCAAGGGTGGGGGCGAGGTGGAGGAACTGCGGGATGGACTTCCAAACGGTGGGGGTAGAGTGGCAGAAGGATCTAACTCACAGATGGATTGAAGATGCCAGAGGTGAAGTGGCCAGGCCACGGCTAGGGTCTGGTCACCCCACCAGCACCCCCACCCCCACCCCGCCCTCCTCACCTTAACTCTGTCGTGGGGGCTGTTGAACAGACCCAATCTCCGGATGGTGCCCAGGATGGGATCCGAGGAATCTTCAATCATGTTGTGCGTGCAGACCGGGGGCAGAGAATGGCGCTAGATGGACGAGAGAGAGAGAGAGAGAGAGAGAGAGGGAGGGAGTGAAAGAGAGAGGGGAGCGGTCAACAAGTCTTCCACACTCTGTAGTTCACATTAAAATCCTTCTAGACCAGTGCTGGCCAAGTTAGAGGGCCATCGATAAGCACCACAGTCCCACCCCCCACTCCCACCACGAACATTCCTACGAGAGGCAACAGCGCGCTAACATTGCTCGGAGGTGCTATCCGTTGGGATGAGACGTGAGACAAAGAATACCGTCTGCCTGCTACAGGTGGACGTTAAAGATCCTGCGACGATATGGCAGAGAGAGGGTGGGGGGGAGGGGGGGTGTCTTCCCCCCTCTCTCTGCACATAGCTTCCCCTCCCCTTCCTCCTCCTCTCCCAGTCCCCTCCACCTCACCCCTGGACCCACGTGTCCCACGGACTCACCTGGGTGGAGTAAAGGGCTCTCTTCATCATGGTGAGATCGTCCCTATCCAGGATCTTGCTAATGTTTGGTGTTTCCCCACTGAAACGGAGCAACAACTTGAGTTTATAACAGTTGCGGAGCTCGATTGAAGATGGGTTAAGCGGGGGGTAAGGAAGGGGGGGCTCTGTGTGCAGTGGGGGAGGGAGAGGACAGGCGACCTGAAGCCATGCGAGGGGGATGGGATGGGGGGAGGCGGAGGGGTCACTCACACAGGGATCCACCTCCCCCTCTAACCACCCCCCCACCACCACCGACCCGGCTTGACCCCTCGCATGGGAACACACTGAGAAAGCCCCCACCGCTGCTGTACTCACATGAGCAGCGCCTCGTACAGCTTCTTGCCAAACTTCTCCTTCACAGCATTCGCTGTGTCCCTGGAAGCGAAGGGGAAAAACCTCACGTGTCGTTCAAAACTCGGACACGTTTCCGATACGGCAGGTAACAAGGGGGTTATTTCTGTCGCTCATCGACCAATTGGGGTTGGGGGTGTTGGGGTGGGGAGGAAAGAGAGAGAAATGCGGTAACCACAGCAACGTGCTTTTGAAGGCTGAGGTCAAATTTTCCAGCCTCAGGTGGGGAGATGTGTGAGCTCAGGGGGTCGCGGGGCAAAGCCGGGAAATTGGGGTTGAGTTACAGACCAGCCGTGATCTTATAGAATGGCGGGAGAGGCTCGAGGGTCTGAATGGCCTCCTCCTGTTCCTACGAGGACCCCCACCCCCTCCCCGCGGCACAAGGCGAGACCCACCCCCTGACTGGCGACGGACGCTCACCACAGCTGTTTCCGCACCGCCTGCCCTTTCAGGGTCTCCACGTTGAAGTTGTTGGTGCGAGCGGGCATGATGAAGAAGGCAATAACTGTCATCTCGCTCTGGTTCACCTGTCACCAGGAACACGGTGTTGGTTTGAGTGGGTTGGGGTGAGGGGGGGGGGGGGGGCGGTGGTTTCCGTTTAAGACAAAATAAGGAGCTATTCCCCCCACCACCCACTCCCCCCGCCCCCCCCCCCATTAATAATAATAATCCTTACAACTGGTGCAGCCCCTTTTCCGTCAGGAGCAGGTCCCAAAGTGCTTATGGGATACACTGTAAAGAGTAGTGCGTTTTGTGGGTAAAGGGGGGATCTGGTTTGCGCCCCAGCGACATCCCCTCTCCTTGCGGGCAGCGTTTCGCCCACATACACCCACGAAAGAAACAGTCACTCCACTTTACAGCGTGTCCTGTTTGAAGCGCTTTGAGACGTCTCGACGACGTGATAAGGCGCTGGGCCAAACGCCAGGATTATTATTATCTTTATTATTGTTAATACCATTATCCTAACCGGGGCAGAGTTGGAGGCGTAAAGCATCTCCATCTGCCTGAACTGAACCCCCCCCACCCCCACGACACTGACTGCCATTTGGGCATTGGGCCAGCCCTCCTTCCAAACTCTACCGGTTCCCGAATTCGGCCAACGTGGGTTCCGTTTATCACGAGGGGATCTGGGGGCGTGGGGGGGGGGGGAATCTTACATTTAACAGCTCTTCACACAGACACCCACCCAGCAGTTTAACCCCCAACGCACACTCTGGGGCTCCCCCCACCAGGCTAGGGAGCAAGCTTTACTAACCCTCAGGAGGTAGTTGAGCCGCGCCAAGGCCTCCAGAAACACGTCGGCCCCTTTGTTGGTGAACTCGTAACGCCCGGCGATGAAGAAGAGCAGCGTCTTGTCAAGGCTGAAGTCCAAGTGGCTGCAGAGAAGGAACAGCAATTGTTATCGCGCTCGCCTCGCAAGCAAGAGGACCCGGGTTCGATTCCCGGCCGGGCAGGGCAAAGCCGTAGGCAAGTTTCCTTACCCCACACACACGCACACGCACACACACACACGTGCGCCTGTTTACCAGCAGTAAGTAGGAACCCAGACACCCGGTTAGTTGATAATAATCCCGTCAAAAAAAATAATAATTTGGTCACTCGATCCATGACTGTTTGTGGGGACGCCGCTGTATGCAATTGGCTGCCGCGTTTCGCCCACAAAATACACAGTCATTAACACTTTACAGTGTATCCTGCGAAGCGCTTTGAGAAGCTGCAACGACCCGATAAGGCGCTGTATCAAATGCAGGGACGATTGTGATTATAACAAGTTTACTGGTGTGAGTCGAGAGAGAGAGAGAGAGAGAAAGAGAGAGATTATCTTACCCGTAAAAGTGACCTCTTATGAATTCCTGGATCAAGGCTTTGCTCTTTGCGTGCAAATTCTGGAATTCGTGCATGGCGGAGAATTTCTTCACGTTCAAACCATTGGGCGTCACTAGATCTGTGGGAGGGAGACACAATGTGTTTTTTTTCTTTGGTCAGCCGGGTGTCTGACACATGTGGAAACCCACCACGGTGGCTTAATGTGTCTCCAAACCAGGCTGAGAATTCCAGGCCTCCCACCTACGCATGGAAATCCCAGCGATAGATTGTTGGAATGGAATACGCTCTCTCTCTCTCTCTCTCTCTCCCCCCCCCTGGAGGGTCATCTCCTGCTTACTTAATTCCAGAGAGTATTAGGCACAGGTTTGGCTACAGCCAAGGCTTGGTGGTGGGGGGAGCCCAGAGTGTGCGTTGGGGGTTAAACTGCTGGAGTCGAACTGGTTAAAACCGCGATGCTTGCCATTGATATCGCGCGCAATGGGTTGGTGATGGCTGGGTATTTGTGTAAAGAGCTGTTAAATGTAAGACTTCCCTCCCACGCCCCCAACCAACCAACCGCACTCCGGCCAGTCTGGGGGCGAGGGGAGACTGGGTGGGGGAGTGGTGGGGGGGGGAGAGAAACGGAGAGCTGGCGAGAGGGGTAACGGCCCACCTGGTTTTCGCTGCAGCAGGAACTCGGCCTCGACGGCAGTAATCTTTGAGACGGTTGTGAAGGTGTGGCAGCAGTGCACAGCAGCACGTTCCATACAGTAACGGTGATAGATCTGCTTCTCACCAGCTTCTCGGTCCAGGTTAAACTGATGAGAGAGACGTCAGCACAGAGCACTGCAACACCACACACGCACACACAGCACTGACACCCATCCCCACACAGGCTCCTCGGGCTGTACTCACGTAGGGGAGGTTGTTGTAGAAGTCCACGCTGCCGGCACACAGGTAGCGGCCCAGCAGGGTGGCGTGTGTGGTGAACACGGTGGCCACGGGAAGCTTGCGTGTTCGGCACAGCACCAGCCCCACCCCGGACAGCCACTCGTGGAAGTGAACCACCACAAAGGTTTTCTGCTTTCTCTGAGCGAGGAACTGTCAGCGAGGAAACCAGACGGCGAGTCAGACACTCACAGTCTGTCAGTGCCAGTGACTGCACACACTCACAACACCCCCCCCCCCACACACACACACACAACATATACACCCACAAACACACAACACACTCACACCCCCCCCACACACACTCACAACACACACACACCCCACACACACACTCACAACCCCCCACACACACCCCACCCACACACCACAACACACACACTCACAACACCCCACACACACCCACACACAGAAACAAACAAACATAGACACAAACAACCCAAGCACCTTCCCTTCCCCAAGTGCACACACAACACCCCCCACCCCCACATACACACCCGCACCTACACACACGTGGTGAACTCACTTCTCCTATGAACCAGGCGTTGAGGAAGCCAAACAGGATAGCGTCGTTCGCCTCCCTGTCGTACCAGGGGATCCCGATGGTGCAGCTCTCCCAGAATTCCGACTTCCACTTGTCCAGGTTCCAGGACGTGGCGTCGAGGTCGAACAGCAACACGAACGGGGTTCCGTCAATCAACCATCGGCCAAAGTACACCTGGAAAGTCACAATCCGGGAAACAAGACACCATCAGGGGCGCAAGGCTGCTTTACACCGGGAAACAAAAAGGTGGAAAGAAATATTGTGCTCTTTCCGTCCGCGCTGTTGTGCGTGTATCACAAATATCATTATTATTATTATTATTATTTATTATTGTCATTCATATTCACAAGGGACAATGTTCCCAGTTGGCACAGGTGATTTCACACGTGCCAGCAACACGCAGGGAAAAGTCTGGAGCGGGATTTATTAGATCAGAATAACCACCATCCTTGCTTTTGACACCACGCCTTCTCGCTGACGTCGTCGAGACGTCTCAAAGCGCTTCACAGCGCTATTGTCGAGTGAACTGACTGTGTGTTTTGTGGGCGAAACGCGGAAGCCAACTGCGCACAGCAGCGTCACCCCCACACACACAGCCGTGGATTGAGTGACCGATTTTTTTTCTCTGGGAGGGCTTATTAACCCCCTGGAAAGCGATCGGCCCATCACTTTCCAGGGGGGTAATAAGCCCTCCCAGAGATGTAAAGCAGAGGTGTGTCCTCGCTCGCGAGGCGAGTGCTCTAACAACTGAGCTACGGCGGACTCCACAAAGCTGGGCATTGCACAGCTGACCGAGAAGAGAACGTCTCAAATAGTCAACTACATAACTTTGGCTCTGGATAACGGTTGGGCCAGTCTCTCTCAGTGTAGTTACCTTACAGCCTTTAGAGTTCATGGACTCAATGGAACGCTTGATTGCATGGTTGGGGGGGTCGATCAGCTCCACTTGGGTCCTGACGTTGTAGTCAAAGTAGGGCCCCATCAGCACATAGTTGTCTCCCCACTCGGTGCCAGTGATCTTGGCTTTGGTCTGGATCACCGTGTAGATGCCTCCAACTGAAGCCAAACACAAACAAACAAACAACAACAAATTATACTTGTATAGCGCCCGTCCCAGTTAGAAAGACATCCCAGGGCGCTGAAAAATAAGGGGGTTTGGGATCCTGGCTCGGGTGTCAAGCTCCACCACTGTCAAGCGCTCTGAGACGCAACCCTCCCACACGCACACACACAAAAAAAACCTGTCAACACGGGACATCACCTTTATTGGCCACTTCCCAGGCCACCTCAAAGAGGTACACATTTTCTTTAAGTCGCTCATCGGTCAAGTCTTCGAGGGAGGTGAAAGAGGGGTCCTTGTAGCGGGGCATGTCTCAAAATTCTTCTGAAGTGGAGGCAGAACGAAAAGTGCATCAACGCTCTAAGGTAAACAGGACATCAAAGATGGTGTGTGTGGAGATGTGTGTGTGTGTGTGTAAACAAGGAGACCTCGAGCTGTGCAGTGAGTGGGCACAAAGCCTGAATGCCTGTAGTGAGCCATTGGGCAAGGAACAATCTTGGGTCGGGCAAACACTTGCCAACCTCCTCCCCCCCCCCACCGACAATCAGCCAAGTCCAGCTGATCTGTGACTGACAGCAACCTCGACCAATCACTAAGCCAAGCCCACCTGCCCCCTCTTGTCAACCGCGGCACCTTAGGCTAATCAGCCTGCAGGGCGGGACTACCATTGAGTCATGAGGGGCTGACATTGTTGTCAATTCGATGGCATCACAAAGGTAGTGGCGGGGGGTGAGCGGGGGGCTGGGCTGGGTCTGTGCTAAGGCTGGACAAGGGCAGGGGCTGAACAAGGGGTCTGTGTTCAGTGTAGGGTCTGTGCTCTATCCGAACACTGTGCTCCACGGGAACACTCTTCCTCTAACCCACCCTCTGCCTTGCCCTCTCCTTCCCCATCTTCAGGTCACGCCTGAAGACCTTCCTCTTTGACCGTGCCTACGGTCACCTCCACCCTCCCTCTCTCCCTCCCACCAGCTCAGCATTGAGCTCCACCACCGTCAAGTTCTCTGGGACGCTACACCACGTGAGGGGCGCTGTGCAAATGCAAGATGTTGTTGTGCTCAGCAATGGGTCTATCCTTAATGTAGGGATGGGTGAGTCAAGTCCCAATATCAGATGTAAATCCGTTGCAGAGACAACTGATGCCAACTGAGCCAAGACTGATCTCCTCCCACCCCCCCCACCCATCACCCCATTGATGTTCTAAATAATAATACTACTACTTTTGATACAGCGCCTTATCATCATTAAGAACGTCTCAAAGCGCTTCACAGAATATATTGTAAAATGGATTGACTGTGTGTATATTAAATAAAACATTTTAATACACAAACAGAGGAAGAGGATTGTTATTAAATAAACCATGAGGAATCAAACCCCATTAGGGGACTGAGGAATATTTAATCTCACGTCACGTGTACCTTTGGGACTGATTCGTGAAGGTCTGGACACAAAAGATGTCAATCAAATCAGAGCTTTATTCTCATTGGAAACACAGCAGGTTCGACTCCGAAGGGAAAGCATCAATCAAGTCGGTGAAACTTACACACACACACACGTGGGACTAACGGTTTCATCTGGCGAATTTCGAGCGAGCCGCGAGCATGCTGGCAAACCCGAGAAGCAAGAGAAACAAAGCGACCACCAACACAGTAGTGATCACCACCATGGCGCCAGAGCGAGGGGTGGTGTCTGCGTCAATGGAAGAGTAACTTGGAGGGTCGTCTGAAGGGAAGGATAGGAGAGAGAACAGGTTTCAGTGGTTGAGCTTGTAAATCAAAGGGCATTTCTCCTCCACATGGTCTAATAATAATAATAATAATAATCCTTGCATTTTATACAGCGCCTTATCACATCTTCGAGATGTCTATAAAGTGGAGAGTTCCTGCATCCGTTCATTCACCAGACACGCCCCCATCTCACCTCTGGTTGCTATGGGTGCAGACCACTTGGTGGTCACCAGGGCCTCTTCGGACACACTGTAAATGATGTAGCGAACCCTACGGACAGATGGGGAAGAAGTGAACGTCCAAACAGACAACAGCAACTGCCATTGACACGGCGCCTCTCACGCCGGGAGGACATCCCAAAGCGCTGGACGGTCAGGGATTCGGACCCGAGCTGGGGGTTGGGATCAGGAGAGGGTGGAGGGAGGGCGGAGAGGGTTTGGGGTCGGAGGGTGATGAAGGTTGGTCGAAGAGGAAGGTATTGAAGGAAGCGAGGGAGGGAGGGAGGGAGGGAGGGAGCGAGGAGGAGGGGTTAGGCGATTGAGTTCCGAAGGGTGGGAGCGGAAATGACTGATCGCCAATGGTGGAGCGAGCCGGGCTGGGGACGTGGAGCAGGCCAGGGTCCTCCGAGCGAGGGAGCGGACAAGGCTGCTGTGGGATTAGCAAGTCACAGAACCAAAGACCTGGAGGGCTTTGATAGCGAGAGATTCCACAGAAACCTGACCTGGGGAGGGCTTTGCGGATATCGCTCCTACCTGAACCTCTGTCCTGGCAACACATGCTCAATGCAGCTGCCGTCTATGCAGGCCACATTGGGTCCCATCTGGTAGGCGAGTGGCGTGGACACAGCTGCGGGTTTGGGAGAGAAGTCGTTGCAGAAAGGGACGCTGTACCTCTGAGGCAGGACGAATGTGGCATTATCTAAAGAGAGACAGAGAGATAGAGACAGAGAGAGAGAAAGAGAAAGGCACAGAGGGAGACAGAGACAGAGAGAGAAACAGAGAGAGACACAGAGAGAGAGAGGATTGTGATCAACATTAAGCAAAATAAAAGCTTCAACTTCCAACAAGCCCAAGCCAACAGCCAGAACAAAGCTGCGAGGAAGACGAGAGCAATTACTGTATCATGCTGCTATGCTACGAAGCAACAAGGAGGGTTCAACGCAAATGCTCACAGAAAGAGTTCCCAGGTACAAGAATAAGTCTAAAGAATGCCTAAGAACATTGCCACAGAATAAAACCATTTTGCCCTGAAGGATGAACACAGCATTGCTGTAAGAAACATCACGAGGCTGCTGGAGGTCAATAAGTTCACAGCCACAGCGTGGACACGGGCACAAGTGTCACCTAGTTCCCGCTGATAAGGAATTGTCTACTCAAAGCCTCACCTTCTCGTAGGAGCTCCACTTGGACGGAGGCAGATGATCGCATGGTCAGCTCACCCCCTCTCTGCTCAACCCATTTCTCGAAGAGGCAGTAGGCCGGGCTCAGCCAGACCAGCGTGGCTAACCGCGACACCTCACCGTTGAACAGAGCGATGTCGTAGTCTGAAAAGGAAAAAAAGACACCAAAACACTTCAGAGACTGCTTTGCACGATAGAGATTTAAGCTGAATCAGAGAGACCAACACTGGCTTTCCAATCTTAATCCTAATAATAATAATTATAATAATAATTCTTGCATTTGATAAAGTGCCTTATCACGTCGTTTAGACGTCTCAAAGCGTCTTACAGGATACACTGTAAAGTGTAGTGATTGTGTATTTTGTAGGCAACGCGGCAGCCAATTGCGCACAGCAGTCCTTCCTTCCTTACAGAGTAAGGAAACTTGCCCAACATTTCTTCCTGCCCAGGAATCGAACCTGGGTCCTCTCGCTTGCGAGGCGAGTGTGCTAACCGCCATACCACAGGACTCCACAAACGGGACTGTGCAGCATAAATGTACCCCAGGACTTCCTGTTAACCAACACATAGAATAAGACATCACAGAGGGCAAAAGATTAAGCAAAAGCTACCGCCTTGAAAGGCTCGGTGAGTGAGTTAGTTATTCAGATGGCGTTGTCTTTAACTGCACAAGTAGATGCGGAGTCAAGATTAGGTACTGGCTATCGATGTAAAAGTTGGACCTGCGAGAGCACAAGTCATGTGGTTTTTATACATATATATAATATAATAATATAATATATAAAGCTCAAACACTGACCTACAACCAGCTGAGAATTACAGCAGCACAAGATCATCAGAACAGCAGCGAGGGATCTCGGAAAGGCAGGAACCATGGTCACTTATCCTGGAAAAGGAGCAAAACACTAACTTAAAACAGAGAGAATTTCCTCCTGAATTTATTGCCATTCCCGAACTCCCATTTAACTCACAGCACCTGGACACAACATCAGCTGCCTCAAGGCCAACACAGAACTCTTTAAAGGGGCCCTGAGTTCCTCGTGTGTTCGCCACAGTTTATGAGCGGACAGCCAGCCGCCCGAAACACGACCTATTCTTATCTTGAAGGAGTGCTAAATTTTAACAATAAATCTTTATTTGCAAGCCGACTCCCACAGGAAAAAATAACCCTGAAATGGGTTTCAGGAAAAGGGCTCTCAAGTGCCAAGTTTCGACTTTCGCCCACGAAATGCGTCACAGTCACTACACTTTACAATATATTCTGTGAAGTGCTTTGAGACGTCTCAATTATGAGATAAGGCGTTATATCAAATGCAAGGATTATTATTATTATTATTATTAGAATAAACGTTCCCTAAAGGAGAGAAGAGAGGAGGAAACTGAGGTCGGGTGGAGAGGATGTAGTTTAAAGATCGCTCCAAGTTTAGTTTTCGTAAAGTAACGATTGCAGCAATGAGGAAACGATATTCTTTTAAGATAAAAATATCTGTCAACCTGATTGAAGGGGGAGGACCTTGAACTATCCGACTGATAGTTCAGGGTTCTCCCCCTTCAATCAATAGGGATATATAAAGCAACTTTTGTATCTTCAACCTCAAAACGATCAGACAATTCCCTCCCCGACCAAATTATAGCTTGCTTTTTTTTTGGAGCAGGTCTTGAGAAGTGTGTGGTGACGGCTGGGTTGAGGGATGGGTTTGAAGTGTCTGCAACCTGACAGCGGTGAGATGAAACACTAATGGCCATGGCCACCCTTGCTCACTCCAATCACACCCGTCTTGTCTGTCTGTCTGTCTGTCTGTCATCTGCAAAGACGTTTTGTAGGCTTCGCTCTTCAACCGATGCCCACAGAGACGAGACGTTCGAAGGAGTCACTTCTCCCCTCGCTCGTCGCTCAAACAATCTCGCTTACTTTCCCGACCTGCTTCTAACCCCTACATACCCCCCTCCCCGTCAGCCACCCCCCCCTCCTCTCCCCCCAACACCACGCCACCCCATCCCGCCACTGCCCTTCACTGCCGTGTTTCAGAGGCAAACCTGGGCTGGAGAGGAGGAAAATTCCCTGATTCGGAAGAGACATCGGACAGCGCACGGACTCCGTAAGAACTCGACTCGAGGTGATTCTTCACTCCAGCCCTTTCTGTGTGCCACAGAGATTTAATCAATCTCGCGGGTTCCTCGATAGTGGGCTTTTTCTGTCGCTGGCGCGGTCTCGAGGCGATCGAGGCAGGTAGCAGTTGTGACAAGAACCAAGGAACAGATTGTCGAGCCCATCGCGGGGGGCTGTTTATGCCTTTAAAATGAAGAGAGCAACCGGTAGTTAGAAACCAACCGTGTGTCTGTGTGTGCGTGTGTGTGTGGGGTGAGCTGACCTACAAGCGCCCAGCGGGGATTTCCATCGTAAAACTGGAGTTAATGTGCAACGTTTCGTGCAGAGACTTTGCTTTTAGAAACGGTGGACAGACAAAGGCTCAACCGTGAGAGCGTGTGTTTGCTTCGAGTGCGGAGAGTGGTTTGAGGGGGGGGGGGGGGTAAGTGAGGTGGATGCCGGGCTCTCTGGGGTAAAACCTTGGAATCCACAAGGGGAATAGAACCATTCCCAGTTTTTTTCCCCAGTTCTCTTTCCTGAAGCTGTGGGGGCGGGCGGGCGGGCGGGCGGGGGGGAGTTGGGAGGTGGTGGGTGTATTTCCTTTCAAGTCTTCTCCTAGTTCTAGCTCAGTGTGTTTCTTTTTCTTAATTACAACAACATGAGATGCTGACGGGCGCAATTGGCTGCCGCATTTGGCCCACGAAACACACAGTCAATTCCCTTCGCAGTGTATCCTGTGAAGCGCTTTGGGACGTCTCGAAGACGTGATGAGGCGCTGGGTCAAACACAAGAATTATTATTATTATTATTATTAAAACCAACCCGCACAGGAAATTCGCTGTGCATTACGCGCGTGCAGCCTCATTAACCACTGGATATCATATCAATCTCGCCTCGACCGAAATAATGAACGGAAACTTGGCAGAAAAGGGCTTTGAAAACTTTTAACTAATTCCAGACGAGTGCCCGTTTCTGTCTCTCCCTGTGAGTGAAGCTCGTTGCCCGGTTAATGGCCTTGACTCACGCTCTGTCCCTGGAATGTAACCGCGGCTGGCTCGATAACGAACCTAGCCTCGGCCGCTCACTCGCTCGCTAACTCTCTCTCTCTGTGATTTAGGGACAGACGGCAGCGTGTTTTAATGAGTCCTTTAGGTATAAACAAAACAAAATCCCATCAAGGTGGCCAGGACTCTTCCGTTTCATTTGATGCCTACGTCGCAAACCCAGATTAACATTAAGTGCCTTGCGCCATCTCCTTCAAGCAGTGAGATACTAAGTCCTCATTAACAGACCAGTCACCAACCTCTGAGAAGCCCAAGGTCACAGCGATTTCTTCCCTTCCTTGTCGCCCAATTCCTCCCCGAAACAAAATGAATAAGAAAACGTCTTGTTATTTGCAAAATGACACTGAAAAAAAAATGCGGCTTTCTTAAGTGTTCAAGTAATAATGGGGCAGAGTGAGTGGTGTCATTATTGCAGGGAGTTATATGTATATATATGCCTCGGTCCAAGTGTTTATCAGTTCTGTGCTCGTGTATCACTGTGTTTCCGTCTACTCCAGAATTGAGCAGCATCTTCAACCTGCGGTAAGTTACACTTTCTTTTCCAGCGCTGTGCAGTCAGGCTAGCCGGCACATCACTTTTACACCCAAACTGCACACACACACACACACAGACGCTAGAGCTTGACAGAAACGTTCAACTATAATAATAATAATGATGATAATAATCCTTGCCTTTGATATAGCGCCTCATCACATCGTTGAGACGTTGTCAAATTTAAAACTCTCCATCTGTTTGCCCAACACCCCCCACTCTCCACGTCCCCAGGAGAAGGGATTTAAAGAACTAGTCCCTTTGTAAAGAGGTAAAGTGTCCGGCTCACCGATCGTGATGCCTGAATACATGGAATCCTCAGTTTGGTCTGGAAACTCGCACAGTACGTGGCTTTGGGAGAAAGTGATTTGATTTACAATAATAATAATAATCCTTGCGTTTGACAAAGCTCTTTGTCACGTCTTCGGGACGTCTCAAAGCGCTTCGCAGAGTATGCTGTAAAGTGAAATGACTGGGTATTTCGTGGGCGAAGCTTACAAATCGTTGACGCACACATTGGAACTGGGTTGGCGCAGTTGTGACGTCTAACAATAAAACCCATTCAGCAATATTAAGTTAAGTTAAGATTCCTGTAGTTCAGTGGTTAGAGCACTCACTTCGCAGGCGAGAGACCCTGGGTTCGATTCCCGGCAGGTCAGGGCGAAACCTTGGGCAAGTTTCCTTACTCCACACGCACGCCTGATAATAATCCCTCAAGAAAAAATAATAATTTGCTCACTTCAATCTATGACTGTTTGTGGGATTCTACTGCGCGCAATCGGCTGCTGCTTTTTACCCATAAATTTACGGTCCATTCACATTACAGTATATTCTGTGAAGCGCTTTGAGACGTCTAGAAGCCGTGAAAAGCGCTATATCAAATGCAAGGATTATTATTAAATATTATTATAATAACTTCACACTCCCTGTAGGGCAGCTCAAACCTAACCAGATTTCCCTTGTGCATACCACAAGGTGTCATCCTAACCAAAGCTTCCCACAAGGACCAGTCAATCTCCTCACCCGACAGGCTCCACGAGTAACCCAAGCTTATTCTGAACACATCAGCACAGAAGGAAATGAGTTAACTATTGCATTGCGGTTGGCTCAGTCTCTCTATTAACATCTCCCTACCACTGAGCCCCCACCTACCTATCTCTGCCTCTGTCTACCTCCTCCATGATTCCTTCGGGTCCATCTACCTGCCTATTATTCAGGGCAGCATCTCTGTCTGTACTGTTACCCTTAATTCAAACATCCGAGATGGACATCAGTGAGACTAATTACAGCAGGTAAAAGGCATTGACCCTACTCCACCTCCTGATTAGCGGCTGGGTGAGGAAATCTTTCCTGGTGCCTTTCCTAAACTTCTCCTCATGTACAGCAGCAATGCAGGTACCAGTAATAATATAATAATCCTTGCATTTGTTATAGTGCTTTTCACGTCTTCTCGACGTCTTAAATCGCTTCACAGAATATGCTGTAAAGTGAATCGACTGTAGATTTTGTGAGCGGAACACGGCAGCCAATTGCGCACAGCAGCGTCCCACACACAGCCGTGGGTTGAGTGACCAAATTTTTAATTGGTGGAGGGATTGTTGGCCAGGACACCGGGAGAGAGAGAAACCAGTGTGGGGTCCAGTGGGAGTCAGTGCCTTTGGGGGATTGGGTGCGATGTGTATTTGGGGTGGGGTGGGGGGGCTGAGTTTTGAACGTTAAATAAAACGCGTGTAATCACTTTGTGGATTTCCTCGGCAGGGAATGGACGTGTGTCAGCCAGGCCGTGGCCTGATGATAGTGGCCGTGATTCTCTTGAGCTCCTGCACTGCTCCAGGCTCTGGGTCTGCTCTTCCCAGGCTCCGACAGGCGGACAGGTAGTCAACCACAGTTTCCACTAAACCCCCCTCGTTCCCGTGCTGTTGTCTCATCCCTCAGCCACGCAGGTTCCTCACCAATGCCGATCTCCGCACAGCGCCCCTCACACAGACTAGCGTCCCAGCTGGGAGGGGGGTGGGGGGAGGTGTCTGTAGGCACGGTCAAAAAGCAAGGTCTTCAGGTGCAACGTGAAGATGGGGGAGGAAGGGGGCGAGGCGGAGGGATTGAGGGAGGGTGTTCCAGAGTTTGGGGGCGTCGTGGCTGGAAGGGCGGCCGCCGATGGCATCGGACACACACCCCCGTGAAGTGAATCTCCAGGATAAGCTGTAAAGTGTAGTGACTGTGTATTTTGTGGGCGAAACGCAGCAGCCAATGGTCACAGCGACGTCCCCACAAACAGTCGTGGATTGAATGTCCGATTTTATTTGGGGAAGGGTGGGAGGGGGACAGTGGCGGGGGGTTAGCTGCTTTGGACATTGAACTTCTACATCTCTCCCTGTTGTTTTCAGCACCGTATCCAGATGGTGGCAAAGTGACGTGTCACCAGGATTGGGAATAGAGAATGTTCTCCAGACGTCTCCCATCTGGGATGTCAGCATTCCCCAGGACGGGACTGCTGAGGTGATCCTGTACCTCCTGCAGAACAGACTCCCAGGGAATGCTCATCTCCTGTCTCTGGCCACCGCTCAGCTTGGCGGAGAGGGTCCAGGGGTCCGAGTGTCCGGTCGCCCGGAGCCAGGCGTGGGTGGGGACGGGGGGAAGAGAAGCGTGGTGGTGGCTGATGACGTGGCCTTTCGGGAAAATAGCAAGTTCCTCACGGCGATGGAGCGGCAGAAATGGCTGAACTCCATCATCAGGAAGCTCGTGGTGAGCAGGAAGTAGACGTGCCTTTAGCTAGTGTGCCCTGCGTCCCTCGGGCAACCGCTAAACCGCAATAAAGTTCTCATAACAAGAACCGACTCGTTCTCAACTTGTTTGCAAATCTCTCTAACGTCGACTTTCTGAACGGTGTAAGTCTGCAAGCTTTCGGGCCGATGAACCAACAAATAAGTAAAGTGTAAATACTTTGGTGGCAAATAAACTGGTGGCTTAATCCCAACCACGACTTTCAAACACTGGTCTGTCTCCTCCCTGGTTCGGAGGGAAAGAGCACTTCGAACAACTCGAATCCTATCCCAATTGAAAGCATCATCTTTTTCAGGGTTTATCCCTCTCCGGGTGTAAGAATTGCATGCAAACAGTCATTAATTACAATCGTAATAATCCTGGCACTTGATGTAGCGCCTTATCAGGTCTTCACGGGATACACGGTAAAGTGAACTGTGTATTTTGTCGGCAAATCGTTCAAATCACATTTCACAGTAAGCCCCCCTTGGAGAGGTGTCCCCGGTAATTAGTGAGGAACACAAGAATAGGCAGTGACCGTTCAGTCAGTTTGTTAGTTCGAGGCTGGTCTTTACATTGCTAATCACATTACCCCGCCCTGTCACCATCTCTCTTAATGCCCGATTTGCCCAGAAATCTCCCTCTTTAAACATCAACCTGCATTTATGCAGAGGGGTAGTGTCTCGGAGGGCTTAACAGTGGCGGGGCCTGACTCCGAGCCGGGGGAAGGTGACTGTAAGCACAGTCGAAGAGGACGGTCCTCAAGCTTGACCCGAAAATGAGGAAGGAGTGGGGCATGGCATAGAGTTTGAGGTGTGGAAAGGGCAGGTAAATGGGACTGAAAGGATTGCTCTTGAGGGAGCTGACACAGACACGATGGGCCAAATGGCCTTCTTCTGTGCAGTCAGTGTGATTGGTTCTAAATCGAGCCCCCGCTTGTTAGTGTCGCTCTGAGAGTCGATACGGACGGTTGGTGTAGGGTGTGGGAAACCTTACCGATGGTCTGGTAGGGAATGATTTTGTACGAGACTGGAGTTCGGGCTCTCACGTACTTCATTCACCTTGAGGAGAACCACAAAAAAAACACACCAAGATAAGCTAATGAAAGAGAGAAAAGAAAAAACACATCACAATGTGACGAAACCAAAGTAACGTACCACATCAACATCCCTCCACAGTGAGACCATCACAGTTTAACACCACACACAAAACACAAAGGTATTCTGCTAACTAACCAGCGCACAAAAGCCACCTGTACTAAAAGGGACGCAAATTTTTCCCTGGTCAACAGTTTCCAAGGTACAGTTTCTAAGTTGGTTGTGGCGTCTCACCCAGAAAACACACAGCCACTCCACTTTACAGTACATACTGTGAAGCACTTTGGGACAGTCCTCCCAGTGTGAAAGGCCACCACCGGATCAAACGTAAGGATTAATTATCATTGTTATTAAATTGGTGAAATCCAGCTAGCACCAGCGAATTTCGCATCACTGTGGAGCCGAGTGAACAAGTTACACATGAATTCACACTGAACACAAACATATACTTAGCACAGTTCAACCGTGAATGGGTTGCAGATATATATATCTGTATATTTTTTTTAAAAAATCCTGAAAACTGGTGTGGTGGTGGGCTGGGCGGGGGGGGGAAGCATTTTATCCTTGGATCTGAACACAGCAGCAGAATGGGATTGAATGGGATACTGTTTACTCTACCCTAATTATTATTATTTTTAATAATAATCCTTGCGTTCGATATAGCGCCTTTTCACGTCTTTGAGACGTCTTAAAGCGCTTCACAGGATACACTGTAAAGTGAATTGACTGCACATTTACGGGTCGGCAATCCTACCCGGAGAGCACAGGGGAAACACAACGTTTTGGTCAATACCTGGATCACTATTCAAGCTGCAGTTAAATTTGTCTTCGCAGTAAACATGTGCCTCGGAACTTGGCTTCTACCTGTGACATAACGGAGAGAGAGAGAGAGTGTGAAGGGGTTTAGCAATGAACTGTGTCGAGTACTTCAGAAACAAATGGAACTCGTCAAACAGAGTGAAGTGGGATTGACTCCCCCTGTTAAGGAAGTGCCTCTCTCTCCTTTATAAAGGGGGCAAGGCTACATCTTGGAACTGTCCATATTTCTGTCCGGCAGCTATGAGGCAGCTGTGAGGTTCTCTCCTGAGCGAGAGAGAGGAGAGAGAGATTGGTTTGTACTTCAGTGGGCTTTCCTCAACCAGTGTGTTTTTGTTTTTGTCTGCGATTCTCTTCCTCCCCTGCCTTCCTCTCCCAGCTTACACCTTGGTCTGCAACGGGAAAGGTAAGTAGAACAAAGGAAAAGTTTTTATTATTTTATATGAAAGGAGGAAGCAAGCGAGAGTAAGAAAGAGTGGGGTGAAAAAAAAGGGAGTCAAAGCCAGACTGCATGTTTTGTGTTTCGCCCACAAAATGTATAGTCAGTTCACTTTACAGTATAATATTACAGAAGCGCTTTGAGATGTCTCAACGACGTGATAAGGCGCTATATCAAATACTGTTATTAATAGGAAGAAAGGAAAGGTTGACGGAAACCGAAGGAAATGTCCTTTGCATTTCGATAATGTTGACAATCAACACTGAGCGAGATCTTTGCAACGACCCAGGAACGAGGTGGGAAATGACACACAGATGAGCCAGAGCGAAAGAGCCTGATGAGTAAACGCACCGATGAGAAATAAAACAAAGAAAATGAACGTAGAAATAGCGTGCACAAGTAACAAGAGCAGAACATTTTGCTCTTCGATTATCAAAGAGAGAGTGCAAACAAAACACAGGAGGGAAAGGGCATGAGCACTTTTCAGTACAAATATCCCTGTGTTGTTCCTTACTGTTCGTTTAAAGCAAGGAGAGTTTAGAGCGTAGTTACTATATCAAATGCAATTATTATTATTATTATTATTATTATTATACCACACCTCTGCCAGGAACATGCTGTCAAGCCACTGACTATAATTGGGGAGAAGTGAGGCTTATTGCTTTTGTTGGAGGGTGTCGTGGGCTGAACATGAAACTGTGATTGGGATGAAAAGCTGAATTTCCTCTACTGCAAACGGATAACAGCGGATTCCTTGCATTTGACACAGCGCCTTACGGCGCCTTCGAGACGTCTCAAAGCGCTTCACAGACTATACTGTAAAGTGAATAGACTGTACATTTTGTGATATATTGCGCACAGCAGCAGCCCCACAAAGAGCCGTGGGTTGAGTGATTATTATTATTATTATTTTTTGAAGGGATTATTTCCCCCAGTTGCCGATCAACTCACAACCGGCTTCTTACTTACTGCTGGGTAAACAGAGGTGCATGGTTTTGCCCTGCCCGGGAATCGAACCCGGGTCCTCTTGCTTCTGAGGTGAGTGATCTAACCACTGCACTATAGGACTGGCAAATGATTGACGATAAACTGTCAGCGGGAGTGAAACGGTCAATATTGAATGCCCGCAGCAAGGAAACTTAAATTCAGTCAGGTTTCTCGAAAGGTTGAGAGAAAGAAAATCAACACATTAGCTCAGCCGAAGTGGGCTTTTAACCCAAGCAATAACTTCTCTCTCTCTCTCTTTCTCTCTCTCTGTTTGTTGCTCCTCTAACCTCAAGTCCTTCTGCCGTATTTAACTCTGAAACCGTCGCTTGTTTCGATCAATCCTCAGCCCGGAAGCAGCAGTCTGTCTGAAACAGACTGAAACTGAGTACACCCTTTTGTGTGCAAAGGGACATCATAGTATAATCGTCTACGCACCACGTCGAGACGTCTCAAAGCGCTTCACAGGATGTACCATAAAGTGTAGTGACTGTGTGTTTTGTGGGCGAAACGTGGCAGCCATTGGCGCTCAGCAGTATCTTCACAAACAGTCGTGGATTGAGTGACCGTACTATTCCTACTTGCTGCTGGGTAAACAGAGGAGTGTGTGTGTGTGCGGAGTAAGGCAACGTGCCTAATGTTGAGCCCTGGCCAGGAATCGAACCCGGTTCTTCTCCGCGATTCTTCGGAGTGTTACGTTTGAGGGTAGCAAGGCTTTCCAAGCTAAGGGCGGGGTGAAATGCTGGTAGATTTACGGTAGCGGGTAATCGGTTCTTGTATCACCATTATTTGTGTTCTCCCGCAGTTACTGACATGAAGAAGCTACTCTGCAGTGTGGCTGTGCTGGCCATCTGCTGTGCCACGTCCTACACCATGCCCGTGTCTCAAGATGTCAGTGGGAGCCTGGACAAGACGGGTAATGTTTGCGCTGCTTGCAATTCTACTTGCCACAAAGTACACGGGGTGGGGGAGAGTGGGCGGGTGGGGGTGGCAGAGGAGGAAGGCAGTGCAGACGAGAGCACCAAAGACTTCGCTTGTGCACAAACTGGCTGCTGTGCCAGCCTCCAAAATACAGTCACTACGCTCTACAGTAGATCCTTTGACTATGTGGTAAAGGGCCTTATGATTTCAGTGATTGCTATTCCCTTCATTGATTTCATTCTGTAAAGCACAGAATGAGATTAATCTTCCCACCGGAAGACTTTCCTCTTCCACCGTGCCTTCGGTCATCTCCCTCCTTCCCCCCCACCACCCCAAGTGGTTGTTATTGTTGAAGTGCTTTGAGACTTTTACATGAAAGCCGCTGCCAAGATCTCGGTTGCATTTGAATACTTTGGGTCCATTTGTTTTTAGCAGCAGAGGTGAAGAGCGCGGGACACCGAGGTGATGGAAGCCTGCTGTCTTGCAGCACTGCGAAGGGAGCACTCCTTTGGCTCAGCAGGCCAGACCCCAAGACTTCAGCCCCACCGAAGCCGAGTGGACCACAGAGAGATTGCATCAGGAAAATCCTGACCAGTTTCCACACCCAGAGTCGGCCAAAGAAGAACACGTGGGCCAGCTACAATCTCAACTCCTTCGGTCTGAAGTTTGGCAAACGGCTGCCGAGGCCAAGAGGAACGGTTGGAGGTTGAGATTCGGGGAGTAGCCGACTCCCATTGCTCTGCGGCAAATAGGCTGACATTTAGACCAAACCCGTTTTAATATTTCCTGTCTTTTTTTTTTTGGTGTTGTTCCGACAAATATCATTGCATGGCACCGATTATAGCACTCGGCCCCACCTCGGCCACTTAAAACAAAAAGGACATTCTCTTTCGATAATAGATTGAAATGGTCACAAGGAGTTGGAATGGTCTGTATTTTATAATAATCCTGGCATGCGATACAGCGCCTGATCACGTCGTTGTGACGTCTCAAAGCGCTTCACAGGATATACTGTAAAGTGTAGTGACTGTGTATTTTATTATTAATTATTATACAGTGCCTCTTCACGTCGCTGAGACTTCTCAAAGCGCTTTGCAGAAAATCGAATTTGAAATTACGATAAGCATAAAGTGTTTGCTCACCTTTGAACGCTTTGATGTCTGATGTACAAACATTTTCCACCCGTTACCAGCCCCTGTGCCCGTACGCAATGGCCGTTCATTCCTGATTAAGAGCCAGTGTTGTGTTCCATCCCTGCACCAAACCGCTCATTTCACTGCATCGCTCGCCGGGCAACAAAGCGAAGATACGATACACAAGGAAACGGTCGATAAATATTGCTGAACACCTAATAAAATTCACCGTACAACAATCTTGGCAGTGCCGTGTGCCGTGTTTCTCTTTATTGAGCTGGACATTTACACGCGAGCAAAATTATTTTCGTTCCGTCTTCGGTGCAAATGAAAAACACCACACGTTCCCAGCTCGCTCCGTGGCGCTGTACAAGAATACGTAAAGCGGAGATCGCTGTGATGGAGCGGTGGAGGAACGGGGTGGGGTGGGGGCTAGGCCTTTTGTCTCTCATTTGCCAAGAAAGGCACGTCAGCGTTATCCAATACAATGCGATCTCCTGAAAGAGGCACAAAGTGTCAACAACTTCAAATCGAGTGACTGAGTGAATTTCCCCTCTTCTTTCCTCATTTCCCCTCTGTCCCGCCACACGCACTTACAACAGCAACAAAACAACAACCAGTGACATCTACACGGCGTCTTTCCTGTCGGGAGGACGTCAGGGATTTGGATCCGAGCTGGGGGGTTGGGATCAGGAGGGCAGGGAGGGTGGGGGGGGGGGAGGGTCGAAGAGGAGGGACTTGAGATGTGCTTTGAAACGGTGCCGAGGGAGTGGAGGAGCGAGGCGAAGGGGCTGTGGGATGAAGTACCAGAGGGTGGAGGGGGTGGGGCGGTGGGTCAGAAAAGCTGTAGGCCTGACTGCCGATGGTGGGGCAGGCCGGGCGGGGGACTTGGAGCAGTCGGAGGGAGCGAGACAGGTCGGTACGAATAACCTGTTTCCCAGGGATTCTTTGGGACTTGGGGTGGGGGGGGGGGGGCGGGGAGGGTAAATAGGCAGAGCTTCGGAATGTTTCTTGGCTCACCTTTCTTGCGGGAGTAGTCGAGAGCCTGGATCAGCCTCCGCAGGGCATTTTCGGCGATCGGATTATCTTGAGAAATCAATGGAGGAAAATAACAAGAGAGATCAACGCTCGTTCCCCCCCACCTTCACGTCAGCTTCCCCTTGACAAAGTAACTGTCTGGAATAAAACGGAGCCTCGCTTGTCAATCCTGGGAGGTTCCAGGTTCAATTCCCCCGCCCCCAACCCCCCCACAGATTTAGCTGATCACAGGCAAAGAGTTAGTTCAGGTCTTAAAATTACTCTCAGTTCCTCTGAGCTACGGACTGGAATTTATACACCCGCACGCTTATAAACGTGTATATCCCCACATCAAATATACATACTACAAGCATTTAGATACAGCAGCACACCCACATATACACACACAGATTATATATATATATAATCCCTTCAAAGAACGCAAAAATAATTTAAAAAATAATGTGGCCACTTCACTCCACGGCTGTTTGTGGGGACGCTGCTGTGCACAATTAGTTGCCACGTTTTGCCCACAAAACATACAGTCACTACACTTTACGATATATTCTGCGAAGCGCTTTTGAGACGTGTTGAAGATGTGATGAGGCGCTGTGTCAAACGCAAGGATTATTGTGTTTAATTACACAGAAGTATAAGCACTCACATTTTCACACACACACACGCTCACACACACGTGCATTTATTCACAGCCACATTATACGGAGTGCTGGAATCTCTTCCTCAAAGATGAGAGTGTTCTTACAGAGTGTTTCACTGTCCGGGTTGCCATTATGGTAAAGGTTGTCCCTTTTCCCAGCGAGCCCTCCCTTGGCATTCAGGTTCCTGTAGTCATTCGAAGCATCTGTAAAGAACCATAATGTAATCATAGAAAACTACACTAGTTTAAACAACACACTGGGTGCGTCTCCAGAATAATCTACCCACTTGGGATCATAAGAATAGGAGGAGGCCATTCAGCCCCTCGAGCCTGGTTCCACCATTCTACTAGATCGTGGTTGATCTGTACCTCAACTTCACAAGTAGTTTCACAGATACCCTCCCCATTCTGTCCCTTCCCAACCCTTGTGATTATATATCTTGTGAACACTTATATATCTTTTAACCTCTTGTACCTGGCTATGAACGTAGGTCAGACTAAGAGCGACGCCTCTTTTATTTCACACACTCTTTTCCAGCAGAGGCACTATTTTTACTGTAACATCGCACCGTCCTAAACTTTGGCCGCGTCCTTACCAGTGTCTCTCAGTTGCTCCGTCTTTGAATGTGTTGTGCTATAAACATTGCTGGCTCGTGAGGTTAGGGTTGAAGATAGAAAATCCTTCAGGTTCGTTCATTACTTGGCTGTGATGCAGTCCCTCCTGCCCTGGGAGAAATGACCTGCCAACACTCGCTGTCAAGTGTCGCACATGATTGACAGCCAAGGGCAAGGCACTAGTTTCGCCCACAAAACACACAGTCACTGCACTTTACGGAACATGGTGTGAAGCGCTTTGAGACGTCTCGATGACGTGGTAAGGCGCTGTATCAAATGCAAGGCCAGCCCTGACTCTACTCCTAATTACAACCCCCAAGATAAAATCCCTCACGAAGGGGGAAAGATTGTGTGACTGGGAGAGATACTCACATGGACCCAGCAGGTAACCTGCACTGTTTAATGTCCACCCTCGCTTGTCCTTGGCCTGAAAAACAGGTTACATTTCAACATTAACTCTCTTTCCCCAATTTCTTTCTTTCTCTCTCTCTTTCTTTCTGAATTTCTTTCCTCTTGTTTCCTCTTTCTTACTCTACTTATTTTTCTTTAATAGCATTTTTCTTAATTGTTTTACTTAAGCCACTTAAGCGCTCTGCAAGTTGTTGTTGACTTGGAATGAAAACTGAGATTTTCCTGCCTCATGGACTCACAGGATAAATCACTGAGCCATGGGGGTAGGGATCATTGTCAGGATATTACAGGAGAAACCTTGAACTCAATCTGACTCACACTCACTCAATACATATTCACTTGTCTACAACAAATGGACAAAACCCCTCACAATTTACTGAGCATAGACAATGCTTTCAGGAACAAATATTCACATTACCATCACGCCTAATCCAAAACATTCGGTCACCAAAACGCAAAGGATCATGGAAATGCAGAACAGCTTTCTCGAGGCTTGCATCTGAAGACAGAAGAAGAAAAAAAGAAATAATTTATTGCATATAAAAGACAGGGAACAAGGAAAGAACTGGCTGATGTGCAACTCTGTCAGAATGCCTTTCAGGAGCGAGAGAATCAAGGGATTAGAATTTGAGAGAATAATTGTTTTTTTGTTTTAATAGGATACAACTGCTCAAAAAGAGCAAAGTCATAAGAGTCTTGATAATAATAATAATAATCCTGGCATTTGACGCAGCGCCTTATCAGGTCTTCGAGACATCTCAAAGCGCTTCACAGAATATACTGTAAAGTGGATTGTCTGTGTATTCTGTGGGCGAAATGCAGCAGCCAATTGCACACAGTTGGTGTCCCATTAACAGTCATGGATTGAGTGAACATTATTTTATTTTTGAAGGGATTATTAACCCCGTAAAGCGATCCGCCAATCAAATAACAACCAGGTTCCTACTTACTGCTGAGTAAACAGAGGTGTTGGGAGTAAGGAAACTTGCTTAAGGTTTCATCCTGACTGGAAATCAAACCAGGGTCCCCTCGCTTGAGAGGCGAGTGCTTCAACCACTTCGCTACAGGAACTCCAAATAACGAAACATGTCCTTGCGCTGCTATTAATCTGGTATTTATGATACTCTGTAAATTAGCGACGGCGGTAATCTCAACAATAATAAAATTACAAAACAAAATTGGTTCTTACCGTGATCCGGAAGCAGACAAAAAAAAGTTTGAAACAACTAGAAACTGTTCAAATAAGCCAGCTACTGCTTTTTAAATTAATAAAATTTTCGAAAATAAAATTAAACCATTGGACTAAGGATGACAGCAAGCTCCCCTGAAAGACAAATAGCCGAGTGTCGGAGAGAAGCGTGGCAAGGATGGCTATTTATCTGGGAAAGAAAACAATATAAGCCCTTTTTTTTTCATTTCACGTACATCTACCCAGATTGTGTGAAGCATAAAAGACTTTTCGGTAAACAAACTCGATTTTTTCAGCTGTATTTTTTGTCAGGAAAATGGCTCTGATGGAGGTAATTATTGATAATTGACTCCAGGATTACTGTGAAGGTTAACAGGAGAGTGCGATATGTTGTTTTTTTTTGCCTAAGTGTTTTTTTTCCCACTGTTTTTACAGTGAGGAGGAGGAGGAGGAGGAGGAAAGGATCAGAAGTCGGAATTGTGCCAGAACTGCCCACAAAACACCCAGCCGCCCCCCCACCCCCCCAAAAAAAAAATCGAGCTACAATGTTAAGAGATTGTAATGAAGGGTGCGATCATGTGGAATTTAATTGAATTTTGAACCTCGGGTCCTCTCAGTTCTTGCTGGCATCTGAACTGCACGAGTTTTCTAGCATTGTGTTCTGCCATTATTACATTTCAAAAGGCATCAGTGACCACAGCAGCGGTAAACAAAACCCTAAAGGTTGACTTTCTCTCCATGAAAGTACATTTCTTTTAAGAGTAATGGCTGCCTCTTTACTCCATTAGAACATTTGTTCGGTAATAACTATAATTATACATGAATTATCCTCATGTGCTTCTAAAGGCCTTCCACTGTTACCAGGTAATTTGACAGCATTAATGATAGCTAACAGGGAAAGGGACCCAGGTTCGGTTCAGTGGCTTGGAATAATTACACAGAGACGTTTACAGAGGAACATTTAACCTGAGAAAGAATGAGTAGCCTGAAGGTCTTTGCAAAAAAAAGTAAAGTAAAATATTTGAAACAAAGATTATAGTAATAAAAAGTAATCCTTGCATTTGACGTAGAGCTTTACCACATCGTTGAGACGTCTCAAAGCGCTTCACAGAATATACTGTAAAGTGGATTGACTGCAATTGGGAACTGGTGCTTGTCAGGGTTATTCCCCCGGACTGGGAGAAAGCTGTTTAGTGTCCGACTGTAAATAGGAATAGGCGGAAGCACTCCTGTTACCTGTCACATTCTGACACACCATTAGAACAACATGTTCAATCGTATTGGCTTTAGATGACAGGGATTTTGAGAGGCAGTTGATGAAATTACCGGGAGGTAATTGGGTGCTAGGATCTAAACCCTTTCCTGTGCACAAACTCACTCGCACGGACACATGTGTTTCTAGCTAGCACCTTTGGCACCATCTCAGAGGCAAGGTTTATTTATAGGCCAGCATGACCAAGAAAGAGTTGTTGATTGACTGAGAAGCGTTGTGGTTAGAGCGCTCACCTCACAAGCCAGAGGATCCGGGTTCAATTTCCGGGCAGGACGAAACCTCAGGCTAAGTTTCCTTCCTTCCTCCACACACACACACACACGCACACACACACACGCACGCCCCTGCTTAACCAGCAGTAAGTCAGAACCCGGTTGTTAGTCGATTGGCAGATCGCTTTCCGGGGGTAACAATCCCTCAAAAGAATAATGTGGTCACTTAATCCACGCCTGTTTGTGGAACTGTTAGCGCCCGACTGTAAATGGGACTAGGAATAGGCGGACTACAGCGCGGAGTTGGCTGCTGAGTTCTGCCCACAGGTCACTTCACTTCACAGTGTATCCCGTGAAGCGCTTTGAGACGTCTCAGCAATGTGATAAGGTGTTGTATCGAATGCGAGGATCATTATTATAACTTGCATACGATGTTTTAACGTGGGACCGTGTGCATGATTTCAATACCGTGTGCTGCCTATCCAACTTCATCCAGTTGCCTGTGCTTCCACCCCACTTAACTCTCATTAAGGGCGAGGGCTGAGCACATTTCTAACTTGGTGAGATCAGCGCATCGCCGGGCAAATCAACATAATGGACAATGGAGCCCTTGTGTACGAAATATTTTGGCCACCCACAAGAAGATCTCACGAACTGGGAAAATGCTTTCAAAACAACTGTAAAAATGGCCATGTGAAGAGAGCCCGGGACGAGAGGGGTTAGAACGAAAGCGAGCGTCTTTTTTTTTTAAAAAAATCTTTTCTTGCACAGTGGTCAAGAGCGAGACAGAAGATTCGGACGCTAGGAGGGGTAAGCACAGCGGCTGTAGTTATGGATTGTTTCATTTCGATTGACTACAAGGGCTCTGAGACACCGCCCTGCCCTGCTTGAGGGGCGCTATGCAAATGCAAGTTGTCGTTGTCTTTATCTCCCTCTCTGTTTGAGACTCTGGTTCTCTGCTCCAGTCGCTCTCTTCACTTCGCGCACTGTTGAGATGTGTGTTCGGATACCTAGTTGCCTTTTACCCATCTTGTGTGTGCGTACGTGAAATGAAAGGCAAATCGATGTGTCCTTAATTTGGGACTAAATCGTCTACCGTACGTGGGAGAGGACCACAGGGATGCCTGGGCTGGGGAATGGAAAAGTATTACACCCATAAGTAGGGATTGATTGCTCTTATGTGTTTGCTGGTCATAGCCAGTGAATAATAATAATAATATCTTCGAGACGTGATAAAGCACTATATCAAATGCTTTGGGGAATGTGTTCAGTAAAGGAAAATGTACCGATTTCCAGCAATAATATCTCAGTATATAGAAAAAAATTCATTCTTTATCTTAAGACGTAAATGAGGTGGAGAAGGAACGAGTTTCTCTTGGCCAACAATTCTCCAGATAAATCTGTCATTCACTTTGTGGCTTGTTTGCGGGACTTTGCTGTGAGTAAACTTGCTGCCGTGTTCGTCTACGAATACACAAACGCTGACATTAACTGGGCAGCACGTTGGGATGTTTCGATGTCAAAGGCACTATGTCAAATGCAAACATTATTACTGTTATGCATGAGTTTCAGATGGGAGTGAATCCCAGCTTTTATCTGGTCTGCGTGAGTGTACGTTGTACTTGCATTTTTGTTTTCTGATGTTTTGTTCATCAATGCACAAACAATGTTTAGTTATTTCCTAAATAAAGCCAGGAAAATAAATGATTAGCCCAACGCGGAGACACAGGAGCAGGAACCGTTCCAATATAATCAACCAACCTCCCGTTTCGAGCGGTTAGAGATGGGGTGGTAAAACTCTCTCCCATCTGTAGTGAGAATTAATACACTGGTGCTAAAATGATGCAATTATCTAACTATCAGTGCTAAAAGAGTAATGTTGGTTTAATGTGGTACGTTTCCATGTGTGATACTACTCTACACCTCAGAAATTAAGGTTTCAATATCCCTGACTTTGCTGCAAAAGTGAACCCAAGTCCCTTTTTGTGATGTTCTTGAACACTAGTGCTGGATATACCAGCCTACAACAACAACTTGTATTTATATAGCTCCCCTCACGCAGTGGGGAGGGTTGGGGGGGCGGGGGGGGGGAAGGTGATGGTATTCACGGTCGAAGAGGAAGGTCTTCAGGCACGAGCTGAAGATGGGGAAGGAGGGGGCGAGGCGGAGGGAGGGATGGAGGAAGAGCGTTCCAAAGTTTCGGGGCGTAGTGGCTGAAAGCGCCACTTCCTGCAGAGTACGTCAATGTCAATGGGGTCCCCTCAACTTATGATGGTGAACGTGTTAGTTACGACCGAAAGGAGAAGAATATTGGTTGAGATACCTTGGCCTCCCAGAACATAAAGAGAAAGACTTATTACACAGAGTGAGAAAAGCACTGACATTTTAAAAGGCTACTATTACGGCATTCTATTCATTCTGTCTAATTTACTGTAGTGCACAATCGGGTGAAACAATATAATTGCAGTATTAGCCACAGGAGCGGAATGAATGGGCTGAATATTTATTAACTTGGGTATTATTATAAAACAAAGATGGAGCTAACTTTCAACCTCAAACCACTGATAATCACAGCAATCAATAATTAGAGTGACAGAACGCCTTTCACCAAGCGAGAGTCTTAGAAAGATTCACAAACAAAATATTTCAGTGGGATGGACCTATCACACCAGGTTAGAGCATTGTCACCGAGTCTGAAAACAACCGGGAATAACGAGTTCAAAATCTAACCCCTTTCACAGATCACATCATGAGCCCAATCAATCCTTCCAGAATATTAACTCTACTGTCTTTCCATTCCAGGATCAAACCGTTTCTTAAATAAGTCCCGCTAGATAACGTCAGCAAGCCATAATCAACATGTGTGTGTATGTGTGTGTTTGTGTGTGATGAGCACAGCACTGAAACCTTTTTATTGTTCCATCCCCCAGAACTCCATCCCACAGTCCCTTCGCCTCTCCTCCTCCCTCGCCTCCTTCAAGGTCCGTCTCAAGACCCTCCTCTTCAACTGTGCCTTTAGTCGTCACCCTCCTACTCCTACTCTCCCTGCCCTCCACCCCTCCTGATCCCAAACCCCAGCTCAGGTCCAAACCCCTGACTGTCCAGCGCCTTGGGACGTCCTCCTGACGTAAGAGGCGCTACACAAATGTAATTTATTGTTGTTGAAGAAGAGGTTCAAACAGAACACGTGATGAGGACAAATACATGGCATAAAGTTGCTAAATGCACTTTTGTCAAAAACAAATCTTGTTGAGAGGGGAGGGAAAGATTTATCAGACGGAGTATTGCTAATCGGGCAAGAAATGTATGAGATGGAAATTGAACAGTAATACTGCGCTGGATCCGTGAATGTTACCTTTGACAGGCAGAATTATTCATACATTTTTCATAATGTATTTTTTAATTTTAATGTGCCTTTGATGCAGAGAGAAAAAAAACCTGAACTAGCTAACAACGCCCAAGAAACATGCCTCGTTTCACAGATAATGAAAGACTGTGTTCCATAATATTTCTGTGCTTTTCATCGCATGCAAACTGTACTGAATTATTCATGAAACATAATATAGAGGAACACAGTAGCCACGGCAGTACCCAACAGTTGTGACTCGAGTGCCAGTGCGTGTGACACTTGAATTTGCAAGCGCATAATTTTAGGTGAGATTACACACCGACAATCTTATTTCCCAGAAAACAAGTATGGATTATTATCATTCGATACACTTGGAAGAATACAATCACCACTGTTAAGACTTTAGCGTCGGCTTCAACAGTAAAAGAAAACATACCAGCCTTCAGCCTCTCCCATCACCCCCACTAACATCAGCGAAAACATCATATATTAGAAAGCAACGGGCATGTGGCAACAAGAACTTGCATTTACACTGCGCCACTCACAACCTGAAGATGGGGAAGTGGTTTAAAGCTGTCATTTTATCTCTGGGTAAACCACTCAACCTTTGCTCTTGCGCTTTCTTTGGGATAACTCAATGAATTGAGTTGGTCGCCTTTTTCACATCGCAGGCATCGTTTGCACCAGTGGTTAATGCCCTGACTAAGCACCGCTATCAGAACAGTGAGCAGGCGTCCTCAGTGCTCTCAGGAGTAAATGAGGTTACTGATCGAGTGAAGTGTCTCACTGTTAAGACTAGGCTTGAAAGAAATTATTTTCTTTCTGCCCTTCTTATGCCCCACTGGACCACAAATCTGACTCCAACATCTCCAGAAACACTCAATGTGAGTGTTCTGTACAATCGTAACATAAAAAACATACTTTCCACCTGCTAAGTGCTTTGTATTCTGGTGTTTAAGAGGGAGAATTTCAGCAGGAGAGTCAATATAAGCCATTTTAATAACAACAATAACAATAATCCCTTCATTTGATACAGTGCCTTATCACTTCTTCTAGACGTCGCTAAATGCTTCACAGAAAACATTGTAAAGTGGATTGACTGTGTATTTTTGCGGGTGAAACGCGGCAGCCAATTGGGCACTGCAGTGTCCCACAAACGGTTGTGGATTGAGTAACCAAATTTTTTAGATTATTTTTTCACACAATTTCCTGAAAATCAGCTTCCAGACTGCTGGCACCAGAGGTCTGACCACAATTCCTCAGCAGAAAGACTCTGCTTTGAAAACACATTTTTTTTAAAAAAAGGAAAAAAACGTTCAGCAAATCTGTACTGGTAAAACCCCCATCATATGACTAGTAACACACTTGACATTTAGAGAGTTCCAGCTATAAAACCCACACAGATCGTTGTAACAATAGGTTCCCAAAGCAAATTCAACCAAGGGACTTGTTCATAAACTTAGTAGAAAAGGCTAATTCAAAGAGAGAAAGCTGAGCAGCACTTGAGAAAATTAAATCATATTTTAGTCTTCTTGATCTTATTCTGCATACGTGAGCCTATTGTGCGATCTGCAATGGCAACTGGGTTTTACTGGAGGTCAATATGGAATCTTACAGGCAATGCAACGTCCCTAACAGATGTACGGAATGTGGTTCCAACGTTGTGAGAAACAGCTTCGCAACTCGACAACTAAACCGTTTAAAAGCAACGGGGAATTCAGCCTTCCTCAATCTTCCAACCGGCTGCCGCATTTCGCGCACAAAATACAGTCACTACACTTTACAGTGTATCCCGTGAAGCGCTTTGAGACGTCTCGACGACGTGATAAGGCGCTGCATCGAATGCAAGGATTATTATTGTTATTATTATCCTGTACTGCAGCTGGCACACCTCCCCACTACTAAAGCTATGGTAAGGAGATGGTTTGTGGAATGCTGCTGCTCTCTTGTGATGGCTCCTGGTATTATTCCTGACGCAACAGCTTGCGGATAACTCAGGGCATCGCAAGGCAACTCTTTGTCACACTGATTAGGTTTGCGTGGCTAAACAGGTACACGCCTCTGACACGCCCCATCTCACCGAGTACAACTTTCTGTCTTGAACTGAGGTCATTCTTACAACTTGTATTCGACGCCGGTGAAGCGACGAACCATTTCATACCTCATTTATTCGCCTATGTTCGGCGACGTGCTCGTAGCAATAACAGCAGCTGCTGCATAGAATTCCCAGCAGAGGGATGGGAATTCCTGTGTGATGTCCTTCAAAGGCAAATCCCAAAGATAAATAAGAATAGCGGGGGGAGGTGTTACCGCCTCACACGCACTCCATGACCCCTAGAGTGCATCCTCCAGCCCAGAGTTGGTGGAAGGGAGCCCTGCAAGCTCAGTGGTTAGCACACTCACCTCGCAAACGCGAAGACCTAGGTTTGATTCCTGGGAGGGGCAAAACCTTTAGGCAGGTTTCTTTGCTCCACTCGCCTCTGCTTACCTAGCAGTACGCAGGAACCCGGTTGTTAGTTGACTGGCGGATCACTTTCCGGGGATAATAATCCCTCCAAACATCCACGGCTGTTTGTGGTTCATTGCTGTGCGTAATTGATTGCCGCGTGTCACCCACAAAACACAGTCAATCCAATTTACAGTATTTTCTGTGGAACAACCTTTGCAACTACCTTTATAGATCGTTTTACGCGGGAAATGGACTCAAAACGCTTCACATAAAATGGACTGGTAGGCCGGGCAGGGCAAGAGACGGTGGGGAGTAGGTTGATGACGGAAGCTGCTTTATTATTGATCAGCACCGAGTTACTGAAATTGAGCAATATTTGTGTTAATTGCTAACTGGTACAAGAGCAGTAAACCCAGCTGCTTGTCGATTGCTGGATCGCTTTCAGTGTAATAATCCCTCCAATAGAAAATGTGGTCACTCAATCCACAATTGTTTGTGGGACACCGCTGTGCGTAAATGGCTTCCACGTTTCGCCCGCAAAATATACAGTCAATCCACTCTACGATATATTCCTTGACGTGCTTCGAGATGTCTCAACGACGTGATAAGGCGCAATATCAAATGCAAGGTTTACTATTGTTGTAAAGTGACATTGTTTTGTGGGAAGGGGCTTAGAAACATGCTGATTTGGTTCAGTTTCACACACGTGGCATTGACACACACCCAACATTAACCATTAGTAAGTAACCTACACAAGTCTGCCCATCGCTTTAAAGGGCCAGTGCTTTAAAATACAACAGAGGTTTGAAGGACTGACTGACTGCTGCACGTTGCTCATTTTTGCCTGCCTGCCTGAATTTCCTGTTGTCTCATCTATTAACGCAGGATCCAGATTTCATTTTTGTTATGATCCCAAATGAACCGAAGATATATATATATATTAAAAAAAGGACAAACCACATTCAATATTATCATCGATATGGTTAAACATAACTCAGGCACTTCCAAAGACAACTCTTGCCTATCAGGAGGAGCCTCAGTGTCTTTACCTGAAAGAAGTCCTGCCTCTGTTGGCCGTTGATTTGAGGACTTGTCCGGGCTTGGGTTGACTGTATTGGTTCACAGGGCAGACTGTCAATGCCTTTGGAAGCACTTCCTTTCTAGACTGCTACACCGCATCTGAGACAGGGAGGGTGGGGGGGGGGAGGGAGAGAGAGGAAAGAAAGTGCTAAAATGAAATTGGCAAAAAAGAGACAAACTACCGCTTTTGTTTCAGTTTAAAACACAAAAGGATTGATACAGATGCATCGGCGTAGACATCCCCTAAGATTGGCCTTTTGAAAGCAGGAATATCTCGGGAGAAAAAGCAAAAACAAGGAAGATTTTACATTGTGTCTGACTGGGTAAGTTATACACACACCCTATTGTGCTATTTCCCTCTCTTGCCTTTTTTTTTCCTTTTTGGAACCATTTCCCTCGTCTCCTTTTATATTTAAAATACACATTCTCTCCTGACACTCCCGTGCCTTTCTGTCGGGAGGGTGAGAGTCTGTATTCTGAGTTGCTCTGTGCTGTGGTCATGTCTTCCTTGACTGTTAAGGTGTGTGTGTGTGTCTTGAGTTTGAGCTCCATCACTGTGTCACTACGTTGCTCTTCTTCTCTGAAATCTTTTAACATTAGGAAATTTAAAGACGCTTTCACAATCTCAACCCGGCAACAATCCGCTTTGGCGGAGTCCGTTCCGTAGCCCCATCGGTGACGACAGAGCAAGAGATTGTTCGTAAAACGTACTGCTGCCATTCAATTTCGCGCAAGATCTTTGGAGCACAATGTTGTACTGACCACCAAGTTGCTGCTTTACATTACTGTCGACCCACCTCACAGATCACGCGTCAGAAGCTGAGGAAAACTGGTCTGACGAGTACAATAGATGAAACTGCTGTATTGAACCTTACTTTTGTGTCCTGTCTATGAGCTAGCGTTAAATTTGCTTACAATTGTGGCTTGTGCGCACCCTAATACATTTCAAAAAGTGCACTGTCACATTACAAAGGGAAGTTTCAGTTAATCTGAGTTCCTGGCACACACCTAGGATCATTTACTCAGACACCAAAGTTCACTCAAGGAGGAGCAGGTGTTCGTTCAGTTGCGTCTTTGTCCTCTTAAAAATAACGTACGTTAAAAGGTGAGAAAAAAAATCTTTGTCGCTGCGGGTGGTGGGATTGTGGACTGTAAATTATTTTAAAATTGCGATTTTTTAAAAAAAAAGATGGAATGAGATCAGGTGGAACAGAGAAACACTCGATGGGCCAAATGATCCATTTCTGTTCAGCAACGATGACGGTTTGGTATTAAATCTCTCAGGTATAGTCGGTGACTGATTTGACAGTGAGAATGCCTGCCGCCTCTCTCCACGTCTGTAAAGCTGTCGACGTTCCAGCAGTGGGCTTCAAACCAGGAAAGGCAGCGTCCCTTTAAAAGGGGCGGGGTCGCTTGGTCAGACAGGAATCCGTGGGAATAGGCTCCAGGCCAGAAATAAAAGCACCAACTCTGCATTGCTGACATTATTAATCTCTGCTGTAAAAAAAATATAGATGGAACCAGTTGAGGTCACTTGGAATTGATGTGAATTCCCAAATCACCTTGTTTATCTCCGACTCTGTACCAGAAAAACAATACACAGTCACTGTGTGATACAGTACGTCCTGTGAAGCGCTTTGAAAACGTCTCGATGACATGATTAGGAACTATATCAAATGCAAGGATTATTATCATTATTTACCAGTTCACCTTCCTAGTGGATCCACTCAGCCCTTCGCTGTTTTTTGGGGTGAATAAAATAAGAGCACCATGTGTGCGGTTGACAAGCTTGCCTAGCTCGACGAGACACAGAAGTGTTGACATATCCTCCCAAGTTGTGAGCCAAATCCAGAAGGAAGGTAGGCAGTCAGGTCTCAGCTGAGCAAGTATGAATCGTACAGTCTCTGTAAGCTAGAAGCTCAGTTACCAGGGCTTTCATGTTTATGTCTATTGATCAGACATTGCTAGGGAGAAGTATCCGTTAGAGGTCCTTTTAGAGATGATCTGTTCACAGGCCTCTCTGACTGACAATGCTGGTTGTTAGCATGTCCACCTAGAGCGAAACAACAGCAACCTGTGGATGATATCTCCCCGTGATTTTCTTTCCCCGTGCCGCGGGGAAAACACTGAGGAGTGAAGTAACAGAGCATGTCTAATCGCCTTTCTTGCTGTATGGTTCCAGTTACCACACCAAAGGCAAGAAGATGACAGAATACAAGCTGGTGGTGGTAGGAGCTGGTGGCGTTGGAAAGAGCGCGCTGACAATCCAACTAATACAGAACCATTTTGTGGATGAATACGACCCAACCATAGAGGTGAGTGAGTAGCGGAGACGTGGTGTGAGTGTGTGTGTATGTGTGTGGGGTGGGGGGGGGGGTTGGAGCAACAACTTGTGAGGTCTCACAACTGGGATCTGGTCATTGTATTCTCAACTAATTTGTAGTCAATGTGTGCAAGTACGCTTGCTGTGAGATTGGGGGCACAGGGCTATTAGCACAGTACCTCAGTTGAGGCTTTAAGTACGGTACACCTGGATATTAACTGTTCACGCTTTGGTTTGATATCGATGCGCTGAGAAGGGGAATGTTAAAACCGCCATCAAAGTGGTCTCTGCTGAGGTGATCTGGGCTGTTGATGTTCTCGTTGTTAACTCCTCGCTGGGTTGCTTTACGGGGGTCAATGGGAAGCGTGACTTGAGCAGGCGCAGTGTCGCACGGCAATGAGAATTACGAATGTAGCTCGACGCTCAACCACTCTTTTTGTCCAGGACTCTTACAGGAAACAGGTGGTGATTGATGGGGAAACGTGTCTGTTGGATATTCTGGACACAGCAGGTCAAGAAGAGTACAGTGCTATGAGAGATCAGTACATGCGCACCGGAGAGGGCTTCCTCTGTGTCTTCGCAATCAATAACACCAAATCCTTCGAGGATGTCCATCTGTATAGGTTAGTGCTGCGTAAGGAGTGGAATCAAGCAAATCTGATGCTATATTTACAGGTTGTCGCACACAACAGTAACATTTCAGTAGAGGACACGCACGGCCCTAAGAGATAACGATCTACTAGTGTCGTAGAGAGCCGACTCGATTTACGTTCCTATCTGTGAGCAGAACGGAACACAATGGGAATATCTTGACGTTTCTCTTCCGCAGAGAACAAATTAATCGAGTGAAAGACTCCGATGATGTTCCTATGGTCTTAGTCGGAAACAAGTGTGACTTGCCATCACGGACCGTGGATACGAAACAAGCGCAGGAACTAGCAAAGAGCTACGGGATCCCCTTCATCGAAACGTCAGCCAAAACAAGACAGGTACCAAGAGCAATTGGCAAATACATTCACGCGGGGTAGTGTCTCAGGAGGGTTTATCAGTGGTGGAACTTGATGTGGAGCTAGGGAGAGAAACCTTTGAGGGGGTTATATGAAATAGACATCCATGACCAAAAGTTTCTTATATTTGCTAATCTGGCACCCTCATTTGATTTACTTTCCGAACAATATTTCCATGTCTTATGCTTAAGACTATTCCAAGTATACAATCCCAAGAAATATACCGTGAATTCAGTTTGGAGTATATTCTGTGAAGCACTGCGATGGCTTGCAGGCGCGGCAGTGAGTTGCGCACAGCAGGGTCCCACAGTCAGGGATTATGACCATTTAAAAAATATATATATGGTATACCATTTTTCACTTCAGAAATGCTTCAGCATACAAAATATACTGCGAGTTCAGCGACTGTTCTACGGGTGAATGATAACTGTCTATTTTCTACAGTTGTGAGGTTTTCGTGCTCGATTCACTTTATATCTAATCGTTGTCCAATTCACACCGTGCAATTCCAGGGCGTGGAAGATGCCTTCTACACACTCGTGCGTGAGATTCGCAAGTACAAGGAGAAGATCAGCAAAAACGGCAAAAAGAAGAAAAAGCCCTCCAAGAAAAAGTGCATCATTCTTTAAACGATGATAGAAGATAGTGCAGGACTTACTCGTGACCCTTTCAACCCAAGGATTGGGCTACAGAGAAGAAATCAAAGGTTGAAGTTTGGCAACTCTTTGCCCCCCCCCCCCCCCACCTCTGCCCCTGTGCAGACATCCCAAACTGAATAAAGGCAGAACAGTTTCTACTTTTAAAAACGCCCATTTCTCATCAAAAGTGCAGTGTATTAATGTAAATTACCAACCAAAACAAACTATTAGACCCTGCAACGAACTATTCAGTTTCTGAAACGCTACTCAGAAGCTTCCCCACTCCCCTGCCTTACAGGAAAATTATACGGATCTTCTCTGTGAGCGTGCGCGAATACCGTGGCAGCAAATAACTTCTGCAATAAGAGGCTGCTGGCTTGGTTAATCACTATTCTGGCAGCATCTCGGGGCAGAAACTGATATTGCTGCAGCATCTGGTCTGAAATTTTTGGGACGTCCATCTTCTGCTCATCCCGGCCAGCCCCCCGTTTCCTCAATGGAAGGAAATACCACCTGTTCTCCCTTCCTCTCTATCGCTCCCTCCCCCCCCCCCCCCGACCCTTTATATAGGGGAGTATCATATCAATTGTCCTGATATTGCAGCTTATTAAGCAATCAAGTCCCGATTTGTTATTTCGCCAACAAATTTCACACAAAGTTTGAAGTTTTACATTGAAACATTTGAGCCATCGAGGACAGGATTGTCAAAGGCACCAGGGATTTTAAAAGCCTTACGGAGCATAGTGATTTTTAAGTCTGTGGTAAATATAGTGATGCTGTTTGTAATCTGTTTTTATGCCACATGTGTGAGCTGACTCAGTAGCATTTGGTGACTTCTGGCAAGGTTAGCCTGATCGGTTCAGTAACAGAACTTCTGGACTCTGATCCAGTCTAAACACGCCTCTGAAAAGTCATGACTCATGTAACGTGATACTGGATAATGTTGTCAGCTATCAGCTTGGATCCCAGGATCAGAGCAAGACATTGTACTCTAGGAGGGAGAAACTCCCTTTCCAAACTCAGACTGCAGAAGCCACCCTCCCTATCGAGACATTGCTGTTAGTGGCAATAAAAACTATGGCCCAGATTTCTCATCTTCCAAACTAAATGACACAGAACTCCAGCTGATCTGGGATCATGAGATATCTGCTTCTTCTTTGCCAAGAAATCGTCACTATGTCAATGGAGTCAAAGACGCATGTGGTGTAAGCTTTTGGCTGTGGCAATTCAGTGATGAGAGCTGGAGTTGAGCCACGAATTTCAATAGAAACGAGTGAAAATTATGGTCCACCAAAAGATCCTCCTCCCCCTCTAATCTGGAACACTTGCTGATTACAAACCCTGGCTTTACAGAGTGAAGTATATTTGTGACTGGGAAATCTGGTGAAACGGTGTGTCATGTGGATGGACGGGTGTGTAGGGTGTGATCCACGATAGCTCAGTAGCTGGATAGTGAGTTGCATAGTTTGGACATCTAAGAGCAGTAATGCAGAGCCCTGGGGGAATAATCCGTAAGGTCAGGGAGGATAAATTATGCAACTTAAAGGGGGGGGGAGGCAGGCAGAGGGAGAGTGTGTCACCACTATTATATTTAATGGCTTCTAAATTTATGCTTAGTCGTGGGGAGGTGTGTGGAGAGAAATTGTGCCTATCCCACATTACAGATAGACAAAGCCACCAGTCACATTAAGAGACAGTGGTCAAACATACTTGCACACGTCTTGAAGACACACATCTACAGACACTTTTAAAAATACCCTTCGTTGTGTTTGTTTTCCCCTCAAAAAAAAAATCGAGTCCCCTCATATGTTCTGTGCTTCAGATAATCGAGTCCTGTAACATGCCTGCCTCTATGATCTCCTCCCACATCCAGTGCCATTCAATTAGTGTTATATCTGTATCTTGCTCCTTGTTGACTCACATGACTTGTGTGCAGTGGTTGCTTAATGTAACTTGCAGATATACATATGTATGATGTGGAGTAATCATTTTGTATCACAAATGGACATCGGAACATAGAAGTGCCAATACTTGTGTCTTCACCAAGATAAGTAACCGTTTCTCAGTGTGTGTTTACTCTTGGTACCCTACAGCTAACTTAGCCACAAACTAGTCTACACCCATAGTTGAAGATTTTCATGCATATCGCAAATAGTGAAATGCTAAAGGCATTTTAGCCGCTTGATATGAGGAAGCTTCTGCGAGGACAATATTGTGACGTTAACTGTGTTGTTTCCAGTACTTCCTCCCAAAAGGCTTTGTGGGGTACATTTTAAATTTGTGTTGCATTGTTTAAGAACTCTCACTTAAAGGCGCTCAGCTCATGGAGAAACCATTTAAAATGTCTTCTCGTTCCCCCACCCACATCAACTCCTCTCCCAATAATGTGCTTTTCAAATAGCTGTAAAGATCAGCCTCTGTTTACACAATGTACATGTTTATGGGAGCCTTCATCCCCTGTTGCTGTTCTGCCACAATTTGTACAGTTTTGTCACAGCTGCAATTAAAATGCAAGCTTGGTGCAATTCTTAAAAGTCGCTTGTCTGAACGTCAGTATTTCAGCATGTTTTGAGTTGTTCGCTGGTCCTAAAAGAACAAGACCGAGAAGTTTTTTCCCCCAAAAAAACCCCCAAGGCCATGAATTCTTCTCGCTTTGCTCAACGATCGACGAGCAATAAATGGTTAAGTTTCATTCCAATAGGATGTAGGTACCCCCGACCCCAACACACACACACATATATATTCACCATCAGAAAAAGAAATACAATCCAAACTGCTCCAGTATAAAGTACGTTTGTCACTTTATGCAGTGCCAACTTTATTGGATCCAAAATTTGGGATGTGTTGGCTGCTCCAATGGAAAGGAGCTGCTAACGGTTGCATCTGACTGGCTCAGTCAATCAATTACGTACACATTTTGATTTTTTAAAAAATATTAACCTTGGTATTGGACTTGTAAAAAAAATATATATACACACATTGATTTTAAAAAAAGTGAATGTGAAGCAACATTAAAAGTTTTAAAAAATTGCAAGTGGAAACAAAGGCACTGTGTTTGGTCTAATTCACTGTTCTACATCAAGCAACAATGTTATCAAGACATGGAAATAGCCTGAAGCAAGTTATTGTCGAGCTCAGATAATAACAGCATTTGATATAGCGCCTCATCACATCTTCGAGACGTCTCAAAGCACTTTGCAGGATACACCGTAAAGTGAATTGACTGTATATATTGTGTGGGCGAAACGCAGCAGCCAGTTTGCACACAGCAGCGTCCCACGAACAGGCGTAGAGCGAGCGACCAGTTTTATTTGGGAGATTGTTGGCTAGGACACCGGGGGAAGACAGAAACCAACTTACTTCTATTTTTAAGGCTGAAAATGGGAGCTACTCACCCTTTGCGATAACTTTATTCCTCTGGTCTTTCGCCTTTCAATTCCCAGCTTGATTGATGGTCTCAGACTTTTTGCGGCTCGTCTCGATTCCTCTTTCTCTCTATCTCTCTCCTGTCAATTGCCTCGTCTTCTATCCCACTCATTCTATTTTAGAATTTGTTGCATTTGTGGCTTCCCTCTCTTAGGATTTGTGACGAACGTCAACTTGCCAGGATCTCAGCCACAGTTAAGTCTATCCTAAGACACTTGACTTGGGTTTTCAACCAAACCTTTAAAAAAAAAGGAATCTCACCCCACCCCTCCAAATTAGAGGAGTGGATCCCACCTCAATGGGTGCACTTACCTGTAAGATTTTACAAGAACGGGGGAAGTGGGATTAGTTGGTAGCTTTCAGAGAACCTGCATGGGCATGAGGGGCCGAATGGCCTCATTCTGTACTGCAAGTTTCTATGATTCTGCAGTGTCAGCTAGTCAGGGGTAGGACAAACTCTCATCCCACCCTAATAAGCCAGTGCCGTGGTTTTGAATCATTGACCCACACTGTCCTGAAAATAAAAAAAACATTTGTTCCCATCGAATCCGTTCCACATAAAAAACGTGTCCAACTGACACAGCAAGACACTTAGGACACAGAATCTTTGCTCTTCTGCAAAGCCGAATCAGTTTGGTTCGCCTCCTCTTGAACCAGACAACTTTTAAAAAAAAGTAAGTAGCTTCTCTGCCTGCTTAAACTGTTAGCTTTAATGTCAATCAGAAAACCGACCAGATTGTGCAATTAAAACTTTGAATAAAACAAATGGGTTCTCTAGATCGCTAAACGTTTCCCTATCTACTCTATACAAACACCTGCACAAACACACTGATAATCCGTCTGTGAATTTGGGCTGGAACAATGAAAAGACACCACCCATCAAACAAGACGTCAAAATCTAAATGGTAACTTTCCTGATAGCTCACTGGGTGAACTCAGGTTTACTTTGTACAGAAACAGACTACATTGCAGCCTAGATTGATATGTCAAAGCCAGGTCTGCAGATTGACAAACGGATACACAAATAAACAAGCATGGATCTGCCTCAAGAACAAACTATGGACACATGTAAATGGTTCAGTGCCAGCAACTGTTCTATTAATCTCGTTGGGTTTTGCCTAAGAAACAGGGGAGAAAAAAATATTTTTAAGAGTCTTATGCAATGTGTATGTAAATAGGGTACATGGTGAGAGATAGAATTTGAATAGAATTCTATTCCTGGGTTTCAGCACCAAGCAGAATATAAACCGATAATGCAGGTAAATGATACGCTAGAGATTTGGTTATTCACTGAAGGGGATGTCCAAAAGGCTCGAGAGTCTAGCATTCTGAAGAGCCGATCACCAATCTCCAGTTCTGCCTCTCTGAGCGTTGCTGAACGACATAGTCCAAACGGGAAAGCGTGAAAATAAATGAAATTAAAAAAATTATATATATTATATATATAAATAAATAAAGGAACCATAACAACCCTGGTTTAAACAGGTGGAGGAGCTCCATGTCTCAACCTAATCTGAGGGCAGAGAATCGCCTTTAAGATTGACCAGACATTGCCATCAGCAAACGTTGGGAAGAAGTGCTTCTGGCAGCACATGGGGATAAAGGAGAGCAAGTTGATAAACGTCACAAATATCAAGGTTAGAACCACCATAAAGCAGATGAGACGTGCATTGTTAACGGCCTGAGAATAAAACCCAGCCAGCAGCTCGGATACGTCTTCAAACCTACAAAGTAAAAAAGAATAAATGAGATGACCATTTTAAACAACATTTTAGGACTACACTCTAGCATAGAGCATATATATTATATAATTATATATTGTATAATAATAATCCTTGCATTTTAATACAACACCGTATCACGTCGTTGAGACGTCTCAAAGCGCTTCACAGAATATATTGTAAAGTGAAATGACTATTTTGTGGGTGAAACATAAAAACATCTATCTTAAGCTCTAATTATAACAATAGTTTTGCTATGCATGGGCAAGATAATAACTCTGAAGATTCAAAGACTGTCACTGGCCTATTCCTCAGATCAAATAACAAATGCAGTGCAACACTTATCATGTACACTGCCCACAGTTCAGTAATTCACTGCAGATTATTCACTAATACATAGCAACAAGCCTTGCATTTTACACAGCGCTTTTTCACATGGGGAAGATGACTCAAAGCACTCCCAGGATTTACTGTAAAGTGTAGGGACTGCATGTTTTTATAGGTGAACAGAAGAACCCAAATACTGTAGTAATAATAATTACCCTTGGGTCTGGGGTATGTGTCCCACCCTAACTGTCCTTTTCCGTGGGACATGATGAAGACCAGACAGTTGGGGGTGTTTCATCTGCACCCTGTTGAAATGGGGGGGAAATAAATTTAAATTAGGTATAATTCGGATCATCCCACACAGGTTGAATTGGTTCTGAACCACCGGAGGCATACATTATTCTAACAAGAGCTGTAATATGGCGGTCAGCATTATAAAAGTAATCTCTGCAGCAAAAGATGCAATAGCATGTTAACCTAAACAGATAAATGTGCTTTTTACCAGTGAACCCACAAATGGGTAATGCAACAGTACACACTTACCTCATTCTTTCAACTCCTTCACAATTATCTGCCCATTTACAAAGGTTCCCTCCACCACACTTCGGGGTAATTTTGGAGTAGGGTTAGGGTTTGCTGTACATCCAATGGCTGCGTAAACTGATAAGTAAATCTATTCAAACACTTACTCCTCCGCTGTTCCCGGCCCTGCTGATTGTGGCTGCACAACATTCCATCCCACATACTGCTGAAATGAAACAAGATTTAGACGTCATCAGTCAAGGGAACACACAGGCAATCCTGGACAGTTGTGTGTGAACTACAAATAGGATTCTGGACAACTTTTGAGTGAAATCGCACAGGGTTCAGAAGACATGATAAAACATTGTCATCAGGACAGAACTGGAACGGTACTTGTTCTGGATAGACACAAATAAGAAGCTGGTTATTCTAATCAAATGAGCCAAAGAGTCAAACTCCTCTGAACCTCTCTTGTGATCTGAATCACAAGATAGGCTTGAAATCCTTTCCGAGTGCACGTGCAGAAACATTCCCTTTGTTCACTGCCGGCGTCTCACCTTTATGTTGTCTCCAGTGCCTTCAAAATGAGAAATAGATGACTTTTCATAGTAGGGTACTAGTGCACGTGCTGAAAAACAACAAGATCTGGTTTTAAAAAAAAGCTTGTGGTTCATGCATAAAGAGTAAGTCCTTGAGCTAGGTACAGGAAAGTGATAAACTGTACAATACTGCATGATTTTGGAAAGCTTATTCTACCAACCAACATTACAGTATATTACAATTATAGTATAACCAACAGTTCTAGGGGAACACAACTACATCAGCCTACCACTCGATGTGCAATTTGGTTTGATAATAACAGGCTCCACAGCCAAGAACATGCAACTAGGCACAATCTAATTATCTGCTGTTACCACTAAGCAAGTGACTTTGTTACCCATACAAAGCTAGGCTTACGGTTTTTGAGTCACATTTGTACAATGACAATATCTGTACAAGTCCGTCAAGTCCTGTGTTATTGAAGAGTTACCAGCATTTCCACAGTTGGGAGGGATTTCGTTCATCCATTTATTGCAATGTTGGATGATTATCAAAATACTCTCAAGTTCCTCAAATTCTCTCTCATGGATGTATTTGGTATTGCTGATGTATTCCATCATCGTATTTCTCTTGACAGCGAAATTCTCCTATAATGTGAAGAAAACACACTCAACTCAGGCTGTGTGCGTTGTTACTGGAACTCAATACAGTATTAATAATAATAATCCTTGCATTTGATATAGCGCTTTTCACGTCGGGAGGACGTCCCAAAGCGCTTCACAGAAAACACTGTAAAGTGAATTGACTGCATATTTGTGGGCGAACGCGGCAGCCAATTGCGCACAGCAATGTCCCACAAACAGTCGTAGATTGAAAATGACCAATTTATTATTGTTTTTGGAGGGATTATTATTAGGTGTGTGGAGTAAGGAAACTTGCCCAAGGTTTGGCCCTCTGCCTGAAATTGAACTCAGGTCTCTCACTCACTTGTATTAATCAAGGCTGAACTACAAATGAGACATATTGACATCTTTCTCTAAGGGGGAGGAATAATCTGCTGTTACAGTTGACTGCACTTTGTGTTAACTCACTATGGTTTAAAATGAGACCATTTTAAAATCTGGCAGAGTTAAAATATTCCAAAACACTGGATATTAAGCAGAGCAGCCAGACAACATTTAACAACATAGGAACAGGAGTAGGCTATTCAGCTCCTTGAGCCTGTTCTGCAATAAGATGGTTGATCTGTCCCTCAACTCCAATTACCCACCTTTGCCCCATATCTCTGGATACCCTGATCTAACAAATATCTATCCACCTCAAGCAAAGTTATTTAACGGTTTTCCATTCAATCACACTTTTGCAATAAACCTTCATTTAAAAAAGTGGGATTGCATTAATTTTATACAATTGATTAGCCACTAGATCAATCTAAATATGCAAGTTACTGTCAGAATTCTATAGAATCTGGAACCACAGATTATTTAAGCACTACCAGTATAATAGGGCTCTAGGCACTTACTACGGACTATATTTTACTTACACTGTAGCCCCAATACATGTCTTCTTCCGAAACCAGCTCCTTATACAGTCGCTCAAGACTTCCTGATCAATAGGAAAAAAATTGCATCTGAAGTAAAAGCACTGCCAAAACACATCAATGGGAATAACTAAAATTGGGCAAAATGTGTATATTATATTTTTTCAAAATGCATCATTCAAGAGATCAGAGGCTTAAATTACCTTATAATGTAAGGTGTAGGGCAAATGCAAGGTGAGAATACACTGCGTTGTGAAACATTTTGCACACAGAAACACTCGCGTGATAAAGGGTTCCAATGTTTTACAGTGCTTCAGTCGGAACTTAATGAGTTCAATATTAATAGTGCCTAGGTATCCACTACACTCTCTCTACATAAGCATAAGCTATAGATAGCATCATTATTCTATTCCCAAAGTCCAGTCACGTACTTTGTTGCTGACAAAGGCTGCGACTCAAACCGTGCCATGCTTTCTGAAGCTGTACTGCCACCGAGCCGAGGGAACATCTTGCTCTGTTCTCCTTCAGTGTCGTTTCCCCAAGACAAAAAGGGCAATGCTCTGATGGTACGTCAAACCTGAGCTGCTGCTGGGGAAAGGTAACGGTCAGTGTAACAGGACTGGTAGCGCTTAGCACCAAACAGCAGAGGTAGCACATGCTAACAGACCAGGCTTGAGACAACCATTCCCATTCAGTAGTCTAGATATTAACCCAGCAAATCTAGACAGTTTTCTGATTCATGAGGAACTGCATATCAAGCAACCCATCATATGAATATTACCTGCAGTTCTGTTTGAGTTGCTTGCTCTGCCACAGTAGTTATTGAAATAGTTTGCTGCACACAGCTCCGAGTCTCCATGATCACTCTGGCAGTTTCTCTTTCCCGCCTGTCAACTCTGGCCTCCGTAATTCTCTGACTATTCGGACTTCCCTGGCTTGCCGCTCTCGGAAGCTGCGTCTCTCTAAATAGTCTTCCAGCAGCGCTCAACTCTTCACTGGACTCTTCCTCAGTGACAGACCTGCCATTCCATTTCAATTTTCTGAGATAGGGCACAGGACTGCCTCGCTCCTCAGGCAATGGGTGTTCAACCTGACCTAGAACCTCCTCCAAACCATTTCTGAAAGCCAAGAAATGCATCCAAAAAAGAAAAAACAGTTTACATCCTGTTATATCCTCACCAGCTTTGTGAGAGAAGTGCAGCCTGCCTCGCCCTTCATTCCTGAGGTGAAGAGACCAGACCTCACCAGGCACCACATTGCCATACTCAACAAGATTTATCTCTGCTCTTAGGCACAAAACTGTGTCCTACTCTTCATTTACACAAGGGACAACAACTTCTCACAGAAGGTGGTCAAATGGAAGAGGACACAAGCGCTCTGGGACACTGCCCACGTAAAGGGCCCTGTACAAATGCAAGTTGTTGTTTTATAGCACAATGTACTTATAAGTGAAACTACAAAACAGTGAAATCTGGAGTATTAGAGAAAAATGTGAAATGAAAATAAAATACAAGTGCCTGACTTTCCTACAAATTAAATATAATACATCCATAATTGCTGCACCTTAGGCTAACCCAGATAGGTACCTGAAGTGTGGATGTCGTTCTGTATGATGGCAGTCCTGTGCAATTGCCCTCAACTCTGCAGCTAATTTACTTTTGTACATGTCCCAGATGATCTTAGTGTGAAACAAGCAGCTGATTTTCTGCAGAAATATTTTTATCTCCTCTTCAAATTCTTTTTGTAGTACCTGCTTGTAACAGAAAAAGGTTTCTGTTGATAATCAGGAAGCAAAACAACTTTAGCAATTCTAAAATAGATACATCAGTTTGTCAGCTTTAATACCCAATTGTTATTCCTGGTTCCAAGCTTTCCCAGGATTGGAAGGCAGAACAATCAGCTCCCTAAGAGTCAGAAGCAAACAGTTTCCCTGACTAAAGCAACCGGATCTACTCAGACACACACAGGGATCTTCAGAGGAAGGGTCCAGGGGATCTTCAAACCACATTGATTTGTGGTCAATACTATAATTTCCTCTAAGCATGCATTTTGCTTGAGTAATGCACAGCTGTATGTAAATAGGTCAAACTGAGAAGTTAGTTTTGGGAGACATTGCTGTTCCAGCATTCAGCTGGTTCCCAATGAGTTGTTTATTTGCTGACAATGGGGGTCTGATTTGAGGTTGTGTAAAGGGGGGCTCCAGGCGGAAACCGATCCATGGGAACATCATTCTTCCAGAACAGAGTTCATGCAGGTGGCTAGGATTTATAACAGGATTAGGGATTAAGGAATATTAAGAAATGCCATTAAGAAATAACCTAAATTAGACTCTAATATTCTTAATTCATAAGTACCAAAGTGCAGGCTTATGAAATAGACCAGAGCAAGATTATGCTGTGGATCTGAGAGGGAAACAAGTCAGATAACAAAGCATTCATCGCATTTCTAAACCTAGTTAACAACTGATGTTAGTGCTCCCTTTGCCATGGAAACCTGCCTCAGGTGTTCTGGTCATCTCTCTGGCGCTAGAGACGTCAGCAAATTGCTTGATGCGAATCATCAAAGCTTCCATCTCCTGCTTAAACTTGCGTGCCTGGAATCAATAGAAACACAACATGAGATCATTCTCCTTCACACACGGTGAGACGGAAATGCTTGCTGTCACTAAAGCATTAAATTAGAACCAGCACCTGCATGTGCAAACTCAAATGATGTAAATAAATCAAAAGGAATGAAAGACCTCTAATAATTGGGAAAAATCAAAATGCTTCATTTCTTTGCAAAGTTTAACATCTACGCAAATGTAAGCAGCCTCCTGTAAATAATGTCAACCATGAGGTCTGAAATGTGACCATTTTCTTTTAACTAACTTACTAGTTCCTGGGTGATTGTCTGAAAATCCATCCAATTTAGCTGAGAGCACATGTGACCTAGAAGGTCTTCGATTTGTTGAGCTGAGTCACTGAGTGGCATCATACCACATAGCGGTGTGGGTAGGTTATCCACAGCCAAGCTGGTCTTCTGCCAAGGGAAAGAGAAATATCACTGCTGTTGTGGTGTAATAATAATCCTTTCATTTGATAGAGTGGCTTATCATGTCTTCTAGACATCTCAAAGCGCTTCACAGAATATACTGTACACCAAGCTTGCAGTTATATAGCGCCTCTCATGCAGGGCAGGGTCCCAGGGCGCTAAAGTGAATTGATTGTATATTTTGTGGGTGAAACGCGGCAGCCTATTGGGCGTAGCAGTATCCCACAAACAGCCGTTGCCAAATTATTATTATTCGCCAATCGACTAACATCGGGGTTCCTACTTACTGTTAGGTAAACAGACGTGTAGAGTACGGAAACTTGCACAATGTTTTGCCCTGCACAGCAATCGAACCCAGGTCCTCTTAATCACGAGTGCTCTAACCACTACGCTACATGACTCCAAAATGTAGCATGTAATATTAGCAGTAAGTCTTCAAACAGTTACATCATTCTTCAGTTTTACTCATTCAACTATTGTCAACTGGGAAAGATGGTTGGAACACAGCTTATCCTGCTAAATGTCCTTAACGGCCAAGATGAATCCTACCTGCTGAACCTGCTCTATTTCTAGTTGCAACGAGTGTTGTTGTGGGGCTCTAATAGGAACAGAGGAGTTCTCTGACTCTACACGCTGGGGGCCACAGCCTCTGCCAGAAAACAGGAGGGGGGGGGAAAATATAAACAGATTTACAGCATCATTAAATGAGTTACTGTGAGATTTGAGCAATGGTACACAATTAACTTGAGCAATCTATGTCATACCCACTGCCAGTTGGAATAAGCAGCATTTTACACTTGACATTTATATTGCCAATGTTTAATCTGTGCCATTACTTTATAGAGGGCAGGGCAGACTTGCTGACGTCAGTCAGAATAGTAACCACACACAATCCAGTCTGAATTGCTGAGTGTTTCCTGACTCAGATGTTTGCTTACAACAGACAAAAAGCAGACCGCCTAGCTCACAAAGCCAATCATGGGAACGTAAGGATTATGGCTAGGATCCATGGGTTGCCCCACACTGAGATTCCCACTTTTGTTCCAGTATCCTATTTAAGAGCAGTGGAGTTTGGTTGGGATAGCAAGCCCAAATTTATATGGCAATAAAAATCTGACCTTTCTTTTTACAGACATATTCTCTCTTCATACATAAACCTAGTGTGAGCGTGGGTATTTGGGCATAATCCTGCATCCTAAAGTGTTTGTTTTCAAACCGGGGTTTCTAACTAGCAAACACAAACCACTGGATGGTGATCAGAAGCAGAAACTCAGGTTGCTATCTTTGATGTAATTCATAATTTCTGTAACTACACTCTGCTCTAAACGTTCACAAATATCATAGTAATTTCTACTGCTAGAAACTACAGCATCACAATATACACACACATACACTTTCCCATTAACCTGGATATAGAATGCATGGTTTTATAATTCCACCCACTCCCAGCTCCTAACAGATCTATGTAAGCGCCAAAGCCCCATCTGGTGGAAATTTCCATTCCTGCTTATTATAATTTACGACTTACACAGATACATCTTCACACAGTAGTGGGGGATGACACTGTAATCTGCTTATTTCTTCTTTCAGTCCCTACGATTGGGGAGAGGGAAAAGGAGGAAGGAGAGGGGGCGGGGGAGAGAGAGTTGGAAAGAAGTGGACAAGTTAATCTTCAGTTACTCCTGATATTATCACAAAAAGGCCTAGTTCAGAACCCCACTAAGATTACTTTTCCAGCATTCACTTTACCCAAATCTACAAAGTTTGAATGAATTCCAGCTTTAGATAAAAGTTTTCACAAATTTCGTCTCCACTTTGAATTAATCTCCCCTATTTATTAAAGCCTAACAGTTCTCTCAAAGTTAATTTTTGTTGTTGTTCATTCAGCTCTGCATGTGCTAATTATAGTAGTGGCTCTGTGAGTGTGGTAGTTGAGGGCCATAGAATTCCAACCAGTGCTACAATGAGGCACGATCACAAGTCCTCACTCACTACACATACACAAGACCTTCACATTCTAAAAAAAATTGCCAGACTTCAAGCCGTCACAGCATGTCTCTGATGACACACACATACACACACACAGAGGTCAAGCCATTTTTAGTGCGTGAGATGACACAATCTTTTAATCTTTGTTCTAATGTATATGGCGCCCCTTGTTTCCTTTAGAAAGAAAGTTGTCTCTGGTTGTCATTTTACCTTAATGATATTACAGTATTCATCTACAGTCAATTTCAATTCCTCTGCCTGACTTGTCTTCTGCAACACAAAAGGCACATGACTCAGAAGCTCAAAGGCATAAACACTGGGAGGTTTATAACGGATTAGCAATTACGTTGATTTAAGTGAGTTCCCGAGTATCACAAATAACACCAACTAATTTCTCTAATCTGCAATATAAATCATCTCCGTGCTCTGTGCTTTCCTGTCTAAGAACATCTCACCATTCACTCAAATTCTTAGTTAATGTCCTATTCTGCAAAGTTCTTTCTTTGAGCTCCATCTTAATAATAACTCACCCAAATCTTGATAAAAGCAGCACAAATTAGCCACAAAGTCACGTCCGTCAGGGTTACAACCTTTGAAAAGACTGCATTAATTTCCTTCATATTGATGTTCTTTCACCCAGTTAATGCCAAAATATTAGGAAACTGCACAAAGTAATTGGCAGATTCAGTGTAATTACAAACATACTTGTCAGTCAAAACTTGTGTTGTTCATACATACCTCAGTCAATAACACATCTTTAGTGGAGACAAGCCTCTTGATTTCATACATCTGATTCTATAAAACAGAATTAGCATTTTTGACACTAATAAAATAGAACACCAAATAAAATTGGTCACGCACTTCATAGTTGTTGTGGGACACTGCTGTGCGCAAACTGGTTGCCACGATTCACCCACAAAACACACAGTCAAAACCACTTTATAGGGTATCCTGTGAAGCGCTTTGAGACGTCTCAATGACATGATAAGGTGCTATATCAAATGTAATGATTATTATTATACTTCACCAAAAGCATCTGGAGACGAGAATTTATTTTTATAACAGGAAACCTTAAAGAGCTAAAGTGCATTTACCCTCAGGACATTAACAGTTTACCATTGTCACATCCTGAACCTATGCACTATGATAAATTAATATAATGGAGTTCACAACAGTTTTAAACATGACTAATTCTAACCTCAATACTAAAAAGTTCCAGTAATACGGATGTGAAATTTTCTTTAATGCCTTTGCTTCTAGTTTCGGCAGAGGGAACAGAGTGAAAAGACTGAAAGGAGGATCATCCTTTGATGGTTAACCTTAGAACAACCTTGTCACAATACATCAAACCTGGAAGAGACAGAACACTTCACAGCAATTTCTCTGGGAACAGTAATAAAGCACAGAGACAAGCAATTTTGTGTAAGTTGCTCAAGCACTTTGCTAACGTACCTTCAACTCTGCCTTCTCTGACACGAGTTCTTCAGTTCTCCAGTTCACATGGTCCTTCTCTGCTGCCAGCTTTCCATTCTACATTAGATAGTATACTTTCACTATTGGGTGATATCTAATGGTACATTCTGTAGGATATTGCTGTGTTCCATTTTTAAATCTCTCTACCACCCCCCACCCATCCACTCCCAAAGGAAACTAGTTTAGATTAAGGAATGCATTTTAAAAAAAACTCACTCCAAGGGAGTGATAAATCATAACATAACATGTAGGAGCAGGAGTAGGCCATTCAGCCCTTCGAGACTGCCCCGCCATTCAATCATGGCTGATCTTCTAATCTAATTCCAGCTAATAACATAACCCTGCCTTATCCCCATATCCCTTAATCCCTTTTACAATCACCTCTTCCTGAAGCTCGTGAATCCCCATGGCCAGGTTCTGATGCTCCTTTTCCTTTTAAGAAAACACAATAAAACTTTAGGATGTCAAAAATATGTTTTTCTATTAGATTTCTTTAAGTTGTAATATTATGAGGTGAAAGGGGAGGAATTGGAGGCTAAAAAAACAAAACTGCTTATTGTCCTTCAATCTCCCTAACTATCTCAATGTATTCCTTTGAAACACAAAATAGATTAACAACATTAAGTTTGGACCAGAAGGTCCAGAATGTAAAGAGTGAATGAACTCTACAACTTTGGTTTGAAGGCCTTTCTGTGAGTAGTTGACAGAATGGATGGGCCAGTTTTCGATCTCTGTGCTGTTCATCTCATGAAGCAAAATTACAACCGATGGAATAGTCTCGGAAAGCCCAAGGACTCAATAGCTCCTGACAGGACTACAGCAGTGTTAAATCAGAATGTTGAGTCAGTGTTCGCATAAACGATTAACCTTACACCTAATTGTTTTCTTATGGACGTACCAATTGGCGGTTTTGTGCCTGCAAATTATAATTTTGATCTTCGAGATTCTTCACGATAGTCTTTAGATCTTCCAGTTCATCCTCCAGTAATTTAGCATGTAGCAAAGCCTGCTGAGAGCTGCAGAGAGTAACAGGCATCAGTGTTTCACAAAGATCATCTCAGGAAAAGTGTCACCTTCCTACTGCTGTTCCTATTAAGATCAGCTAAATCAACATAACCCAGGGATCAACATTTGTCAAACCTTTATACAACAAAAAGATTACATTTGTAAAGCGCTTTTCACGTCGAGAGGACGTCCCAAGGTGCTGAAATAGCATGTTTCACCCACAAAATAGAGTCAATTCAAGCGCTTTGAGACGTCTCAAAGACGTGATTAGACGCTATGTGTTCTTATATCAAATGCAAGGATTATTATTATTACGGGGCAGCTTGTCAACTGAGGCATTACAGCACTGAACCATGAGACTGTCAGACATTTTAACAATCTGGTAATTGTATGAATCCTAAAACAATAGGAATCGGCAATGAGAGAAACCTCTCGAGGCACCCAGAATTGCTACAATCACAGACTTTTATCTGAACACCCTGGATATAGACCAAGGAACCTTTCCGTCCTGCAAGGATCAAAACCTTTTATAGCAATTCTCTTTCATGTTACCTTTTGAGTTTGCTTTTCAAGTCAAAGATTTCCTCAGTTAGCCGTGTATTCGCTTCCTCAAACCCCTCAACCGTTCTTTGTAGTTTTGCACTCTGATCCAGCAGCTTTCTGTTAGTATACTCTAGGCACTCAATATTATTGATCAGTTCTGTGATCTCTCTTGAGGTGGTGGGGCAGAAGAGAAAGAAAAATTAAGAGAAACAATCACAGGTTTCTCGGGCAAGATTACAAATGCTCAGACAGAACGATTACCTTATACACTCACAAAAAGCATATACCAACAGTCATTTAGGAATAAATTGCCTCCCAAAAATATATTCCTGCCAAGTACCGTAGAAAGTGAAACATTGGTGTTATTAAATAGATTTACTGCTTAGTGTGGTCTAATCTTTCAACCACTGTCACTCTTATATTGCCAAACCTACTGGCCTCAGTCTTAATTCAACCCTTGAAATAGCTAAAAGATACTTACAGGTTGCCCCTGTTTATGTCGCCTCCATATCCCTCCAGCTGCCCTGGAGTTGTGACAGATCTCTTATCTATCAAAACAACATGTTTTGTTAAGAAAAGCCAATGAACCGCGAACATAATATGAAAGAAAATTAGGAACAAACTTTGAATACTATTACATGATAGTGAAGACTCCACTGTCTCAGGGTCCCAGAGATTACTTGGTGGGGTAAATTTTGCTCATTTTCTTGTTTTCCATTGTAAACAGAGTTTCAAGATTACTCTCAGCTCTATTAGTTTTGCTTTCTAATAATTTTTTAATTCAATTTTAAATTCACCAATGCACACAGGTAATTTTTTCCTGTTCTGGACAGAATATCAAGGTTATTCCCCAGAGGAAACCAACCCATGAACAGAAAATATGAGCCATAGTTACACTCCCAATGTCCACCCAATAGACTGACATGTGTACCAACCTGATTGCAAAATGCAAATGTTTTCTATGCACACGAAATCTTCGTTCTGCTCACTTGAAAGTCTGTATTTTAAAAAAAGTCATTAGTCCCCTGCAACATTTGAAACAGAGCAGGATTGCTATTTTCACTTTAGTGCATCCCCCATGTTTGCTTGTTTTTCTCCTCCTCACAGACTGAACTGGAGTTCTTATCACAAAGGGGAAGGTTTCCAGCCATATTTAATTCCTGTTATCCCTTTCAACTCAGATGGATTAGTTGCATTGGCAGTTTTCAGTACCAGTGCAAATAAGTGGATTAATTAAACTTTTAAACACTGTTTTAATAATCATATATATTGCTACTTCACAATGTCCTGCAAACAGACCGTTTAATTACGAGGTTTTTTACCCCTCCTGTCTGCAATCAGCTATCCATGTCTTCATTATGGTGTGGAAGGTTTCCAGATCCACAGCAATGCCTCTTTCTCCAGGATCCAGCATGTTGTGCAATAACTTCAGTTGTCCCTTCTCACAGCTTTGACTTGTTACATCTTCCAAATATTCAATAATTCGAGATACGGATACTTTTCCTACACAGAGGAACTCAATTAAGGGCTAAAAAGGGCGCTTTTCAATTACAAATGATATTCTGAATAACAATTTACTTAGTGTATTCATATTGGCTAGCAACATATTCAACAGATGTTGGTTTATCTGAGTTAGGCCATTAACTAGTAAACAAACCTTGTAGAGGAGCAGCTTTCCCATACACTCAATACAGTAGAACAATGCACTATCCCCTATACCCGTGATGACCAACATGTAGTGCAGGAGCCACAAGGCCATCAAGAGGCCCCCTGAACACTGGTTTGAGTTGAGGTAGGTCCATGTTCGATCTGTAGTGTGCTTTCATTTTTTTCTTGATTGAATATTTCTTGATTTATGGCATATACACTGCTCTATACAGTAACACAATGTAAGATGTTACCTTTGCCTTCTGTATCACAGGCTTCAAATGTGCAATTCAACACATCCTCCTCCGTACAGCTACTTATCTCACTGGAGTTCTCAACTGTGTCTTTTGTTAAAACCGTAGACATCAATTCTGAAATGACATGGAAAATATCTTCAATTACAGCCACACTTAAGCACACATTGCCAAGTGTTCACCAAAGTTATCCACTACATAAAGTAGCATCCCTGAGCTCCGTAACTATCTCGTCCAATTAAAAGTTGGTGTTCTGTTGGTGATATAAACATATTGTGTGTCACAAATACTGCCGCGTTTACCTACAAATACCCAGTCATTATACTTCATTGTAAAGAGCTTTGAAACGTCCTCCCAAAATGGAAGGCGCTATACCAAATGCAAAGATTATAATTATTAAATCATTATACTTCACATCTCTCCTTCACAACGTATAAAAATAACCATTTGCTTGGGAAAGCGTACCATGTGGTGCAATAGATGGGAATGATGAAATCCTCTTTTCTGGCACATAAAGTAAGGTTGAGCACCGTTCCTTGTTATGCATCACGCTATCCACACTGTAGCGCCATTTCGCATGTAATCCATTCGACTCACATGCCAACCTGGCCTGGAAAAAGCTCTCTACGGAGTAACTCTTTGTAAGATGACACAGAATTGTATCGTTCCTCCCATTTCCCGAATCCATCACCGAGCCAAGACGTTAACGTCCAGCTCAACGTCGTTGGTGCTTGCCGGAAGTCATCCACTCAACTCGCTCCGGTGTGAGAGGCAGCTGTATGCAAAACCGATTTGCAATAAACTAAAATGCAAATGAACAAAGGGAACACGGGGTGAGACGCTTAAAAGCCGACTACCACCAACGTCCTTTCCTACAGTGGTTAGAGCACTCGCTTTGCAAGTGAGAGACCTGAGTTCAATTCCAGGCAGAGGGCGAAACCTTGGGCAAGTTTCCTTACTCCACACAGAGCCTAATAATAATCCCTCCAAAACCAAAAACAATAATAAATTGGTCATTTTCAATCTAGGACTGTTTGTGGGATATTGCTGTGCGCAATTGGCTGCCGCATTCGCCCACAAATATACAGTCAATTCACTTTACAGTGTGTTCTGTGAAGCGCTTTGGGACGTCCTCCCGACGTGAAAAGCGCTATATCAAATGCAAGGATTATTATTATTATTATTGTTCTGCGGCTGATTTCGAGACTGCGAGTGGCTGCTTGCCCGTTAAACGCGTGCTGCCGGGAACAAACACTCGCTCGCGCACGACAGTGTAATAAGCGCACGGCCATCGTATACACGATGTGCAGTATTCCTGGCCCTTTTTTTTTTTGCGCATTTTTTCCTTCTTCCTGAGGCCTAACTCCGCAATAGGTTCCAAACTGACACCGGAATCGTGAGTCGCCCAGGAAAAAGCGCAAAGGTGGGTTAGATGGTCCCCCCCTCCACCACCACCACCACCACCACCCAGCCCCATCGCCACCCGCCCCAACTGTGCGCTCCAACTGCACACGTCCACCCCAAATGTGGCGAATGCAACACGCGCACCCCAAGGGCGCACACACACACACACGCTACCCACACGGATCACCCCCACCCACAAAAAAGAACGCTCAATGGCTTTACCCTTTAAACCGTCCCATTATGTTTTTAAACAAAACGTAGAAACCCCCCCCACCCTCACACCCAACATAAGCACCACCTGGACACACACACACACATATATATATAACTGCCCATCTACCCCCACCCTCCCTCACACACACACACCCCAAACACACACCCTCCCTCACACACACACACCCCAAACACACAACACCCCCTCACACACACACACACACACCCTCACACCCCAACACACAAACCCTCCCTCACCCCAACACACACGCCCTCAAACCCTGGTGGTTCCCTCCTCACCGCAGCCCCCGCGCCTCCCGCCCCCGCAGACCGCCACCTCCATCCCCCGCCTCAGACGTCGACCGACGGGGCCCGTGGGGAGGGGGGGGGGGGGGGGGAGAGGCCCGAATGCGCGCGACTCTCGGTATCTACAACAACAACAATAATAATAATAATAGAAACTCCGCTATTGACGAGAAAAAAAAAGCGCCGCCTCGTCACCCACCTCACCGCCGCCTCAGGGCCACGCGAACGACGACGACCACCGCCGCGCCTCAAGGGCGTCAGTGCCGGCGGCTGGCGGGCGGGCGGCCGGAGCAGGAAAATGGCGCCAACCGGAAACGGGCGGGCGGGTGGGTGGGCGGTGCGTTGAGTGACGGCAGCGCCGACCAATGGGAGCTGAGAGCCGAGCCCGCGTGGCGTGGTTTAGACCAATAGGAAGAGAGATCGGTGGGAGGCGCAGGCGCAGCCCCACCCCCGCCCCCTCCCTCGCGCCCACCGGATGAGGCCGGAACAGGAAAATGGCGCCAACCGGAAACGGGTGGGTGGGTGGGTGGGAGGTGCATTGAGTGACGGCAGCGCCGACCAATGGGAGCTGAGGGCCGAGCCCGCGTGGCCTGGTTTAGACCAATAGGAGGAGAGGTCGGTGGGAGGCGCAGCCCCGTCTCCTCCCTCACGCCCACCGGAGGAGGCCGCCAAGTCGTCAAAAGTGGTGGCTTTTCCGCTTGAGGTAAGTGTACCGTCGCTTCTTCGCCCGCGGTGTAAAGTCCGGCTCCGTGACTGGCGGCGGGTGGAGGGGGACGAACACCGCCACACGTCGTAACGTTTATTTATACAACGCTTTGCGGGTCCAGAGGACGACCCCTCCCCCCCCCCCCCACACACACACACCCTCTCCCAACCCTTGGTGGTGGGGGGGGGCGGTGAAGGGGATGTGGGGGGAGAGATTACTATAATAATCCTTGCATTTGATATAGCGCCTTATCGCGTCGTTGAGGCGCCTCAGAGCGCTTCACGGAACAATACTGCGAGGTGTTAGTGACTGTAATTTGCGGGGGGGGGGGAAACATGGCGGCCAATTGCCGCCAGGAGTTGGGGGGGTAAAGCGATCCGCCCGCCGAGCGACTTAACAACCGGGTTCCCGCTCACCGGTTGGTAAGCGGTAAGTGTGTGGAGTAAGGAAACTCGCCTCAGGATGAACACGGCTTTGACGGTGATGATAATAATTATTATTAATAATAACGAGTCTCGCCTTTCGCGAGATTACTATTGGGAGTCCTGTGGCTCAGTGGTTAGAGCACTCGCTTTGCGAGTGAGAGACCTGAATTCAATCCCAGGCAGAGGGCCAAACCTCGGGCAAGTTTCCTTACTCCACACAGAGCCTAATAATATTCCCTCCAAAACCAAAAACAATAATAAATTGGTCATTTTCAATCCACGACTGTTTGTGGGACATTGCTGTGCGCAATTGGCTGCCGCGTTCGCCCACAAATATACAGTCAATTCACTTTACAGTGTGTTCTGTGAAGCGCTTTGGGACGTCCTCCCGACGTGAAAAGCGCTATATCAAATGCGAGGATTATTATTATTATTATTATTCGCGACGTCGGGGAGGGCTTCCCCCCGAAGCGGTTTGCAGGATTTATTTGCGCGGTGCAGCGACCGACCGGGCTTGACCGCTGCGCGTTTGCGGGCGAGTTCCATGGCCCGCAATGTGGCGGAGGACCGTTTGAGGCGATGCGGCGGCGGCGGCGGATCGGCGGAGCTCCCGCGACGATCGGGTCGAAGCACTGAAATTTAGCTCATCTCGGCCGGGGCGGCATTTAAAATAAAATCGAGCCCCTCGCGCACGTTGGTCAAGCTGTGCATTTAATTAACGGGTTTGGTAGCCGCGACTCACGTTAAGAATAAATTCCACCCGTGATGCCTTTTTTTTTCTTGTTTCTCTGTCGATTGTCGCGATTACTGACGTGAGGCAAACTTAGTAATAAATATCTAAAACTTTTGTACGTAGACCGTTGGATTGATTGCCTTCTTGAAAACGAACGAGTTCAACAAGTGCCTCTGAATTATTCATTTGCCCACTGGGGGAAAATCACCTTAAATTTGAAATACTCCTTACTTAAAAGTTACTTAAAAGTGAGGCAGAATTTCACATTGAAAGCATCCCCCCCCCACACCCCATCTCCGAATCCCCTGAAAGGTTTCTCCCCCTAAATATGTTCCAAATCTAGCACGATGCTATCAAGTGATGCTCAGCTTAAAAAAAACACCTCAGAAACAAAGCTCGTGCAAGCATCTTGTCTCCTGAACAGAAATGCACTAAAGCTTCATGCTCAACAAACTTCAGGACTGAAGTAGTTGTGATGGTGATGTACGCTAGGGCTGATAGCCGCCTGAAATCATATTTTTATAAGCCTGTTTGAAAAGACAAGTCATTTAGAAATATTCTGGTCTGAAGTGAAGGCCAATATCGTCTGCCAGCCGTTTCAGCTCTTTGTACTCAGCTCGACTGAGATCCATCTTCTCTTTCTCATCATTCAGGCCAAGGATGAAGCTTTTCCCTTCGTCTACAACTCCGCGAATGTCGTCATCTATTCTCGGGTCACGGTCGGCCTCTTGGTTCTCTGCGTACAGGTAAGCCATCTGCGGGATGTTCTCAACAGCTAGGTCGTGCTCTTCGTCTCTTGGTAGTATATCCGGGTAATAATCTAGGTTGTTAGCTCTGCGGACCACCGACCGCAGGAGCGGTACTCTGTTCTCCTCCATGGAATCGATGCCAGTGATTATCTCGTCAGAGTACACACATGCAGAATCTAGGTCAAGGCTGTGGGAAGAAAAGGAATTTGTGAACTTTAGTAGGTTTTGTTAACCCGCAAGGGCTTACAGGAGCAAGATCCGAATCAAACCCCAGTGAAGCCAATAAATAATAATAATCCTTGCGTTTCATATAGCGCCTTATCACGTGTTCAAGACGTCTCAAAGCGTTTCATGAAATATACTGTGAAGTGGATTCACTGTATATTGTGTGGGCGAATAAAGGGCAACAAAGCAAAAAAAATTACTGTTGGCTTGAGCTGTTGTCAGTATTTATAAGACTGATAGACACAGATGGACAACTGGTCACTAAAATCAGATAGTCTGTCCATATCTGACTGGACCTCAGATCCCTACACTTTACATACTCTTAAAATGTCTGAAGTCAGGTTGCGTTTTAGCAAAGTATTTATGAATTTTTTTATTGCATGAAATCGTATTTTAATAAATGCGCTTTCTTCCAATTTACGGTTCTATTTTATCATTTAAATGTGGAATAATCTCTGGGTTTATTAAGAATTTTTCACAATTCTTAATTTTAAAACAAAAAGAAGTGCTTACAGACTAAGACCAGGTAGAATTTCATCCCTCAGATTCTCTCTCTCCTTACCGTGTGGAGACGCAGGTCAGTTCACCAGCACAGGGACAGAAGTCCTGAGGGTCATTGAACTTCAGTTCCCAGCCGATCAAACCCAATAGACCACTATCGGGTTGATAACATCTCTCCCCTTCTGTTGCCATTGGAGAGCACACAGCAAATGGCAAAGCTTTAAAAATCAACGTAAACACATCAGGGACACATTACTGTACAGTGCATGAATTTCTATATATAACCTAGTGTTATGAAAGAAACCATATTGACTTCTTATATTCCTTCAGCCATTACGCCCCGACCTCTGGAATTCCACCTTGCCTCCTCTTTGCCCGTCTTCAAATCGGCAAAAAGAAAGGGGAAAAATGAACAAGTTTTCACTTACAGATGTGATTGGCACAGCACAGGCCTGAATTGCAGTCACGCTGTCTGGTGCAAATCGTTCCCCTCTCGCCTCTGGAAAAGCCATCTGTGCACTTTCCCCACACACACAGATATCCTGGGCAGCACTCAGCTTCCCGGGAACACGCCTAACAGAGGGTGGGAACACGAAATAAAGGCAACAAATATTTAACGGATCACCTCTCTATGTGAGATGCCTCACTTGCCACACAATTAGTGTTCAGGCTGCCAATTGTAGCTAGCATTAGGTAGAAGGCTCTTTCTCTTGTCAAGTCACTGAAGCCAGGATGAGGCCTGCTATACATTTTGTGAAGGTGCCCCTGAGGCCTGGCCATCAGTTTCTTAAATGGTTTTGGTTGATTGATTGAAAAGAATATGGCATTGCCTCACATGGGAAACAAAGCCATTTGTATCTCATACTTACAGCATTGATTAGTTTGCATTGCTGGCATTTTAATGTAGTCAGGGATGAACAGTATTCATTCTCTCCACAATCCGTGTCCATCAAGCATACCTACAAGAGGATAGCACTACTATTATAAGGCATCACAACTCTATGGATACCCACAAACACACCATACATACATTTACACACAACAAACTACAGAATATGCACCATACACACACAAATTATCCACACCATACACATCATACACACACCTTACACATCACGCTCGCACACACATGGCATACATATGGGAAAACAGACAAAGCGTGTGTCAGTGTCTTCAGGGTAGTTAGGAATATAACTGATAGGGAGACTTTGGGGGAGAAGAGGTTTACTGTATATGCACAAAAATCCCAATTTCAGAATTATCCGTGTATATGGCATTGCAATGGTATCTGTTGCTGTGTAACAGGGAGAAAAAGCTGAAAGAAAAACATAAAAATGTTGGAAATGTACAACATGTTGATCATCATATGAAAGGTAAAGAGAGTTTAATTGGTCATTAAGCTAGAGAAACCCAGATACTATATTTAGGATTGAGAAAGTCAAGTGGGATCTGACCCAAACTTTAGAAAGAGATCAAAACTTCATAGCCTCTACCTACATTCACAGTACAGCTAAGTGGTGAATGAGGTCCTCATTAGCTAAATAGTTGTGATATCAGTGCAATAGTTGTGATTAAAAACAGCATACTCTGATGTCTGACGTCTCTGCTATGTGCTCCCAGGGCCATGAAGTAAATAACTAATATTTTTTTACCTGAGGGATGATGGGCAGGACATCAGGAGAAACTTCCTTCTCTTTCAAAGTCCTTACCTGGGACTTGAACCTACAGCCTTCGACTCAGAAGCAAGAGTGCTACCAACTGAGGCAGGCTACCACCTTGCTTAGAAACGTAAACGGGTCTCTATCAGAGTATTCATTCATTTCATATTAGTCTCATTCTAAAACGTGCTTTGAGACATCTTTTACATGAGACGCTGTGTAAATGTAAGTTACTGTTGCCTGCAGGAGAGGAGGGAAGAAGATCGACGGAACAAATAAAAAAGAAGCAATGCAACAAACGCATAGAGGTGTCAAGGGAAAAACAGAAGAGCATCGATGGGCCCAACACTTCCTTTTACTAGTGTTTCTGGTGAGTGTTGTGTTTTATCGCAATAATCCGTCTTATTCTGGTTCCGAATTTACTGTGTTAGTTTACTATTCGGCACTGAGTCCTTTCAAACAATGTAAATGTTTCTAGCTATAACTAGTTGTTTTATTTCAGAACCTTCTCACGCTCAGTGTAACAGGCAATTCAGTGTGGCTCAGTTGGCTAAAATAGATCCAGAGTATGGTGGTCAATTATGAGGGAAGGATAGAATTTTCCTCTTTTAACAAGCTGACCCGAAGGTTTATCAGATGTCCATATAGCCATACCTTTGGACTTTACTGTACTCGGAGCTTTTTTGCTAAATATTATTGCTGCATCTTAATGTTCTCTATCTTGTCTCATTTGCTGCTTTATCTTGCATCTCTTTGGGTGGACAGGACAGTTTTCCCTTCGTATCTGAACTGTACATGAACTTCAACTTGACATCAAAAGGACTGAGCTTGAAAATCCTCCGCGATTATCTATTTCCACCTGCCACTTTTAGACTCTGCGTCATGCCATCATTTATGTAGCATGTTTGTTCCCTGACATTTGAAAAACTCGTGTATATTTGTCACAAGCGATAATTTTTCATTTTGCGTAATTTTATTTCATGTGATATGAAGTAGAAATGATATTCGTTGCCTTATATAAAGCTTTAGACTCAGCTCTGGAATCAGCGGATTACCAGCTTAAAGACTTGTAATCTAGAAATGAAGCATATGATGAGTGTGAAATGAAAACATACAGAAAATGTCTCAGCTTGCTAGCTACAAATGATTTTTATTGTTAACAAATTGTTGTTTATTGTGATCCTTAATCATTGAGCTGTGGTCCTTGAGCTAGAATTTGGGGTTTCACCACTTCCTTCAAGAACCTTAAAAAGTGTTGACATGCCACATCTTTTGCGAGAGTAAATTTAATTTATTTTCGACAAATGTTGTCTATTATAAAATGGCAAATGAATGGTTCTTTCATCGGGAATGTCTTAGGATATATGAAATAAAAAAATCTACTGGCTCTACTCTATATAATAATCCTTAGGCTCTTCTTCTAAAGCTGTTGTCACTGACCCTCGCTGCTCACTGCCATTGATGAGGGTGAATTACCTGTGAACAAGACAATCTATTAACAAACTGGTCAAGTGCTCGTCTCTAGTGAGGCTTATTAGGCCATGATATGATCTGTGTGTGGGCTGTGATCTCAAGTTTGCTCTTAAAAACCTAACTCATCACCAAAATGTCCTGTGTGAAAACCTCAGTGGAGGTGAAACCAGTTAGAATTTTCTGTCAGCTTTGAACATGGAGGTGGAACTGTCTGCATTAAACAGTAGTCCTTTTGTGTTCTGCAAAAGGCAATTGTAATTTCTGTTACAATTGTAATAGTAACAGAACCACAGAACCTTGGCTTGCAATTGTTTTTAAAATTAGTGTTACTGTTCTCGTGGTTTTCCTATTTTCGTTTAGTAGAAGGCTCCCTTTCAGAAACACAGTTGGAGAAATCATGTGTTCAACAAGGCAGGACTCTGGTCATAATGAAATAAAGACATTCAGTGGGACAAGTGTAACCTATGTCACGCTTGCTTACTCGGTTCCTATTTGTAACTTTCGTTGCTGCAGTTTACTAAACAGAAAGCTCCCACCACATCGCCAAATGCCAATGCCTTACTTTAAATGTCTCTGAACAGGCATGGCATTTCATCTTGGGATTGTACCTGAGCTCCCATACCTAGCACCCTGATCTGTGGTTCTTGAACCCCTTCAGGAAATATGTTCCCTCTGATTCCTTTTACATTCTGTGTCCACCCCTCACTAAAACATGAACGCACCATATCCTGGACCACTTCACAGAGACAATATTTGCCATCACTATAACTTTCATGAGTGCACTTTACACAGCAGATGCCCTCTTCTGTAAGGCAGTAGCATAATGTGGGAAATGCTACTGACATTCTTTAAAGATCTGTTTCTCCCCAACCCCCACCCCAACAAAGTTATTCCATATGTTGACTGATTTATCCGACATAACATAGACTCCAATAATCAGAAGACAACATGTATGCTATCGCGCACGACACAGCAAATCCCACAAAGCATTTATCTCATGTCATTTACAGAAATGGGTCACCTCCAAAATATGACAAGCAATTCATATATTGGAAATTGTCATAACTCATAAGTAACCAACTTTTAAATAAATTATTGGTGTGCTGACATCAAGGCTCTGTATATCTTGATCTCTGGACTCTTGAGTTTTCCACTCCTTTCACATTTGTCTTGCCTCCATGAGAATACAAAACTCTTAAAAAGTGTTGACATGCCACATCTTTTGCGAGAGTAAAATTTTATTTAATTTATTTAGCTGGCAACGACAATGGCTGGTTGTTTCATCGTGAAAGCTTTGTATATATGAAATCTGTATCTATTGGCTCTAGCCTATATCCTAATCCTTAAGACTGTTCTTCTAATGCTGCTCCTCAAGGAGAATCTGTGGACAAGACAATTTATTAACAAACTGATCTTGGCCTAAGCTGTTGTGAGACCCACTAGGTGTTTCTGTGGGCAGAATTTAATCATCTAACTCAAGATTTTTCTAAGCCCATTAACCATACCCATTACATCATCCAGTTTTCTGGGAGGCACATTGGCAGGACTCTGTAGCTAATAGCTACTCTGGAGTTCCAGCACCTGACTGATACCCTCACCTCCAAAATATGGGGTGACATGACTAGAGTGGTTTGAATGAGGAAAGCCCATTTGATCTCATCCCTCCCCCACATCGACCATACCGTCTTGCCCTAGGGAGCGGGGCTGCCAAGTGGCAAATGTCGTTTAATATTGAAGAAATGCAGAGGGGTGTGAAATATGAGGTTGAGGGGGTGGGCACCAGTGAAGTGATTGCAGGTCACAACAACAACTTGCATTTATATGGCGTCCTTCACGCCGGGCGACGTCTCAGAGCCCTGGTCACCTTGTGGTGGCATTTAAGAAAAAGTGAACAAGGTCTCGGGGTAAGTTACCTCACTCAACGTCCGTGGATTTAATCAGTAAACAACAGCATCTTACTTCTTGGTAAACTTCTCACTCATTTCACCCTGCAATATATATATATTAAATGCATCAACGACATGGAGCACATCTCCTTACATAACGCACCATACAATGAAATAGAATTTACTTTAGCTCTGCCAACTTCTCTTAACCATTTTTCTTCCCTCCCTCCTCTCCTGAAGGCAGTTTAATTCTTTTCCACCTTCCCTTTTGGTATCTTGTACGAGTGGTCATTGTTCACACGTGAGCCTTGATAGTGAATGTTAGCAGCCTGTTCAAACACAGAGGCCATCACAGCCAAGTCCCAATTCTGCCCTCACTCTGCATTCACACATGTGCACCTTCCAGCAATGGCCCTCTGGATAGGGATTCGCAGACAACACTGGCTGATTTTATGCTCCGTTCATGCCCCACCTGCTGAGATTAGCTAACGCAACTCAAACTGGGATTCAAACCTGCAATTCTGGTGCGAGTGGCGTCTGATGTTGTTAAGTGCTTTGGGAAGTCATCCCTATGTGAAAGGTGCTGCACAAGTGTAGATTGCACTGTATTGTATTCCTGCTCTGGTGGTGACTTTAACCACAGAGCCAGAGGGAAGCTAGAATATATTGTATGTTTAAAGACATGTATTATTGAGCAATTTCAAATCAAATTTCACAGTTCAATTCAATTTCATCAGCCTAATTATATCACTTCCTAGTAATTCTCCAGATTAATAGGCAAACGTATAACATCACATAATCCATTAGATGTTTGTGAAGGCTGACTAAATATTGGAGACCCCATCAATATACTCTTTGCTATAAGACAAGGAGGTAGCATTGTATCCGTGCCTCCCCGTGACAGAATGGAACAGCCTAAGACATCAAAACAGGAGCAAGCGTTTGGTACGATTCAAGGAGGCAGTGAAAAGTTTCACAGTGCGATCTTCCAACAATAATTTTAGGTGAAAATCACATTGGTGAAACTCCAGTACAGATCTGAGACCTGTAAATAACATCATCTGGGCTCGGTGCCTCCTTACAGAAGCCAGATGAGAACAGCATCTCGAAGCACTGCTTTCAATGCCAAGGTTACCAACGGGCTCTGCCTCCCCATCTCCCTCCCTCTGCCTCGCTCACACGCTGGTTTAAGGAGCGCCTTCATCTGTTAGTAGTGATTTCTGACCTGCGGACTGAAGACTCATTAACAGGGAGAAGTGCTGAAATTTTAGACCTTTGAGTTGGAATTGCTGGTCTGCGAACAGAACAAGCAATCAGGTGCTGGGGTGCACGCCTGCAAATACAGTATTGAACTGAATTCTTACTGAAGAGGCCATGCGGCAGGCGGTGCGGAGGCTGGTGGGAACGCCACTCCTACTGGATCTTTTCAGAGCCAGAGTGACGTGTCCGACATGCTTCTGGTGACCGGAAGGAGCCCCCAAATTAAAAACAAAAAACCTCCAGAAATCCTACAAAAATTGATCCCCTTTATTTGCTCCCCTTTGGTGGGATGGGGAATTTCTGCCTCCAACAAGCGGATTAACATGTTTGCACTTCAATTCTACCAGTTGAGAATGCTTTGGTCTGTCCATAACCAACACAGCATATCGTTTAATCTGTTCATTTTAGCGTCGCCAACACCACCACAAAGAGCACTACCTTCACAGGTGTCAGTTTCCCAGTGCGAAGCAAACAGAGCAAAACAAAACACACACACACATTAGGACCTCTTAGGTGGAACAGGAGTGTGAAATGGAAAAAAAAAACTCAAAGCAAATATTGTCGCTATGGAGACGTACCTCTCCTCATTACCTGGGCAAAATCATCACCCTGATGGTTCCTTGTTTGATTTACAATCTGACCATCTGTTTCTTTGCAGTGAGAAGAAACATGCAACCATTAGTACAGATGTGAGATTGCAATTTGCAGTCTCCATCCATAGGACGTATATGACACAAGCGTGAGCACCTCAAGGCTGGTTACAGAGCTGGTGATCATTTGCTCGCCTGTTTCCGACAGGGGGGGGGAAAAAAAAACATGCATTTGATATTGCGGCCTTCACATCATGAGGGGCATCTCAAGCGCTTCACAGGATTTACTGCAAAGTGCAGTGACTGTGTGTTTTTGTAGGCGAAGACGCTGCCTTTGGCCTCAGAGCCAAGGGTTAGGGAATAACCAGCTAGGTAGGGTGCCACTCCAAAGCTCTGTGACACAGAATGGTCACCAAAAAATAAGCCCAGCAACTTTCTCATGGTTCCTAAAATTTTAAGACTGTGCGAAAGTCTTTAAATTCAGTCCAGTTGAGACCATGTTTCACAAATCCCACACAATCTTAACACTTTAAGGCTTAAACCATGAGAATTGCAGGTCTCTTAGTTGATCAGGACAGGGTGCAGCCCAGCTTGGCTATTCCCCCATGTTACAATAACACGCGCACCATCAAGCTTTGCCTGCGTGATGTTTGTTGGCTGTTTTAGGCAGATGGGTAAACTTTCACAGTTTTTAAATAGATGTTCTGCTCCCGGTACTCTTGCCCCCACCACCACCACCACCACGCATTTTGAGTTTTGTGGCTTTCCGTGCTTCTTTGTTGCATTCGGAAATAAATGGAAAACTAAAAGCTGTTTAAAAAAAGCGATACGAAAGGCACGCAACAGCAGCACAGATGTTCCCAGACCCACAACATGGTGCAAATAGCCTCCCCACCCCTCCTCCCTTCCACCACACACACACACACACACACACACACACAACATTCCCAGTAAACCAACAATGCCTGCGGAATACTACAAAGGAAAAATATCAGACAGTTTATACCAGTGCTAACCCTTACCATTCCCATTAAAACCGCAATACCTGACTGCACTTTAGTGTGATGTCAATATTTCCATTGATATTAAAATCCTGCGTAAGTGAACGACATAGATTATTTAATGGCCAGCAACTGACCGCACCGAGTGCTGTCGCTGCATTAGCTCGTTATACACTGGCCGCATATCAACCCGTGACTATTGCTATGAGAAATATGGCTGTTGTACAAACCCTTTTTTCAGGAAAGCTGTCATCATCCTCTTCAATGACCTCCCTTTCTGAAAGGATTGTATCTCCGGTGATGTCATCCGTTTCCTAAAAGAGGAACACAAAATACTTCCAGAACCTTGCAAGCAGCACAGTGGTAGGGCGCCCCAACCTCCAGATTCCCAATCCTGACTTAAAAAAATCCCTTCCCTGTCTTTGCAATCTCCTCCAGCCGGTGCTGTCTTCTCTGTCCTCACTCCCTCTGTCCCACCATCAGGGCCCTTTTCTTCCCACACCCCCCCACCCTTTTCAGCTCTCTTTCTCGCTCCCCAAATCTCTTTGCCTTGCGCCCTCTCTCACTCGCTCCCCAAATCTCTTTGCCTGCGCCCCCTCTCACAACAACAAATTATATTTACACGGCGCCTTTCATGTCGGGAGGACGTCCCAAGGTGCTGGACAGGCAGGGGTTTGGGATCGGGAGGGGGTGGAAGGGTAGCCGAAGGCGCGGTCAAAGAGGAGGGTCTTGAGATGTGCCTTGAAGGAGGCGAGGGAGGGAGCGAAGCAACTGTGGGATGGAGTTCCAAAGGGTGGGGTTAACCCTTGCACAGCTCCATCCCTGACTTCTCTCTGGGTGGGAGACTGTGACACTGTGACACATCAATACATTTAACATGAAAATAGAAAACGATGAAAATGCACAGCACCTCAGCCTGGAAGGGAAAAACAGTTAAGCAACTGATCCTTCATCAGAACACTAGAGGCCTGAAATTCCTCAAAATTCAGGCTTAAATTGGAAGCCAGCTTGTGATTTTTCAAGAGCAGCAGAAAAGTCATAAAGACTCCTTAACAAGTTGTTCGGAGCACCAACAAGAAATGCCAGATTGTCCAATTATACTATTGTGAATCTCACAACCGCGAGCAGACCTTTCATCCCCGGTTCATTTAGATCCAAATGTTTCGTAAAACATTTTGTAATTGTTTTGTGAAATAAAGTCCTATCAAGAATCTCAGGGGGGGTTGCAATTCTTTCAGCACGCACAACAGCATCATTATATTTCGGGAGAACTAGTGTGGGCTTTCAGCCATTTCCCCTTCCACTTGCCTTGTCTATTTTCTCGTATTTGTGGAAGATCTTGTCTCCAACCAATTCTTCCTCGTTCTCCTCATCGTGGTAGTTCAGCGGAAGGCTGTCGAAGTCAACTACTTTAACAAAGGTTTCTGCTTCATTCTTAGCCTCCTGCAAATGTGACAGAATGTTCACAGTGCTTTTATAAATCACGTTGGATATCAACGAAAACATTGCCCTTAGTAACTAACCTCTGACCAAATAACGCCTACTTTCTATCCGATGATACACAGATCATTTTATCATGGGATTTTATCAACTATTTTTAAGTAAATATTTGGTCCGAATACGTTTATCTCCACACTAAATAAAAGTTAAAACCCTACCACAGGCAAACAAATTCCTCGATGACCCCACTGTATTTTTGTGCACGTGGCAGCCTGGCTCAGTTGATAGCCCTCTCATCTCTCAGTCAGAAGGTTGTGGGTTCAACCCCCCACGAACCCATATAGTCTAGGCTGAGGCCACAATACAGTACCGGTGGTGCGTGGGAACCAGAAGCTTCCAGGTTCTAACCCCGGTCTGCGTCAAGTTAACTATAACAAGAACAACTTGCATTTACATAGCACCCTTGACCTGGGGTAATGTCCCGAAGTGTTATGTCAGTCAGGACCCCAGTTATGGCGCTACAATAGACCTCAGCCCCCGAAGTGAGGAAGGGGGAAGTCAGCTGAACTTAATTTGGAAACCGGTTCCCACCATTCTTATAAAAACAAGCTAGTTTCCAGATTAGGGCAGAATTTAAGACTTTCCCACAATTCTGCACCACCATCAATTTTGAGATAAAATGGACTCAGACGTATTTTATCTTTACGGCACAGTTGGATCCCTGAATAAGCTCAGACTTGTTGTCATTCACTGACACCCCGTTTACAGCATCCATGGGGGTCAATGTGAGTGAGAGGGAAAACAGACTCTTCGACTCTGTGGGTCATTATCTGTCTGTTGCCTCTCACGGTATCTCAAACGGCACAGTTTTAAATCCTTGCTTCCAGCCCCCTTATCATTAAACAAAAATGGGATAAACATTCCACACCCCAGGTCCACATTTACTCTATTTATGCAGCATTTTAAAGTGTCCTGGAATCTGGCAGATTCTTAAATAAAGCATTAATTTTGAATAGCTCTTTTTTTTTTGCCTACGCTTCTCTTGAGACACCGGTTAAGGCTGAATCCAATCATTTGCCAAAACTTCAGGGACCCTGTGAACTGCTACGAAAATAATAATCCTCGCATTTTGATACGGCGCCTGATCACGTCCTTGCGACGGCTCAAAGCGCTTCGCAGGATACACTGTAAAGTGAATCGACTGTATTTTGTGGGCGAAACGCGGCGGCCATTTGCGCACAGCAGCGTCTGTCCCACAAACAGCAGTGGATTGAGTGGCCACATTATCATTATTATTTTTAATTATGCTAATCTGGATCCGGTGGGAATTTCTCCCCAGAAGTTAGTTGACACAGCCCAGGGGAGCTGACATGACAGCCAGGAGGAGCGAGTCCAGCCAGGACAGTTAGGATACTTTATGATGTCAGTGCAGAGCCGTTGTGACAATGAACGCGAGGTCACAAAGCAGATTTCCGAGTGGACATTTTAGGTATAACCCAAAGCAGAAAAAAGTCACTTGTGGGTAACAAGTAAACGACCCCAAAGGGGGTGGGGTTGGGTGGGGGAATTGGTTTGGAAGCTCTCAGCCTTTTCATGAGCAGCTCCAGTGTGTGTGGCTTCAGCGAAACACAGAAGGTCACTTCTGTAGACCTGACTCCCTCCCTTCCTTCCTTCCCTCACAACCTGCAAAACACAACGAGGATGGGGTTAAGTCGACGGCAACAAAAGCGACGTTTCAAATAAAAACAGCAAATAATGTAATACTTGTGCTCCCCCCCCCCTCAAAAAAAAATCACCCAATAGCACTCGAAGGCCTTGCACAACCATACTCCGAAAATTCAGACGATGACTGACTGTAATAGCTTAACAAACAGACTTCCACAGTTTAATAATAATAATCCTTGCATTTGATGTAGCGCCTTATCGCGTCTTCGAGACGTCTCAAAGCGCTTCACAACACATACTGCGAAGTGAATTGACTGTCTATTTTGGGGGCAGAGAGTTTTACTCGGTTTCAAATGGTTACAGAAAGCTCTTGGCTATATATATATACATTACACATTATATATATATATATAAAGCTCTGCATTTACTCTTTTACCAACACATAAAATGTCCACCCATTTCATTATAAGGCCGACTTTGCCCTTATCCTTAATAGCTCACTAACCACTGTGAGATTTACAGGGACAGAGAGCTGGAGACATTGTATGGCCACATGAGGCCAAGAAGACATTATTATTTTGCCTTTTTACCACCACTGTTTATCAAAGCCCCATTTGCCAAAACCATCAAAAACCATCAAAAACCATCAAAACCATCAAAAACCATCAAAAACAAGCCCAGTTGGGACGTCTGAACGCTCTCTGTGTGTTCACAGCAGAGGTTCTGCGTTAACACTGGTATTTTATCATAAGAGTTTGATTTAAAAAAAACACAGTGGCTCACCTCTTTCTGCCCAGATGTTCATCCTTCTCCTCGTCCACCAGTTTTCATCTCCCCCCCAACCCCACCCCCACCACCACCCTTTGCTTTTGCTTAATTAAACCTCTCTCTCTCTCTCTCTCTGACTTACCAAAGCGGCGGGAGCTGCTGTAACGTAGAGAGAAAGCGAGAGAAACAGAGCCAAACACAGCATCATACTGGTCCTGGTTAAATAGCGTCCCCCCATCACCCGCACACCCCCCCCCCCACACACCCCACCCACACACACACACACAGGTACACAAGTGTCGTTTCCCTTCAGCGCCTCGTGTGGGTTTGAATGATGCCCCCACTTTTGGGTTCCAGAATGAGACGAAAGGGACCGAGTTAAGAGCTGAGTCTGACTCCACGTTAAACTGAGCTGGACTCCCTGCCTGGATCTCCTGATCTCTCTCTCTCTCCCTCCCTCCCTCTCTCTCTCTTCTCTCTCTCTCTTCCCCTCCCTGCTCTGTCTGTCTGTCTGTCCGGGGGCTTTTGACGTGACAGAGGGATGTGATGGAGGACCAACAAGCAACAGGTCTCCTGGCAACAACAGCATATATACACACACACACACACACAACAAGATAAAGGACATGGGGATAAAATAAGGCAATCAATCAGCAGCAAAGCGTCTCAATCGGATTTCGCAGCTTTTACCTCTTGTAAACCAACTCTTGCTTTGCACTACGTATAAAAGCCCTATTGTGGGGTTTTTTTTTTTAATTTGCAAGTGAATAAATACATTTTTGCAATCATCCTCAATCGTGCTCGCCTTCGATATAGCGCCTGATATCAACGTCTTCGAGGCGTCTCGAAGGGCTTCACAGAAAATATACCGTGAAGTGTAGTGACTACATGTTAATAATAATATTAATAATAATCCTTGCCTTTGATATAGCGCCTTATCAGGTCGTTGAGACGTCTCAAAGCACTTCACAGGATATACTGGAAAGCAAATGGACTGTATATTTTGTGGGCGAAAAATGCTGTACACTGTCCAGCGCCTTGGGACGTCCTCCCAATCTGAAAGGCGCTACACAAATGTAATCTTGTTGTTGTTGTTGTTGCTGTTGAAAAAGGATTCCGTTCAAATTCTTTATTTAAAAAGTGGTTTTGCTGAGGGAAGAAAGCCCACAAGGGGCACAAATAGCACACCAGAAGATCTGGACCAATAAAGCAGATGGTTGACAGAATAGCAGATGGATTTCTCTATGTAGATAAATGCAAACTAATGCATACTGCAACAAGGAACAGCAAACCTGCGGACTACAAAGTGCAGGCCATTGGTAGCATTGGTGAAGGGAGAAGTATATGGCTTTGATTATTGCTTGTTTGCAGAAGGTCTCCAGTCAATGTGACGATGCTGTCAATAAAATCGTGATACTGAAGTAGGTTTTGTCGGTCTATGGAAGTGTAAGGTTTTATGGACCCAAATGGCCTTTTCTCATCCCATTCACTTCATGCCTGTTTGTGGGACCTTTGGCTGCCACATTTGCCTACAAATGCACAGTCACTACACTTGTCAGTGATTAACTAAGGGATTGCAGCATCAAATGCAAGCATTATTTTGAGTTAATATGAATGGTCTCTCCTGGTCCTATTCATCCTGGTATTCACACAAATCCAGTGTAAAACGTCACCACTAGGTGGGGAGCAATCTGAGTGAGTGAGTGAGTGAGTGAGTGAGGGAGGGAGGGAGGGAGGGAGTGAGCGAGGAGGTTGTTCTAGAAATTTCTCCCTACGTAACAGAGCTGAACTCTGTACAGAACTGGATTCATTTGTGGCTTAAGGATAAATCACTTCTTGGCACAACTAGAAATAACCTATTAAATACGCAGGTAACATTTGTGTGGAATATGTGAATCATTCCCATAGAAAATCTACCGTTTCTTCCTGACGAGGGCAAAACCAACTCTCTTTCACAAATATATGTCCCATTCCCGTACTGGGGGCCGGGGATTCTTCTCTCTCCGCTCTCGTTAACCCTGCAAGCCAAAGCCTGAATGTGTAGGATGGTCCTCGCGGGACAAGCAGCGGGAAAGCTTGCCAGACAGCGGCAGGCCGTGCGGGTTTGGTTGGTTA